GAGGGAAAGTTGAATGCCATGTCTTTGTAATATTTATGTTCCCCATGGTCTTTGTTGGAGTTGCCTGTGTGCTGGAGAGGAATTAATAGTTGTAATTAACATGTGGGAGGGCCTTTGGTTATCAGCAATTGTTGTGTGTGGTTGTGGGAGGGAATTATGCCCTTGACCCTTAACAACCTGAGCCAGTCACCCTTTTGAGGTCTAGGAGTTGTTGGTCTTAATGCAGGTTTGCTTTGCGCATGTGAGCATGGACCTTCTCTAAAGAAGTATGCAGTGTTTCAGAATGCTTGATCAAATGTGTTGTGATGTGTACGTGTGTGTGTGTGTGTGTGTGTGTGTGTGGTTGATGCTATAGTTTGGAGCGGGAAAGGGGTTAGCCTGCCCCATGTCTACTCTAAATTGCATCTTCCAGAACTGGGATAGAATCATTGGTTTTTAATGCCAGTGAACTGCTACATATGTTGGTATGTAATGTGCAGTTAGACCCTTATTAGTATCCTGAGATGATACAGGAAATACACCCTGTTCACTGAAGTATAAAAAATACATGAGACTTTCACAAACGTACGTGGTTACAAGCAGAATGTCAAGCTCTGCACAGAACTGATAAGGTTTTAGCTTAAATAAAGCATACTATCCTTAGAGGAGGAGGGTATTAGGAAGATGAGTAGAAAATTAAACTGCCAAATTGCATGCATTTTATTGACAATGAAATTTTAATGTATCTCTGACCAAGCAGCACCCTCAGCAAAATAAATTAAAACTTCAGTATGTAATGAATATCTCTAAAGCAAAACATGTTTAGTCTGAGGAAGAAACAATGTGTGTGCGCGCACACATACACACACACATATACATTGTAATGTTTATGTTAACTAAATTTCCCACTTCCATTAAGTGTTTTAATTGAATATTAAGGTATTTGTTAAAACGTTCCCTTATTATAATGGGATTACTCTATGTAGTTTTACTATGATAACTCAATACAGAGTTTTCATTACAACATAAATGAAATTACTGTTTCATTAGGATTGCCACTTTAATTCACATGGTATGTATTATGCAAATGTATAAATAACATATTGCAGCAATTTATGCTTATTTTCCCCCAGAATGCCAATTACTTAGCTAACCAAGAGTGGCTAGTTTAAAATATATGTACGTTTTAATATGCAGAGGAAAATAAATCTTCACCCAATATGGCAACATCTATCTGACTATTCAAATAGGTTTTCATTTGTGTACCACCCATCTGGATTTTCTCATCAAAGGAGAGGTCCAGGTGTTGGGGGACACATGTTCAGTGACAGATTATCTGAATCCAGGCATCTGCTTTCCCTTCAAGATGTGGCCAGTGCTGTAAGAATTGATAGTGACAATAAACTCTTTGCTCTGGGCAGACCATCAGCCGGTTGTTAAGCACAAGAGTCTCTGGATTGGACTCCATATACAGTGGTGCCCCGCAAGACGAATGCCTCGCAAGACGGAAAACCCGCTAGACGAAAGGGTTTTCCGTTTTGGAGGTGCTTCGCAAAACGAATTTCCTGTGTGCTTGCTTCGCGAGACGAAAATGTCTTGCGAGTTCCTGCGGGGGTTTTTTCCTTCCCCCCCCTTTTTCCCAAGCTGCTAAACCGCTTATCAGCTGATGGGCTAAGCCGCTTAACAGCTGGTCGCTAAGCCGCTTATCAGCTGGTCGTTAAGCCGCTTATCAGCTTTTTCCCAAGCCGCTAAACTGCTTATCAGCTGATGGGCTAAGCCGCTTAACAGCTGGTCGCTAAGCCGCTTAACAGCTGGTCGCTAAGCCGCTTATCAGCTGATCGCTAAGCCGCTTATCAGCTGATCCGATAAGCCCGCTAAACCGCTAATGGGCTTGCTTCGCAAGACGAAAAAACCCGCAAGACGAAGAGACTCGTGGAACGGATTCTTTTCGTCTTGCGAGGCACCACTGTACCGCAGAGAAAAATGCTGTCCAGCTATATACCTTTAAGTTCTGACATCTCAGAACTGGCCTACATGTAACATGGGTTAAAAGTATCATTAGCCAGCCCTGGTGTCTCTTAGAGAACACTTGGAGGAGATAAACAATAACTCTTGGAAGAGGGTCGTTTCATCCTAGTGGTGAAACTAGCCTTATCTGTATGATATAAAAAGAGTTTGGAAATGGAGCTTGCCAGGAAGCTTTTGAAGCAGACTCTTTGACGCACTCATACAGATGAATAAAGCAACTACATTTGCAATGGTTTCTAAAATAGCACCATTGTATAAGAATTTCCATTGCACTCCTTTTGTTCCACCTAGCTATATTAAGGGTTTGCAGAAATTGAGAGAATGGTTTTTACAAAGTTTTAGTTAAATCTGGTACCTTCAAATGTTTTAGATGGCAGATACAGGAACAGGTCAGATTCTGAATGCATCTGTCCTTAGGGTTAAAATAGTTTGAACACCTTGTATATATTATTATATATTGTCCTTTGTACGATTTCAGAAGTTGTTTATACTTAGTGCTTATCAAGGTGACACAAATAATATTAGTATTCATAATGGGATTGTGTCAGCAATATCCTGCCACCCAAGCACTGGTTGTAAACTTGTTAGTAATGGAACTGTAATGCAGAGATACATGCAGTTTGCTGAACTTCCTTTTTATGATTTTGTTGTAAATGTTTATAGATTCTAAAAGGCCAAGACTCTGTAATACTTGAAGGGGCCCATCATTTGCTTTGTATTGATAAAAAAATGTATCTTTGGTTGCATACAAAGCAATAGGACATTAATTTAAAGCAGGCTTGCACAGATTATTACCGACCAAATTGATTGTAGGCCACCACAATGTATGGCAGCTGGAGAAAGTCCCTGGGGCTGAGGTTCCTCACCCCTCTGTTATTAAGATAGTGTGGTACTTCCTGAGGTTATAAATATCAGCCTGCTTCTCTCCATGATATAATATAATTCTTCACTGTACACCTATTGGCTGTCCAGAATCCTTGTAAGAGGAAAGACATTCTCACAATATAGTGTACTATAGCCACTTTAAGAAAACCTCAGTCACTTACAACCCCTCCCCTCCTCCCTTGTTAATCAAGCCTAGGACAAACATACTTGTTTTGTACCGCCTGGAAACAATCTCCCAGGGCCACCCCAGGGCGTGGGGAACCTTTGTCCCTCCAGATGTTGTTGAAGTACAAATCCCAAGTCTCTAAGTGCTTGGGCACACTAACCCTGCCTTTCTATGTTGCTGAGTTGTGCTGCTCCTTCGCCCCTCTAGTCTGTTATTCCCCTGAGTGCAACCCAGGCAACTGAGATGATGACTGGCATCTGTCTCACAACCCGAGATAACCATCCTTTTTGTTGTCTTCAAAGAGGTCCTCAATGTAATCATTCTCCTCCCCTCTCTAACCCAGTGTTCCTGCCTTTTTTCTCATTCCTGCAACAATCCCACTCTCCCACCTTCATCTTGTTCAGGCTAAAGCCGTACTGTGCATTTGTGTCACCAGCTCACCCCACAATCTCTCCTTCTCCCAACTCTCCCTTGCCATTTCTCGTTTTCCTAGGAAATCCTTGTAATTTCCCAGTTAATTTCTGTTTCAGTATTCTTTTAGTTAAAAACTTTTATTTTTTTAGATCTATGACTTGTTTCTGTTTCTCCCTTGGCAAAGGCTAAACAATCTGAATAGTATGCATGCTTGCTTCTTTGTATTTTGGTTGCCATGCTAGTAGGACGTGGCCCCACCAGGCTGACATCAGGCTATCCATGGCTGGAAAGATTTCCCAATGCACCATTTGAACGACATTTCCTCAGGCATTAATATTCCAGAAGGACTTAGTCCCTGAACATAGAATGTTAGCATGCAGCTGTGTAGAAACATGTGTACTGAACAAACCACAAAACCATGGTTTAGCACTATGTGGATGAGCCTTCATGAGCCTGAGCAAAGGCTTGCACATTATTCTTCCGCTCCCCACTCCCCAATAGTGCATCAACCCAAACTTATGTATAGAACCAAGGCAATGGAATTTGCATGTTTTTAAGGGTACAGAATGTGTCAGCAGAGCCTGTTCACAGGGACTCTGCACAATGAATACTCAGGCTGGAACTAGCAAGTGCAATCTCTTTTCCTCCCCACACAGACTTAGATTTATGTAGATGTATTGCCTGGTCAGGTCTTTAGTGAATGGTGAAAGACACACAAAGAGGAGGAGGTAATAAAAGTAGCATTTTAGTATATCTTTTTCCTAAGTATTTCCGGTACAATAATTTTTTTCCTGCAATCTCTTTCATTCCTTTAATGCACGTATACTGTAGTCTGACAAAACTGAAGGCAAGATTACCAATTACATGTGAAGGATACTTGCAGGCAACCTTTTCAAGATTTTGTCTGAGAGGAATCTGTAATTACCTATCAGAGCTCCCAACTGCTGCCAAGAAGTTTAAGTGAGGTACTCAATGGTAGTGCAAGCCACAGGTATTCCCATTTCACATCTGTCTCATTTTTTTCCAGATTATAAACATTGTTTTAGCCCCTTTTAATGATGTATTTGCATTCATTTTACCCTGCTGTGCGTTCATACATTTATCCATCCATCCATTCATTCTCTCTCTGTATCTGCAGGTGCTGTAAAGAAGTTCATTACTGTACACAAGTCACTCTTTCTCATGCCTCATTGTCATTTACTATTCTACCCAGTGGACGTGGGGAAAAAATAGGCACTTACAAATCTCTGGAACTGTTCACTGCCGCCACTATATTGGTAATAGACGTCTCACTCCTATCATCCATTTCATAAATAAGGGGGGTGGGGTAACACAAAGCACTGGTTCAACTGCAGCTTACAGCCCATGTTGAAATTGTTGTGTTCACTGTGAGGTGATGTCCCCTTGCCCTGGCTTACCGCTGCAAGGTGAAGACCCATTCACACAAGCAGTGTAAGGTCAGAGGAGGAGATTAATGGAAGATTCCAGTTCCTCTTCATTGATTAGAAAAGTCACAGCACCCCCACCAATGACCTCTTGTGAGGCTTGTTACTTGTATGGTAAGTCATTTGATGCGTCGACTACAATAGTTCTTATCCCTGCTCTATCTGGCATTTGCTTCTGTAAGCCTTATATGAGTCATTGAATGAAGACTAATTTAGGGTAGAACTGTAAATTTCCTCAACAAACCAAGTTTGTTGTTCTAGTCAGGTTGTCCCAGTCAAGGACTTTTAAATATGGGGGTGGACAGCTGAACTATAGCTGTGGGAAGCTGAGCATCACACTTGTGATTAGCCTAATTTATGCTGTAGTGATCAGATTAAAATTAAATGGTTTCTAGGTAATTGCAAAAAAATGAGAAAATTATTAACATCTGTGAGTACTCAATAGGTTTACTTTCTTAACATGCCCAGTACACATTGTCACCTTTCCTGACGTGTATCTCCCCCCCTTTATTATACCCAGCTTTAAAGCCTCACTGTTACAAAACCAAGCATTTATATATATACACATGCACACACACGGGGGTGTGTGTGTGTGTGTGTGTGTGTGTATATATATATATATATATATATATATATGTATACACACACACACATATTGGCTCTTATCTGGCTAAAATTGTTTCTGACCATTTCATGTCCCCACCAATGGAACATGCCACTTGGCTGACTTAGACTTTGGGCTCACCCAGACTTCCTTTTGTGCTCCATTTCTAGGCACAGGTTCAGGCTTTAAAGCTGCATGTTCAAGCAGGGTTTTTTTTTTTGTCCTGGAACTTTCCCCAGGAACACCCACATTTTACCGCTGAATTGGAGCAAAATGCAATCAGGTGTTCCATGGATTGACATTTGCTCAGATTTTGTGGGTTTTCCCAGGAAAAGCACTGGAACAAGAAAATCTGCTTGGACATGGTGCTTTAAAACATAGACCTGTGCCTGGAAAGCATGTCGCAAAAGGAAGTATGCATGAGCTCTTTATTCTAGGAGTGGGGTAGGAGAGCTGAAAATAATGCCAATATATTTCACATCTGGCAACCAGTGCACAACCATTTACCATAAGTAATGTATTTAGTGTTAACTCTGGAAGTGTATACTTGATTCTGACCAAACTAAGCCCTCTAGAGCAAAATACACACCAGGAGTTAACATTACTTCTGGTAAATGAGCCACCATAGCTGCTAGAGGGCCATGAAAATTTGTGTCCCGGACTTTTTAGACTCTACCAATTTACTATCTGAAACCAAAGGAATGCATGTACCTCTTTTTACATTTTAATGTATCTCTTTGTGGTAGTGGCGGTATGGTTGTTAGTCTTGTAAGCCACTTTGACTTGTCCTGGGCAAGATAAAGTGACTGTCAAACGGAATAAGAATAAGAATCTGCTATCAGTTTGGCTTTTATTTCCAGTATCCTGTTGATGACATACAGTGGTACCTCGCAAGACGAATGCCTCGCAAGACAAAAAACTCGCTAGACGAAAGGGTTTTTTTGTTTTTTGAGCTGCTTCGCAAGACGATTTTCCCTATGGGCTTGCTTTGCAAGACGGAAACGTCTTGCAGGTTTGTTTCCTTTTTCTTAACACCGTTAATACAGTTGCGACTTGACTTCGAGGAGCAACTCATAGAACGCGGTGTGGTAGCCTTTTTGAGGTTTTTAAAGACTTTGGTGATTTTTGAAGCTTTTCCAAAACTTTCCCGACACCGTGCTTTGCAAGACGAAAAAAATCACAAGACGACAAAACTCGCGGAACGAATTAATTTCGTCTTGCGAGGCACCACTGTAGTTACTTTGAAAATGTGTAGAAGATTAGAACCCATTTCAGCCTTCTCAATCCACAGCCATCTCAATCCCTTTCAAAAATGTGTTGAACCATTCATAACTTGCTCCCCCAGGCGACATGCTGCATTCATCTGAATCTGCAATCACTTTTAAATTTTTTTTTTTATTATTTCTCTATCCCACTTTTCCTCCAAAGACCTCAAGGTAGCCCCCCTTCTACTTTATCTTCACAGCAACCGTAAGATGGAGGTTAGGCTGAGAGACTGAGCTTCCTGGTTGAGAGGGAACTAGAACCCAGGTCTTAGTCTGACACTCTAACCACTACAGCACACTGGTTCTGGTAAGAACCTACGTTAGTATGATGTTTGTACCTAATTTATTATTGTTACCGCTTGGATTTACAGTGAGTCCACATATAGACTCAAGGCTGCCTCACTGGACGCACAAGCTCTTGTGGTTAAAGGCTGTAAGCTGATTTAGCAATTACAGTACATGCTTTTGAATCCATCTAGTATCCACTATATAAATCTGATTAAAACAAAGCTATTATGGTGTCAGTCCTCCATCCAGTGAAAGAAAAATTAGGATACCGATCTCACAGGAATAGATTACTCAATACTTCAAATGTATGATTTGTTTTATAGTGCAATGCAATATTACCACTGGGTAATATTGTATGCCAGATTCTTCTATACTGCAGTGAACCAGCTGTGCAATGCTACTCTTTTGGAGAACTGACGCCTAATAAAGGAGACTTAATTGAGGAGTGCAGAGAAGAAGGGGGCAGTATTAAATTTTCTTCTAAAACTTTCCCAACACAAGCATGCTGACGGCTCAGTAATCGTGTGAAGTTTTTCTATTTTTCATCTGCTTTCATAACGATTAAGTATTTCCCCCCTCTTGCTTCTTTGTTAATTGCAATTGCAATTGGCTCTATTAGTTTAAGTGATGCACACATATGAGTAGCAAAATTTGCATGTGTGTCTTAATCTCTTGTACAGGTTGCTTGGAACTTAAGGAAGATACCATTGAAAACCTCCTGGCAGCTGCGTGTCTCCTTCAGCTCCCTCAAGTAGTTGAAGTGTGCTGTCATTTTCTCATGAAGCTTTTACATCCATCTAACTGTTTGGGAATCCGGGCATTTGCAGATGCTCAAGGATGCACAGAGCTGATGAAAGTGGCTCACAGCTATACCATGGTAAGGCAGTTCAACATACCTTATCACAGGAGAGCAAAGGGTACATAGATTTCGCTAGCATTCAGATCTTTTCTTATGTTTTTGTATTGTTTCTTCATACCTTCTTATGCAGTATGCTTTATAGAAAATATTATAGATTGCAACACTATAGCATTAAGAACTGGATAGTTTGATTTATCCACTATCTGCTCATTCAAATGATTATATATAACAGACTTATTTCCTTGACTGAAATTTCATGTTCTTTATTTATTGTTTAACTCCTTGGTTAGATAAACCTGCGTGTTCTGATTTGGTGATTTCAAAGTAGGCTTATCTCATCCCAATTTAATATATCTGTTCTTTCAGCCAAGTTAATAGAAAAAGTGTAATAATAACCCTTTGTGGGTGGCTGCATGGGTACAGACAGAAACCGGCACCATTGTATATTGTCATCCTGGTTAGATCCCATTGCATCTTTATCTTATAATAAGAATTTTCCATTCTTGTCGCAATGGATTCTCACTACTAGAAATTCTGACACAGGAAGGGCGGGGGGGGGGGTGTTTTCCAAAGGACCCCAAGAGTACTGTGGAGAAATGCTATATATGTGTGGGTTTGCTTTCGTTTTTGTTTAAAAGGAAGATACGTTATGGAACCTCTCATAGGCATGAGGCCCTGTTTTGTTACAACATGACAAGCCTTTTCACAGTGGTTGCTAGGTGACATTTTTGGCAGGAGAGAGAGATTGTTTGAAGGTTTACTAGACAGGGCTCAAATTAGGCAAATGGCAGTTAGTTGAACAATTAAAACTCCATTGGGAGTTAACTATAGGAGAAAGACGGTTGGAATTTGGACTGTTGAGGAGTTGCTTCAGGAGAAGAGGTGTGGAAGTAATTAGTGGGTGGTGCATTTGGATAATTGACTTGAGGGGAATGCCATTTAGAGGCAAGAGTCAACAGCAGTAACCCTTGAGTACATACTCATAAGGTGCAAAACTCACCTGGCACCGTAAGTCTCCAATATGTGTAGCATCAGTATATTTGTGTGTGTGTGTGTATGAATCTATTGATTGATCGGCCTATCTATCTGGAACCCATATTAACTTTATCCTGTGTCTGGTGGTGAAGTTCATCTCATGCTCAAGCCTAACCACGTGACTAAGAGGTTGTGTGAAGCTTTCTGGGAGAATGGGTGGTGGTGAAGGTATTTAAAATACACAGATACCAGTACTTGTGTATAGATAAATGAGTCTGAGGCACCAGGATTCCTGACGTTGTGGTGGTAGTGGTCCACAAGACCTGATATACATATCAGTATAGCCGTGGGACGCGGGTGGCGCTGTCGTCTAAACCACTGAGCCTCTTGGACTTGCCGATCAGAAGGTCGGTGGTTTGAATCCCTGTGACGGGGTGAGCTCCCATTGTTCAGGCCCAGCTCCAGCCAACCTAGCAGTTCAAAAGCACATCAAAGTGCAAATAGATAAATAGGTACCACTCCAGCAGGAAGGTAAACGCTGTTTCCGTGCGCTGCACTGGTTCGCCAGAAGCAGCTTAGTCATGCTGGCCACATGACCCGGAAGCTGTCTGCAGACAAACGCCAGCTCTCTCGGCCAGTAAAGCGAGATGAGCGCTGCAACCCCAGAGTTGGCTGCGACTGGACTTAACTGTCAGGGTTCCTTTACCTTTACCTTTATAGCCACATAGTTTTACACACTCACACCCACAAAGTTTCAGTTTGCATTTACTTCAGTAAAAGGGGGAAAAAGTAGCTTGATTGCTCCTGTTATCAAATGCTCTTTCAAGGATCATAGGAAACTGCCTGTGGTCAGACTATTGATTCATCTAGCTCAGTATTGTCTGTACTGACACATGAATGGCCCCTAGGAATGACCCCCAGCAGCTGCATAGTGCAGGGGCAGCAGCCGAAGTGCTGGATTGACTCTGCTGCTGTGCTTGCACTGCACCAGCCTCCCTGCCGCATCCTCCCCTCCTTTCTGATAAGCACACTGACATGATTGATGGGAGGTCAGGTGTGCAGCGGGTCCCTACTGGATGGCTGCCCTTGTAATTGACAGTAGACAAGTCTTTCTCAGTCCTACATAACCCTAACCTGGGATCTTTTCAATCTAAAACATGTGCTGTTCTACTGACTTACAGTCCTTCCCCTAAATTTGATTTGGATCAGTTAAAATTATTTTAGATACAGAGAAGCTTTCGTTATTTTCATTGCATTTTAACAATTTATGCTGTGCCATTATAAAAATGTCCGCATGGGATTATTTCCACAGTGTTTGAGTGTGCACAAAAGAATCTTTGGGTTCTAGTTGTGACATGAAATTAAGTGTCGCATTATAATTATAATAAAGGAGTTTCAGGACTGGGCGTAAGGCACATATCTATATCTAGCCATAATTGCATAATTGCATAGTATTGAAGTATCACTACTTATAACCCAAAACTTAAAGCAAATACAACAATGCAACAATTTAAATTAAAATATAGAACTATGTTCCTTGTGACTTGATACTGTTAGTAATATTTGGCTACACTTTATTGTCTGCAGAGAGAACTGTTCCTTCTGGTCTAGATTGAAATTATTACTGTAGTAATAAACAGAGCCTTAAATGCAGCTGCTGTGATTGCCTAGCCAGATATCCATTAGAACAAGCATGGCTCTTGGTCAGATGCTTAGATTGGCTGGCAGCTCTTCAGAGATGGAGGGACTCATCATGGAATGTCAGTCAAGAGGCAAGGAAGGCAGAGGTGCAGACAGAACTCTCTGCTGGCTCCTTGTCTTCAGGGACCCAGGCTACTCGCAAAGGGGGACCTGGAGCTTTACAACCTCTGGCAGTGGATTCATTTCTCATAACACTTGGTTTCCAGACAATTGATCAAATTTGTCACCCTCCTCTGCTCATGTCCCAGATTGTTAATATCCTTCTTAAACTGTGGTTCCCAGAACTGGACAGAGTACTCCAGGTGTGGTCGGACAAAGGCAGAATAGAGCAGGACTATTACTTGCCTTGATTTGGAGACTAGACTTCTGTTAATACAACGTAGAATAGCATTAGGGGTTTTGTTTTGTTTTTGCTTCTGCCTCACATTGTTGACTCATATGCCAATACCTCATCTGGATGTGCTGATGTAAGTAGAAGATGAATTTATATGTTAATCCTGTTGCTGTGAATTGGCTGCACATGCTAAAGATCTTCAGCAGCAACTATGAGAAAGAATGTTTAAATGGGAATTTTACCAGTGTAGTGTTGGTTTGATTTTGCGTTTCTGCTCCATTTCCTACAGAAGTCAAAATTTCACTGATATCCTTCAGGAATTAACAGTCTTCACGGAATATGTATAATTCAAATGAGCACTTTAATCCTACAGCTACACATTTTTATTCCTGGATTGCAAACTGGTTTCTAGCACCTCTGCTTCTTGCACCATTACAAAAGTTGGTATTCATTCAGCTGCTATAGTTACATGATTTTTAGAGATTACAATTACCTGTAGAATATGAGGCACTTCCAAATTATTTAAATAAATAAACAAATAAATAATAACAATAATTGATAGTATTTTTATGTGATTAGCTTATAATTTAATGTATGCATAGCCATGTATAATAATAATAATAATAATAATAATAATAATAATAATATATTGTCTATCTTAATATTATATTATGACAAAGCTATAGTATTAAACATAGTGGGGACTGGAAAATAAGCTCTTGGGGCTGTTTAAAGGAAAAGCCTGGTGGAAATTGTGATGATACAATTACAACAAGCATTTTTAGACAAAGACTAGGAAGGACGTCTTGTAGAGATAAGGATGCCTTTTTCTTCAAAGGTGGAATGATGCCAGATGGCTGAAAGGGCAATAAAAGAAAAGTAAATACACAAAACGATATTCATAAGCATTTTTTTTCTGCTTAATTAGTATAGGCAAAGTGGGGAACAGTTTTGACAGTTTCATGAAGTCATGCATTCCAATTTCATAAGCTGATAGGGTCCATGCCACATAATACTAGAGCAAGATAAATATGTTACAGAGAACAGGACACTTACGGACAAGTTGGAGTTAAGCATCAGGGGAGAGAAATTGAACCTTGTGAAATCTGGTGTTTAGTACACACAGTTGGCACTAAATAATTCAACAGTAGTGGAACCAAATAAATAAAGGAAGTATCTACAATAAAAGGCAGCACAGACTGTGAAAGCAAACTAATGGAATAAAATGTGCAGTTTTGAACATATATAATGAAGGCGAGCCCACAAAAATCCAGGCAAGAATTTTATTTATAAACCGCTCTGAGAGACTTGAAAAGATACGAAAGGAGAGCTCTTTCCCTTGAAGCCCTTTGTGATTTTGTGCAATGAATACACATGTGTTAGTCATTTGTTGTGCTGAGTCCACTTGTGTCCCCTGGAGAATATACTTTTCTGGTAGGAATAACATGTTTCTGAGCACTGAAATGCCAATATATTGTACCTAGTGAAATTCCATATAGCTTTCAGGATTATGCAGTTACAATTGCCAGGAGGAAGGGGCTACATGAATTTTGTAGACATTTATTTTATGATGTGAAGCAATTAGCAATGTGAAGCAAAAACCCTTCAGTGTCAAGTTCTCCTATATTAGTGATTCCCAAACTGTACACCAGGGCTGACTTGTATGCTGAGAGAGGGGATACAGTGTACCTTGATAAATCGAGTCATTGTGATGGATGTTTCCACAACTCCAGCCCCCTGCACACATTGACAAACTGAAGGGGGATCCATGCATTGAAAGGACATTAGAGCTGCACTGTTGGCCCTGCTCCAAATGTTACCCAGTTTCCTTGACCTCACTCCTGACATTTGCATACTGAGTGTGGGCATCTGCAATGGGCAGTACTATTTTTCTAGAAAAAGAGGTGCCGGAACTCACCTTGTTCTCTTATAATGGCAATGGCGCACAACCTCAGAGGTGCCAGAACTGAGTTCCAGCGAGTTGCAGCTGAAAAAAAGCTATGGCGACAGGGGAGACTACATGTGTAGACGTCAATGGAGGTGGAATCTCATGTGACCAGGTTTCCAGCTCTTAATGAAGGTCTGTGTACATGGGCTTCCCCGCTGCAGCCATTCATGTTCAATGCATGGATGTCAGGGGAGAAGCCAGGTTAGCATGTGGCATCTGGGGTGAGGCCAGCAGCATGGAAAGCCCTTCAGATGATTAGTGTGGAAGGCTTCTGTGTCCGTCAGAATGAGGAGACTCCAAACAGCACTGATGCTACCCTGAAAACCGCCTGCGGGAGTGTAATTTTCCCGAGGAAGGGACTAAGGAAACACTGGGGTTCCCTGATATAGCCTTTATTACAGCTGACAGGTACAAGGTAATTCCAGAAGTATTAATCATGGTCCCTTCCATGTGTGGAAAATTGCGGTCAAATACTGTATAAGTAGCAAGTTTGGGGCTAGTTAATGTATTCCTAGGTTTGGTTAGGTCATACCTCTTTACCTCCCGTGAAGAAAAAAGTGAAACTTCCTTTGTTCATTCTATTCCACCATGTGAAGCTGACCCATGCATCACGTCTGGGCATGATTGTTTCAAGCCCATACTGCATGCTCAGAAACATTTTTCTGTATTTTGTAACCCAAGAATTTCCTACCTGTGTTTTTCTTGCTGCTGTACTGTATAACACATGAATGTGGCGTTTAGAGTGTGTGAGTAAAGCATTCAAATCTACTAATGGTGTGATCTGCAAGAGGGATAGAGAGGGGAAGCACTATAAGTGGACTAAATGGGATATTAAAAAGTTTAATAGCCTATTGTTCTCATGCTTCACTGTGCTGAATGATTCTGTGTTGTCAAATTTTGCTGGGGGCTCTCTCTTACTGGAAAGTGTGGTTACACCCAAACTTTGGATCTAGGGGTCCAGCCCTCACTCAGATTTTAAAAATGGCTATGAGTAGAAAGACTATCTGATCTCCCCCTGCTTAGCCATCTTGACAACTTTTGAAAAAGCTGAGTTTCACTGCTTTGCACTACTGCTTCCTGTACAGAGTATTATTTTTTTTAAGGATAAGATAGGTTTTTTCCTTCCCCACCATCCCCAGGCAGACAAGGTTTCACCCCAACAGTGATAAAAATAATGGATATTCCACTATTGTTGCTGGAGAAGTATTCTGCAAAGAATAAAATGTAGTTGGGACATGTTTTGTTTAATTGCATTAAAAAGTCCTAATAAATGCATCAATAAATACAAATACACAAGTATTTTTTTTCCCATTTGAAATTGCTGAAGAGAAGAGTATTGCAGAAAAGAAAGTACCCAGAATGTGGAGCCCAGCATGGAACCCACAGCAGAGTGGTTCGTGAGTGATCTGAAGAGTGCTGAGAAAGTCTAAAAAGAAGCAGAGTGCTGTGATTGAAAGGAAACCAGCAGCTTATTCTATGTTGTGTCCTTATGAAGAGCAGTTCATAGATTTTTTTTAAAGTTAGACCATACCTGAGTTCAACAGCAATTTTACCATTTTAATGTAGCAGTGTCAGTGTTACTCAGACATGCCTGGAACTTGTTGCAGATTGCTCATTATATATTGGATTTTGCACCAATTAAAGGGTCGGTATAGAATTTGAAATGCAATCCATTGCAAAGGATATCATCACAGCAAAGGGGAAGGAGACTAAGGCTGCACTTTTATCTGTACTTATTCTGGGAGTGAGTCCCATTGAACTCAATGGTCTGAATAGATATGTATTGGATTGCACTGTTAGTGAATAATATAAACTTAAGAAGGGGATGGGGCGACACCAAAAACTAAAATAATGTAGAAATGGTTAAAGCCACATGAAAGGCTGGGAATTTAGTCAGAGAAAAGGGTTTAAGATGATGACTGATAAAGCACATACCTTTTGAGAATATGTAAAGGGAAAGTAAGCACCCTAAAGAGGAGAATAATATAGCCAAAGATAAGTAAAAAAAAATTTAATTCATTTATTTCAGTGGAATAGATAGGTGTTCATTTGTAGCTACAATTCTATGCACATTTACGGTGGAAGGTACTCCTATGTAAACATGCATTGCTCTGTAAGTTTTCTCCACTGGAACTTGAAAGTGTCCAGCTTTATCATACCTGTGGCTATTATTTATCCAAAACTGATAACAAATTGACTGCAAAAAGTTATCACTATTCTGCATACAGAACTTCAGAAAATGCATTAGTCACATGAAAGAACAGAAAACTTGAGTACAATATTTTGTTTCACTTTCCCCTTTCCTGAACCTGAGCTTTATAGGGCATGTTTCCTTTGGAGGAAAAATATGGGAGATTTATAGAGTTTTTATAATAAAGTTTAACAAGCGAGTAGGAGAAAAAACAATCATACAACTGCAAGCATGAAGGCAAAACTTGTCTAGTAAAAAACCCCAGCAATGTGCAGCATCCCAAAAATCCAAAACTGCATCTTTTCTTTGGTCTTTATGCATGTTCTATGAGGTTATACAAACAAAATAATTTTTGTTACCTCAATTATTGTGGGTGGACATATCTCAAGCTATATTTCAAATGGCTATGGCAATGCATGGCTTTCTGTTTCAGTACAGTGGTGCCTCGCAAGACGAAATTAATCCGTTCTGCGAGTGTCTTCGTCTAGCGGTTTTTTCGTCTTGTGAAGCAACCCTATTAGCGGCTTAACGGATTAGCGCTATTAGCGGTTTAGCGGCTATTAAAGGCTTAGCGGCTTAGCTGCTAAAAGGCTATTAAAGGCTTAGCGGCTTAGAAAAAGGGGGGGGAGCGGAAAAAAATCTCAAGACTCGCAAGACATTTTCGTCTTGCGAAGCAAGCCCATAGGGAAATTCGTCCTGCGAAGCGCATCGAAAAACGGAAAACCCTTTCGTCTAGCGGGTTTTCCGTCTTGCGAGGCATTCGTCTTGCGGGGCACCACTGCACTGATCAAGACACATAAAATACAAGTGTAGCCATGTTTGTTCATAAGAAAAAACAACCTCAAAATTCAAACACATGGCAATTTTTTGAGTTATCCTCTGGCCTCTGGTTCCAAGGAGGACTTTTTAATGAGCAGACACACTACTACCTCTAAGAACTTCAGGCATCACCACCCTCATGCAAAGATGCATTTACTGCCCCTTGGACTCACTAGTGAATAGCATGGTTGGGCAACAGTGCTTATCTGACCTTTCAGCAACTGGGGGTTGGAGGCAGGTGGTGGGGAAGTCAACATGCAAACTTCGTAGATGATGATGACTCCCTTGCCCCCACCTAATCCCTCCAGCCAATGAAGGTGCTGCACTGAGTACCCAGGTGGACAAAACAGGGTCTGACTAACCCCACCCTTGGTAATACAAGCCAGGTTGGCCTCCACATCCATGATTAAATCATGGATGACAGATGTCTTGTTGTGGCCTGCCCTGGCATTGAAAAGCACCACCACTAGCCTAGAGAATGGGTTGACAAGATGGGTTGACACCAAAGCCTTGGGGGATGCAGGAAGGACCAGGAAGAGACAATAATTTTAAGCATCTGCCCATCTTCTCACGAGGCTTATCAAACCTTCAGCATCATATCTCTCCCAGACTTGATCATTATAATACAGGTACCCTTCCCCTCTGCATTCACCCAGGCACATAATTTTAGTCACCACACATTATTCCTATCAATAAGGAAAGTGGAAGGCAGGGCAGGGGTAGTATTTGAGACAAATACCTGGTCTGGTCACAGCAGCCATGCTTAGTTGTCTGGAGCTATTTGCTCTGAATTCACCTGTACAGTGCACCTAGACTCTGGCACACTATTCTGCTTCCATGAGTGTTATCTTTTGAAGCCCACAGGAAATATTAGCAGAAGTAAAGAGGAAGGTAGATAATATGACACAGATTTTCCTATATTAGTTATACCAATGTTTAGCTATTCATGCAGTGTACGCAATGAGAGCCATAGATCTGTCTTGCTAAATGATAAAATTAAACAAGGATTGGTGTGAGTGATGGATTTAAAAGAAGAAATCATGATGTCAACTTCTGCTGGATTACCAAGCTTCCATAGATCAACAGAATGGCCTTTCTCATGGGTGAAAGGCACTAGCAAAGCTGTATTTCTCTGTGTTCGTGATATTAAAGGAGGCTTAGACTTCCCTTGCTTTTGATATCTTTTCCCTCCACCCCCGTTTTCCCCATAAACTGCTGTACTTCATAAGATCACTGCTTGTGGTTTGGCTTTCTGGAGGTGCTTGCTTGAAATGAATGGATATAACTAGCACTTATCACAGTGTGGAACTTTTTTATGATAAGCTTTCTCTAATACAGCAGTGATGCCACAGCACCACTTCATCAGGGCACAGTTGGGGGAAGAGAAAAAGTAAAAACATTTAAGGGACCGGCATATGGACAACAAGTCAATTAGCAGGCATATAAGGAAGACAACTGCTGGTACTGAAATGCCTCAGATCTTATCGGGAAAGTAGTTAAGCAAACAGCCCATGGTGAATTAGTCTGCAATCTGATGCCTAATTTAACTCCAAGAACCTCCAACCTTATTGCACAAAAGGAAATTAACATGTTAGAAAATAAGGCTGAATTACTGCATAGATACAACACTAGATCTGCTTCTTGAACTGAAATATTCTACATTTAGGTTGGAAATTTTCAAGTTTAAGCCCATCAAAAAGAGTCCTAAAATTCAAATTTAATTTATTTGAGGAACAGACACTGACCTCCTGGTTACAATACACAGAACTGCATTTTTATATGTTCATAAGAACTGACCATATTAACTTACTGTCAAACCAGTTTTATCAACTGTATTTTATTGTGAGAGAATGCAGTATGCATCTGCTGACATCAGTAAATATATGTATAGTTTACTGAGTAAGTAACCAGGAGATGCTCACCATTTTACTCCCTGCATCATCATCATCATCATCATCATCATCATCATCATAATGTTTTACATGCATTTTCCAAACAATTCTACATTGGCCAGTCAAGTTAAAAAGGATTCTAATCTGAGTGCAAAGGATTCAGTAGCCTCATGACCTGTGACATAGCTTATTGATCTGTCTCAAACTCTATATACATGTAGGCCCCTAAGTTCTGACCTTGCATGTTCAGCTGAGCAGGACACTCTACCTACTGTGCTTTCAAAGTGCCAACAACTGACTTCAGGGACCCTGGGTTAAAGAACACATTGTCTGGATCTAGGTACAGTCACCCATAGCCTATGTCTAACTTCATGTGGGTGATTCCCTCTAAAGAACTTGGGATCTAGAATTATCTGATGGTTGCCTGACTAGGAGATTGCATTGGGGTCTAATGTTAGCTGGTTTGAGCTTTTCAAAAGGAGACTGGAATATTTTGCAAGAAGGACAGGCCTTCTGCTCGAATTACCTTTCCCTGTCATATGTATAATTTTCTCGTTACCCTCTCCCAAATTCTGCATGATTTAAGTTTAGCGTGTCATATGAAGTAATAAAAGTATGCTTGCCTAAAAGAGGTCCTTTATGATGTTGTTGTTGTTTTAAAAACTTTTGATAAAACTCTCCATAGTGAATTTTATATGAAACTTTAAGTGTCCAAGTTTATTTTTTTCTATATTTTATATAGCCATCAAGATGTGCAGGACAGGTAGAATTTTGTAAGACATGTCAAGATTCCTGCTTTTCTGAAGTAAGCATTAATTATTAGTGGCAAAGTTTCAAATACTGTAATCATGTCTAGAGTGCTTGGCCTTAATCCTATTCTTTTACCAGAACCATCCACTATTGCTTGTGGAATATCATACAGTCTCTTACGCTCTTCCATGGTCTCTTTGCCTCCTCATTGTTCTCATTGCTCCACCAGGGAGCCACAGAGAAGCCATACAGAAATGAGTGATGCATTAGCAAACCAACCAGTCAGGGACTTAGTATCTGTGTAAACTGCTTTGAGACTATAGTACAGTGGGCCACACTTTCAGAATAAAAATTTGCTCACATTGCACCAATTTTTTTTTTATTCATAAGAAATACACCGGAAAAGGAAAAGAGACAACAACTAGCAGTCCTTGATTTATAACATAGTGCACAACTGCTTTATAGTATGATCATCTCAAAAGTATAAAACAATGCAGCTGCATAAGAGCACAAGTCATTCCCAAAATATAATTATAAACAAGACTCTTACATGCAGTATGTACCTTAAGTATGCACACAAACTCATTGAGAGGTGTGAGCTTGCTTTCGTGGGCTAAACTCATTTATATTAGGCCTAATTTGAGACAAACAAACTCTCATTTTTTTCTCTCTTTTTCTGATCTTTCATATTTGTAAGAGTTGAAAATCCCTGTATGTTGTAGAGACGGATAGCCAATTCTTCCTGATTCTCTGACTTTTGGTAAATAAAGTTGTAGTTAGCAGTGCATTGCTTGAGATCCTAATGAATGTCATTAGCCCACTTTTATTTTTAGAATGAATAGAAGGAGAATTCCGGGGTCAGCGCCAGCGGCTAATGGCGTAGCTCCTCTAAGCGGAGGAACTAGCTCCGTGAAAACTGGGTTGCCCGCCACGGCGAAGGCGGGGACCCATTAGAAATCTCAGGTGGAGGAAGCCTGGGAACGTGGGGGTTCGGCAGGGCACCTGGAGCGCCCCCCTACTCGCGGGGAATCCCTTTTAAGGGCTCCGGAGCGAAGTGGGGTGAGCGGCGCGGTGCTGCAGACTGACTGCTACTTTCACGGAGTGAAGTCGCACAGCCATTGCCGGGGAGCGCTGACTTTTTTCCTGTGGACATTTGGATCTAAAGTAACTACCTGTGAGTAAAGTGAAGAAATTGGACTTTTAATAAGTTGAATTCGGCTATGAACGGGGGAGGCATAAAACAGGAAGTCCGCCTTCCTCTTTTTGTAAATAGTGGGAAGCAAGGAGGTTTAAACTAAAGCCTGAAAGACTGCTTTTGACATCTAAATCTTCAGTATAAAAATAGCGAACCCCCCCTTGGCTGCAGGGGAAAAAGGGGGGATTCTTGGACATTATTTGCCTGCAGAAAAAGAGGGTAAAAGCTAACTTTTCACCACTCGGAACCTGGGAACGGCAGCCATTAAAATTGCTGCATCGTGGAGCTCAGCATTGACTGTGTACAGACTATTGGACTGTCAGTGAGTGAAACACTGTATCAATTATTTTCTCTTGGCTTAAAAGTTTCAACTACGTTTCTGAATTAAAGTTAAGGTTGGATACTAACTATACTGGCATAACTTGTTAGAGTAACTTTTAAAAGAAAAACAAAAAGAAAAGGATACTTTGGACTAATATAAGATAAACAACTACTTCCCTCTAGAGGAGGATTTTGAAACTGTTATAAGGAGTGGAATTTTCCAGTTTTAAAGATAAAACCCTGGGACTGTACCTGACCTTGAGGGCCTTGAGTGTTATGGCAGATGGGAAGGAAAAAATAGATTCATTACAAGAAAAGACAACTAGATCTGGCAGGACCTTTCGGAGAGCTTCTACATCTGGCCCTCCTGCTCCCTCTGCAGCTGTGTCAATGTATACTAAACCAAAAGGAGGAATGCCCTCGGAAGAAGATTGGGCTCTTGTTTTAAGTAAAATTAACAGCTCTTTGGAACAAATGAATAAAAAATTGGACCAAAATTCACAAAAATTGGACCAAAATACACAAAGTATAAAAAGCTTGGAACAAAAGGTTAATTCTAACACAGAAGCTATAGAGACATTAGTTAAGGAGTCTAACTTAACTAGACAGACTGCAGAGGAAGCCAAGGAAAAGATTGTTACTGTCGAAGCGAAGGTAGCACAATTGGAAACAGAGGTCCCAGATGTGTGGAAACAAGTACAAGATCAGAAGCAGATGCTCTCTATGTTTGAGCTCAAGGAGAAACAGACAAATTTGAGAATTCATGGAGTACCTGAACTAGAAAAAGACTCCTTGATAGACTTTCTTACAGAGGAATTTGCAGCCTTTTGGAATCGGGACCTACAAAAAGAGGAGTTTAAAATTGTGAGAGCCTTTAGACTTGGAAGAGGAGGGAAGAAGGAGAAGAACAGAATAAGAGACTGCCTGATTACACTCCGATCGAAGGAAGAGAGGGATAAAATCTTGAGTTGGCATTACGAGGAGGCCTTGACAATACACCAATTTAGAGTGGAGATATTTAAAGATATTCCCAAATATCTTTTAGATTTGAGATTTAATTTCAGAGATTTGGTTGAACTGTTGAGAAGGAACAGAATCAACTTTCGATGGGAATTTCCTCAAGGCCTATCCTTTAGCTTCAAAGGAAGAAAAATAAAGATAAGATCAATAGAGGATAAAACAAAGTTCCTGTACAACCACGAAGAAGACCTACAGAAGGGAATTGGAAAAGAGCCAACAACACCGGAAAGAGGGTCACCAGACAGAGGATTGGAGCAAAGAGTGCGGAAGAGAGCATCAACAAAAAAAGATACTTTGGATACCTTGGACATCTCATCATTGTCTTTTGGATTGGACCCCCCTGATAAGGAGCCAACGCTACTACCAACAGAAGAGGAGCAAGATCTGGGGGCAGTTGGGGGAGTACCAAAGTAGTCACAGGATGGCGCTGCAGGACCTGAGCTGGAATGTGCATGGCCTTAACATTTCAGAAAAAAGGCGACGAGTGTTTCATTTATTGAAAAAAGAGCAACTGGACTTGATTTGCCTACAAGAAACGCATGTGACAAGGTTACACAGGAAATTATTAAGTAACAAAAAATTAGGCCAAGAATTTATTTCTTCGGACAAAGTTAAAAAAAGAGGAGTGGTTCTCTACGCAAAGGAGAGCCTATCACCTAAATTTATCTTTAAAGATGAACAAGGAAGACTTGTAGCAATTGAAATTCAATTACAAGGAGACAGGTTTTTGGTGATAGGTATCTATGCACCAAATGAAGGGAAATCGGAATTCTTCAAAAAGCTACATGAAATCTTGATGGACTATTTGGATTATAATATGATTTTGATGGGAGACATGAATGGTGTTGTATCTACGAATATGGATAAGGCGCAAAGACAAACAATCACCAAGGATGGAAGACTACCAAAAACATTTTTTGACATGACTGAAAATTTGGACTTAATTGACATTTGGAGAATGAAGAATCCTCTGGGAAGAGAGGGAACTTTCTTCTCGGAGGCAAAAATGACATGGACAAGAATTGACCAAATTTGGGTAACTAGAGGACTGGCTCCAAAGATCAGCAAGGCTGAAATTTGCCCAAAGACCAGCTCTGATCATAATGCTGTGAAGATGGAAATGAAATTAATGCCAACTGGTTCCTTCAGATGGAGGATGAATGACTCTTTGTTTAGGAATGATGAATTTATTTAAAAGGCCCAAAAAACATTGAAAGATTATTTTGAGATAAAGATGAACACTACAGTGGAAAAAAGAGTAATCTGGGACGCAAGTAAAGCCGTAATGAGAGGTTTTTTGATACAACAGAATGCAATTAAGAAGAGAATGCAAAATGAGAAAAAAGACAAAATTTTGGAAAAAATAAAGGAAGGAGAGAAGAAACTGAGGGCGAAACCAAAGTCCCAGGAAATTTTAAAAGAAATAAAGCTTTATCAAGTACAATATATGAAAATGATGAATCAGGAAATAGAATGAAAGATTAAACTGAGACAAAAGACATTTGAATCAGCAAATAAGTGTGGGAAACTGCTGGCTTGGCAATTGAAAAAAAGACAAAAATTAAATACTATTACGAATCTGGAAGTGGAAGGAAAGAATATACAGAATCCAGCTGAAATTAGAAGGTGCTTCCAGAGGTATTTCAAACAATTATATACACAATAAAAGCAGAATGAAATGGACATTGATAAATTCCTGGAAATAAATGGACTACAAAAAATTTCCCAAGAAAATAAATTAATGCTTGATTATAAAATAACGGATCAGGAAGTAGAAGGGGCCATTCAGAATATGCAATTAGGTAAATCTCCAGGACCGGATGGACTGACTTCTAGATACTACAGAACTTTGAAAGAATGGTTAATACAACCATTAAAGGAAGTCTGTAATGAAATATTGGAAAGGAAAAGGGCACCTGAGTCGTGGAAAGAAGCATACATTACACTTATACCAAAATTAGAGTCTGAAAAGATGCAACTTAAAAACTACCGTCCCATATCACTGCTTAATGTGGATTATAAAATTTTTGCAGACATTTTGGCTAAAAGATTGAAAAAGGTGCTAGCAGAAGAAATTCATAAAGACCAAGCGGGCTTTCTCCCGGGCAGGCATTTGTCTGATAAACCCGATAATAAATGTTGGAAATGCAATGAAATTGAAGGTACATTCTTTCACCTTTGGTGGACATGCCCAAAGATTAAGGCATTCTGGGAGATGATCTATAATGAAATGAAAAAGGTATTTAAATATACCTTTTTAAAGAAACCAGAGGCCTTTCTCCTGGGCATGGTGGGCCAATTGGTGCCAAAGGAGGACAGAGTTTTTTCATGTATGCCACAACAGCAGCAAGAATACTCATCGCAAAGCACTGGAAGACACAAGACTTACCTACCAGGGAAGAATGGCAGATGAAACTGATGGATTACATGGAATTGGCGGAAATGACTGGCAGAATCCGAGACCAGGGAGAAGAGTCGGTGGAAGAAGATTGGAAAAAATTTAAAGTATATTTACAGAAATATTCTAAAATTAATGAATGTTAGAAGTATGCTGGAAAGAAGCTATATGACTTTAGTAGAAATACTATAAAGAATTAAGTATGAATAGATTGACATTGGGTAAAGGCGTAAATTTAAGGCTAAATTGCGTTAAGATAAATTATGGAACTAAATTTGAGAAAGAGGGAAAGGACTTGCTGGAATAATTAATTGAACTAGAATACAAAAAAGGAGGTGTGAGGAAGTCGAGGAAATAAGCAAATGAAAAATAAGGATATGAAAATACGGGATCCCTTTTATTTTTGTTTGCTCTTTTTTGGGTTTTTTAAATGTTTTTGTCTTTTTTCTTTTTTTCCCTTTTTTATATTGTTGATGTTTTGTATTGCTGTATTCATTTTTGTGTTTGAGGTTTTGGAATTGTTTATTGCTTGTATTTTTCTTTTGTTTCTCTTTTCTTTTCTTTGTAATGTTTAAACTTTAATAAATATCTTATTTAAAAAAAATGAATAGGAAGTGTTCCTGTTGTAAGTGGGGGAACAATATGTGTCCTGACACAGTAATGTTAATGGGGATATCATATTTTTCACTTAATTAGTCCATGTAATTGGACATAATTGATGTTAATTGAAATGATTACATGATGCAAAGAAAGAGAGTGAACTATATTTTAAGAGAGCATATTTGTTTAGATTCGTAATCCTCCAAAATTAATTTTAAGAACACCACTGTGATGGATTAGTTTAGTTTACTACCGAAAACTGAATAGGCCTAAGGCCATGTTCTCCTTTTTCTTTTCTTTTCTTTTCTTTTCTTTTCTTTTCTTTTCTTTTCTTTTCTTTTTTCAAAAAAGTGCTTAGAACAGTGCAGTTTGACAGCTATATAATTGTTTGCAAGGTGCTGTGTACTGCTCACATTAATAAAAGAGCATTCTAACCCATCAACCTCTCATCACATTTTCTGGCCAAAGAAATTTGCATTGTTTGAAACTGAATTAATGAAAGAGTTTGCATCCTTCTGCTAGACAGTAAGGTGTGAGTTCTTTGGGTCCTTGGGGGATGGAGTTGGTGAGATGCCAATAAGTGCTGCCCTCTATTGCTCTCGCCTAGTCAAATTGCCTGCTAAGAAATTGCTCTTGGCTGAAGGTAGTGCTTCCTGTAGAAAATATAAAGGGCGTGAGGAAGCCCCCATAACTTATTATTTGTTTCAGGAGAAACCAGGTAGTCTTCCATTTGTTCATTTACTTTGAACATGTATGTGCTTCTTTTCTGTAATAATGTTTTGAGACTGGAAATAGAGGAATTGTTTTGAAACTGGAAAGAGAGGAATTGTTCCTAGCAATTATAATGAGGATATCATTTTATGAATATCAGTTAAGCAATAATGTCTTATTATGTATCTTTTCGCATTCTGGAAGACTAGAGCTTCCATAAGTCTCAAACAGTGTACCATATCAAATGGCCCACTATTCCTGTGGACGTGACTTGGTTTTGTAGTGATCTTACCATGACAACAGCCTTACATTTTTGCCTTCAATCACCAGATCACCCAAATCGTGAAGAGTGCAGTACACTGTGTGACTTTTCACTTGTGCACAGATCAGTATATCCTGTGCCAGTCCCAGGGGTGCCACGGAGACCATGAAGCCCTGTGCAGAGCAAGCAAGATATCAGGAATTTGGGCACCTTCAGCACCAGCCTCAAGTCAGAGAGTAAACCACATGCATAGCACCTGAAATTAGAAATACACATACAAGACCAGACCATATATTTTGCTGAGTAAAACACATTACAAAGCCAGTCTTGGTGAATCATGGAAACTCTAGTTCCCTGATATTCACCCTGAAGTTGTTACTAGAACAAGTATCTGGTCATAACAAGCTGGGCCAGTAAAAGTCCACTCATCTCATTTGATCAGGTCTCAGTAGTTCATGGCAGGTTGGCTTTTTCTTCAAGAACACATGTGTTGTGGATGTGAAAGCCCATCCTAAGAAAAATCTTAGGATGCATGCTTATTCTCTTGAAGTTTGCAGTAAGAGAAGCATTATATAAGGGGTGATGGCTTTTGTAATTCTGGGACTGAAGGACGCGGGTGGCGCTGTGGGTTAAACCATAGAGCCTAGGACTTGCCGATCAGAAGGTCGGCAGTTCAGATCCCCGCGACGGGGTGAGCTCCTGTTGCTCGGTCCCTGCTCCTGCCCACCTAGCAGTTTGAAAGCACGTCAAAGTGCAAGTAGATAAGTGGGTACCGCTCCGGCGGGAAGATAAACAGCGTTTCCGTGCGCTGCTCTGGTTCGCCAGAAGCGGCTTAGCCATGCTGGCCACATGACCCGGAAGCTGTACGCCGGCTCCCTCGGCCAGTAAAGCGAGATGAGCACCACAACCCCAGAGTCAGCCATGACTGGACCTAATGGTCAGGGGTCCCTTTACCTGGAAAATCAGGAGACTTGGAGGGTATGATTTTAGCATATAATAAACAACCGTGACGTGCCAACTCTGTGCTGAGGCTGCGTTAGTCTCTTTAATTGGCATTCAGAAATATAGCTGGCTTTTATGTACATCTTAAAATTGAGCAGAGACCATACTGCTTTTATGACAAGTAAAAAGCTCATAAAAACTAATGTTTTGCTTTCTTTGATGAGTATTGCAGACAGAATTATTTTTTCTTTCGCTTTCTATATCAGGGGTGAGATTAGGGTGTCTGGTTTGCATTCTTGTTTATCTTCTTGCCTCTTAAAGCATTTTTCATATTCCCTGTGAAAAAGCCTATTGGAGAAGAAAATATAGTGCAGAACTGTAATAAATAAATAATTAAACAGAGATGAACTATATGCAATAATACAACATTTATTTCCAGGATGGTGAAATAGGTATACCAAGAACATATTGGAGACTGACTTTTAGTAAGGCATTGCAAGATTGCAGTATTTAAATTAATGTATTAAATATCAGGCTTGCAAGACCATTGGCTGGGAAAGAAATTGCTGAATGTGTTTATTTCTTTAATTGTTTGTGTTATATCCACAATAATAATAGAAAACATTCTGAAAAAGTTAAAACGTTCTAAAAATCGTTACATTTGAAAACATAATTTCCTCCATTGATCTCAGGTTTTCCAGGAACAGTATCCCACCAAACGCTTTCAAATTCCTCCCAAAAATAATAATAATGTCAGAGTCTGACATACTTCACTCTTGACCTCTGCAAGTCTTCTACAAAGTTCTGGTGAAAATTGTTGCCTGTTATTGGAGATGACTTGGCTGGGGCTCTCAGAGCATGAAAAATAGCTTTCATTTTATTGAGAGCTTATTTCCAATGATCAACTTCAGTGAATTTAGGGAAATAGTCTATCATCAGAAGATAAGGGGTCTTCTCCAGATAAGATGGGTCATTCCCAATTTTCTGCCAAGTCAGTTTAGGAGGACAGCAGTCTTAAGAGGTACTGGCAGATTTGCCTGCCTTCTGGCACCTACGTTAAAATCTCCACCCCCCCTCTTTTTACTGCATGATGATGTGCCAACCTGTGGGCATTCTCTTGCATCTCTGATGGACATGGTTCCTTTAGGCCCTGTTCCAAATGGTGTCTGAGAGCCTGTTTGTCTGGCTTTGCAATTTGCATATGGCAGTGTTTCCCAACCTTGGGCCTCCAGCTGTTTTTGGACTACAACTCCCATCATCCCTAGCTAGCAAGACCAGTGGTCAGGGATGATGGGAATTGTAGTTCAAAAACAGCTGGAGGCCCAAGGTTGGGAAACACTGGCATATGTTATTCAGAGCGATCACTTTCTACCCTCTGTAGTGGAAGTTTCCTGTTTAAATTCATTCTGGATCAGTGATTGTTGTGCTGTTATGTATGAGGTCTGAGGGAACTTGATGTTTTTCCTATGATGCAACATCCAAATTTACTTCAAACTTTGGTTTAAGTGAATTCTGGTAAAAACTTGGGAACAAGCAAAATGCATCTTACAGTTTTTTCAAGAACATTTTTCGGCTTCTCTCAAATCCACTCAGATTTTTCACCTTTGAAAGAATATTCTTCTTTAGATATTGATGTAATCAAAATCCAGTGGTACCCTCAGGATACATGGAAACCATGACTGAGAAATTTCATTAACCTTATGGAAACCTTTTATTTTTTTACCTTTTATCAAAATTCCTTAAATAGCTTGCCTAGAGAGGAATGCCCAAGTTGACTTTAAATTTTGATATATGTAAAAAAGAATGGATGGTGTGATCTGTAAAAGTGGGAAATATATGCTCAGTTCTTCCTTAGGTCTTGCCATAGGCCTTAAAAGTCAAGGTATCTGAGCACTCCTAGTAATGGGCTAGTTCAGCCACAATGAAAAATAATGGTTTCCTGCTATGTGAATGACCATGATGAGTCTTGGGCTTGCATGTTCAGAAGCTTTCAGTTGGTTAACAAAAATAAGCTACAAACAAACATAGTTCTCTGTGACATTTGAATTGGTAAACAGTGGTTTGTTTAAACTATGGTAAGAAAAAGGATGGATCAGGCCAGAGTTTCAGATCCTTACTTGTTCTGAAACCATAGTTTACAGTTTACATGTTTGGTTTAAAATAAGGAACAAACACTTCTGACCTTCTCATGCACAAATGAGAATATATTTGGGAAGCCTGAGACTTACTGAAGCATATTCACATCACAGAAAACCAGGCTCTATCACAGCGGTGGGGAACTTGATTTGCATCCTGACCTCAGCCCAGCCCTATGGGCCATTTGTAAAAGGTTTATTAAATCATGGGTGCCATCAGTGACTCCTGCCCCTTGCCAAGGAACAACTGAGAGCCCATCTTAAGGCATCAGAGCTGGAAGTTTCCCACTGCTGATTTACTGTTATGCTGAATTAGACCAGGTCTCAGTGATAAAATGATTGCTGTTATCTAGATTATCTAGGGACTGTTGCCAAGTACATGAAGCACAAGGAACTCCACAAAAACTATTGACATTTCCTTATTCAGAAATAAGCTAATGTGAAAAATAATTGCATGTTTCCGATTGTTGACAGTGCAAGATCATTTGACACTTCTGATAAAATAGGATACAATGCACGTTTCTTCAGAGTATGCAGTTTGCAAAAGACCAATAAAACAGGCATATCTGTCAGTTTAATCAATATAATGTGCCACATGAAAAATGCTTTCCAATCTCATTTTAGTCTGAAATTTATCTGTGGGGATCAGAGAGCACATTGGCAAATTTTCAGCATTCAACAAGCAGTTCAATGAGCAGTTTGTAAGTGTTCTGTCAGGGTAAAACAACTTAATGTGACAGGTTCCTGGTGACTTGTATCATAATGTTCTCCTTAAAAAGTTTATAATAGTACTTAATTTGGGATAAAGTGACAATACAGTCTGTGGATTTATCTTGTTGGGGAAAAGCAAGAGGAAATGGTATTCTATTCTGAGCCAACATTTTCAGAGTACATAATATCATGCGTTATAGATAATGTTATACCAAAGGGTTTCACCCAGACGTGTCCCTCCACTGATGGAAGACTCATTGATCCAGTGGAGCCTTCTGTTAGTGGAAAGCAGGAAGGCAATTTTCTCTGATTCTAGATTTCTATAGCCCACTGCAGCCGTCCCAAATTCATATTCAGTATTCATGAATAAACCTACACAGTCCATTCAAACAGCCTTTAAAATTCGAAGGGAGGTGATTATGGGGTGGGGAGAGCTAGGTCGTTTGGAGTATATGAGGACTTGTAGGGGGACACAGGTGGCACTGTGGGTTAAACCACAGAGCCTAGGACTTGCCGATCAGAAGGTCAGCGGTTCGAATCCCCGTGACGGGGTGAGCTCCCGTTGCTCGGACTCTGCTCCTGCCAACCTAGCAGTTCGAAAACACGTCAAAGTGCAAGTAGATAAATAGGTACTGCTCCGGCGGGAAGGTAAACAGCGTTTCCGTGCGCTGCTCTGGTTCGCCAGAAGCAGCTTAGTCATGCTGGCCACATGACCCGGAAGCTGTACGCCAGCTCCCTCGGCCAATTAAGCGAGATGAGCGCTGCAAGCCCAGAGTTGGCCACGACTGGACCTAATGGTCAGGGGTCCCTTTACCTTTACCTTTAGGGTGGGGAGTTGCATAGTGCCGCTATTTAAATGGGATTTACAACCCCCCATGCATCAGTGGAAACAATATTACTGTTTTCTGGACCCAAGCAATGGAATGTTATTTGTTTCTTCGTAAATGATGTGCATAGATAAAATGCCAGTCCTCCACATTGCGTTATATGTTTGCATAACTAGGAAATATAACCCATATTTGAGCCATGCAGATGAAGAGGTGGAGCTATACAGGTAAGAGCAAGAGCCATGGTTGCCAGGACTGTACTTTGTTTCAGCCAGCAACACCTGCTCAGGGATGGGCCAGACCCAGGTCAGACACAGCTGAGAGCTGGTTCCAGGGGAGCCAAATCCATAAAGGGTATTGTGAGCGGAGTCAAGTCAGGCCAGGGTCAGATTCCAGAAAGGGAGGTCACCAGGAAGACGTCTGCTGGGCACATGAAGTGGAAAGTCAGGTCTTAGATAAGTAGAACAAAGAAACGCTTAGCACCATCGTTCGTCTGGAAGTCTGACTAGTTAAACTTGAACGCTGGTCCTCCAACTAGCAAACTCTGACTGAATCTTCTAAGTAGAGATTTGGCTTCCTTCAGGCTATTCACTTTTGCTTTTGTCTCCACAAAGAAATAAGTGTCCACCTTTAAAGGGAACCTGCTTGCTTTAGGAGTCTTTGATGATGGGATGTAGAGGTGGTTGGAGCATGAATGTGGCTTCAGAGCTGGAGTTCTTGGATAGTAGTTGTATCTCTTTAGGCTGAAGATGTTGATTATCCTTTCTGATGATGGGAGTTCGGAGGTGGTGGGGACATTGAGGACTGTTTCCAAAGCCCAGTTTGGTTTGAGAGATTGTCTCTGCCTGCTGTCTGTGAGGACATAATCAGAGCCCTGTGGAATGCAGGTGAGCATCTATCCCAGTGGCATCATACAACTTAATATTATTCCAAATTCACTTGCATTGGAAAGTAAAGTGCATCGTTGCAACAAGGGAAAAACCTGCCTCCTTTCCCCCACATATGGTGACCTTGTCTTTTTACTGTCGGGCATTGAGATGCAACGTGTCTCTCTGGGAAAAACATAAGAAACACTGCACTGCTCTCAAAATGTAAAGAAGAAGCATTCTTAAGAAAAACTATATGTAAAATAATTATATCTAACGTAACATGTAATATCATTCCCAACTTATGCTTCAAATGGGTAGAGATGTGTTGTGAAAAATATACATAATGTATAGAAAGAAAGCATGCAGAGTTCAAAATATTTTAAAACAATGAAGATTTGAAAAATACAATTGCATTTTGACTATAGAGATTTTTTCAGTCCCTTGAAAAACAGCTATCTCATTTGCTAAAAAAATAGCTTTTTATGGCACATATATTTCAAGGGTGGTTTTTACATCTATGAGTTAATGAAGGTTGAGATGTGATTTCTGCTTAAAGAAATAATATTAAATTACTCGAACAGATTTCAAGATTTGATTTTGGTCTTCTACCTATCAAATGAAATTAAATCTTTATGATGGAGTTACATCCAGTTGTTAACCAAGTATCTCTGTACTGTTTTTAAAACTGTAATTACATTTCTTGAAAATTATAATGGTTTGATACAAAATTAATTTAAACCCATTAGTTTAACATCTGTAAACATTTCCATTATAAATTCTCAAAACGCCACATATTGTTCTTGCCTGAAGATGGTTTCCATATTCCCAGTGTATCAAATATGAGCTGCTTAATTTGCATACTATTGATGCAAACTGAGGACATTAATTTATTCCTGTGGAAAGGCATCTCACGTCAGGAAAGAGTGGCTTTTCTCATTTGTCTATTTATATATTAATACTTACACATACATACACTGCCTACTCCTTGTTTCTTCTTTGAGAGATCAGCAGAGACATGGCAGAGTTTTATGCTCGCTTGTCCCCATTTCTCGTATTTTAAAATTACATGGCTCTGTATGGAAGTAGAACTCATTGGTTTTCCCTCAGATCTTGAATCTTGCTGGATGTGTGCTAAAATCCAGTCATCTTGCATTAAATTGTGAAGTTTTTTCTTGGTTAGGAGGCATACTTCTTTGGTAACGTTTGAATTTGATAGAACTCAAGGGAGGGCCCAGCTAGTGGTTATTTTGCACTCTGCTTCACCTCTGCTCAATAAAGATATCTAGTAAACACAGTACAAATATAAAAATGATATGTATCCCACGGTCAGGATAGTTTATATTTGCTACCAGGCATGAGTGTTGCAAAGTATATCCCTACTGCCTGCAACGAAGCTGGTTTTCTGACCCAGGCTATCTCTCATGTCCTGAGCCACATAAACCTGGCACTTAGCTTTAGAGTAAATCAAGCAGGTCAAAATATTCGCTAATGCAAATGATATGCCCAAGAATGGGATTTATGATGTGTTACTAATTCCATTTAGAGATTATGTGACCTGAGCAGAGAGAAGACGAAGGCTGCTTAACGTTAATGTATTTGTTGAAACAAACAAATAAATAAAAGGTTCAGGGTCAGTTCACACTCTCCTAAGTAAACGGTGAAAGCACTGTGCTGGAACGCTATGGGAATTAGCAAGGAATGGGGTATGCTGCCAAAAAAACTCACATCCTCCCCAAACACCCCAAAAAGTACTGGATAAAATTAGACCTTTAGGAGGGAAGCATATTGCAATAGTGGAAAGGATAAAGGGAAGAAAGAGCCATCTAGGCAACTAGATTTGTAGGCCAGTTGATTTGTTGCTATTCATATTAATTTGTGGGCATTTATTCCCATTAGGCCTGGGACGTGAGTGGCGCTGTGGGTTAAACCACAGAGCCAAGGACTTGCCGATCAGAAGGTTGGCGGTTCAAATCCCTGAGACAGGGTGAGCTCCCGTTGCTTGGTCCCTGCTCCTGCCAACCTAGCAGTTCAAAAGCACCTCAAAGTGCAAGTAGATAAATAGGTACCACAATGGCGGGAAGGTAAACGGCGTTTCCGTGCGCTGCTCTGGTTCGCCAGAAGTGGCTTAGTCATGCTGGCCACATGACCCGGAAGCTGTACGCCGGCTCCCTTGGCCAATAAAGCGAGATTAGCGCCGCAACCCCAGAGTCGGCCACGACTGAACCTAATGGTCAGGGGTCCCTTTACCTTTATTCCCATTAGACTACAGATGATAACCTTAGCGGTTGTGTGTCCAAATGAAAAAAATCAACTATAGGTTAGATTTTTACAAATTATCTCAGGGTTGATGTTTGGTATTGGTAAAATGTTGTTATAAGTTTGGTTGTTGTACTGATACTCTTTTTTGTTAGTTAATTATGGAATGTTCATTTTTCTTGGTAGGAAAACATAATGGAAGTTATAAGAAATCAAGAGTTTTTATTGTTGCCAGCAGAGGAACTCCATAAGCTTCTTGCAAGTGATGATGTGAATGTTCCCGATGAAGAGACCATTTTCAATGCCTTAATGAAGTGGGTTAAGTATGACATGCAAAGGAGGTGTAATGACCTGAGTATGTTACTTGCCTACATCCGATTACCACTTCTTCCACCACAGGTAAATTGTTCTTCTTCTTAATAAAAGCTGTATTTTTTAAAGGCATAATATTTTTTGCTTTCATAAATAGAGAGTTTTGAAGCATGCATCTTGCTCAGTGATTTGAAGTTATGTTTTAGTCTTGTCATATTTATAAAGTCTCGGCCAGTGGCTTACCAGTTTTCTTCTGTAGACCAGGGGTAGCCTGTCCTGTTTCGCCACCTGAGGTCAAACAAGAACGTGCCACTGCCTGCCCACTACCACCGTTGAGTCCTTCCATTTCTGTCATTGCCACTTGTCTTCCGCCATGGGGTGGGGAGATGAGTGGCAACACTGCAGTTGGGAATGACCCAGCTCACGCTGAACTTGGCAAGATCCAAGACGCTCCTCAAAACATGCAATTTCTCTTCCTCCACCTATGGATGAAGAGGCACAGTAAGGAGGAAACAGGGTGTGGGGCATGACAGCCCCAGGGGTGGGGAAAATGAGCAGCTTCTATAGTTGACTAATTCTTTGCATCAGGCCCTCTTGTATTTGGAGTATTAATGACAGAAGTAGTGGTAGTTGCCTTTAAGTCATCTGAAGAATGTGTTGGTAGTAGTTTCTTATGCAGCTCATTGAAAATCAGCTGTATAAAGATTAGAAGAAAATTATCTTTGCTATAAGACGGCTGAGCTGTTATGACTGGTCTCCCTCTCTGCCATCATTAATAAAGTTGGCACTTAATTTTGCCTAAAATGAAATTTCAATAAGAATTTGGATGTTCTCCTAGGACAAAATATTTGAGGAAGTTTAAAGGAAGCAGAAAGTGTTTCAGGTTGATAGACAGACATGGATTGGCTCTGCTACACAAAGCTCCCCACACCTTACATTTCCCCCTCAGTAAGCACCAGTGGTGTGATGTGTTTGGAAGACAGGAGAGCAGCATTGTCCTACCTGTGCACAGGCTGATAATGTGGGTTGACCAAAGATCCAACTAATCTAACATCCTGTTCCCCAGAATTACCAGACATATTCCTGTGGGAAGCCCCAAAGCATGTCATGAAGACAAACCCCCTCTCTTACTTTAGGTCCCCATGGATGGGTATTGAGGCATGCTGCCCCAATTGCAGAACGTTTTACTTAACTTTGATGTCTACTAGCCATACATAGCTGTCTTCTCCATGAATTTGTCTAATCGCCTTTTAAAAATCCATCAGTTTGCAGCCCTAGTAGTTAATTAACTATGGGGCTGGTAGTTTAACTATGTGCTGCATGAATAAATACTTCCTTTTATTTACCTTACTTGGATAACCCCTGGTTCTAGTATTTTGAGAAAGATGTCTCTATATATTTTACACACTTCTTTCATGTCTTTATTCACATCTTTTCTAAACCAGTGTTTCTCAAACAGTGGGCCTTGAGCCACTTTCAGGTGGGCCATGGTGCCACAGTCTGCCATAGTTTTTTGGTTGGACCAACGCTAGCACCAGCCATTCCTCGCATAGTATTTGCCTCATTCACAGCTGCTGCTTAATGGGTTGGCATTTTTACTGAGCTTTCCATCATGTCCCCAAGATTTCTTGCCTCAGTCCCGAACCCTCTCAGTCCCGAACCCTCAACAGATTAAATGACACCTGAGACTAGCTTGGGCTGAAACAGGCCACAACTTTATTGAATACAGATGAAATTCCTCCCCCCGCCCCTTCTCTCTCCACCCCCATTAGCTCATATGGATTTCTGCATTGTCACATCTGTTGATTTGCCTTCTGTATTGAAAATATCCTGCTCGATAATTAAATTGACTTTGCATTGCTAGTCCAAGAGGATCTGACAGCTTTTGAGCTAATTTCATAGTCGTGTAAAAAATTGTAATCATTTGACATCTGATGGCATCACTTTGCTCAATAACTGAGTGACAGGGAAGAACCTGAACCACCAGAAATGTCAGTGTTTTTTCAGAATTTCATGTACTGTTCTTCCACTAAGTGCAGTTAATGTGAACTCTTTGTACCTGTCACAAATGCTATTGAGATAAAAAAAGGTACTGGCAGTTTAATTCTAAAGCTATCAAAATTCTTTGTCTTATATATACACAATTTGACCCAAATGGCCATTCATTTCATGGCCTTATCAGTGGAAATATTGAATAACTGACATGCTGTTTTTAAAATAATAAAAAAACTAGTATAGAAGTTTATGGTTTTTTTAAAAGGAATTTGAAGCCACATCTCTTTGAATATAAAATGCCGAATTAATGTAACTGAATTAGTAACGAATCTTAAGTACTGTAGTTAATTCTAGTTAATTTCTTTAGTTAATTCTGGGGTATCAGTACATCAGAATAATATTTTGATAAGGACTTTTCTCTCTACCGACGGTCCCGTTTACTGACAGCAGTACAATTGCAGTATCAGTGAAGTCATTTGCCCAGGCAGGCACATTATGTAACCCATGATAACAGCAAAATAATAAGACTGTGCAATGGTGATGGGATAAAATCAGGCCAAATCTTTATTGACAGCCGCAGGCAGGGTATTTTGCTGCAATCTATGGGTCACAGCGCCACTGGACAAAGGCGTCCCTTGCTTATTGGACACAGAAAAGGCAATTTTTTATGCAGGGTGCATAGTTCTTTTCATTGCTGGTTTTTTCTTTCTTTCCATAGCCAAAATTATTCTAGAAGGCCAAGATAGGGCCTGTTTATTTATGGCTTTAGATGCAGTAAAACTGGGAGCAGCCTTTAAGGTCCTTCTAACTATTACCCTCATTGCAGGTAGAAGGCAATGAGTGCAATGGGGATTCAACACTTGAATGCACAATCGTTCCTCTTCACTCAGTAATTTCTATCCATGGAAAGAGGAGCAGGGAGAGGACGCAATTAACAAGGATATATAAGCTACCTGTGCAGCTAGAGGAATTTTTCTGAGCCATCAATAGTGTGGGATATATCTAAACCTCAGGTGGAAGCCCATTCCACAGCTGTCTGAAGGCATTGTGTCACTTGTAGGAGTCCTGACAGCCTTTCTTGAACATACTCTCCACTAAATGTTTGGGGCAAGCTACATGTTAACGCTAGGTACATAGCTGTGCTTTTACGTTCAGGGTGCTTTTCTTAACTCAGATTGCTGGTGTGGGCAGCCTGATCTGGATCAGGGCCTTAGAACCCACTGCTATGGTTCAGGCTTGTAATTTGCAGATCTTCCATTGAAGTGACATATTCTTTTCAAAGCAAATGGCATACACAGGATACTCAGAGCCAGATCAGGAGGAGATAAAGGGTTAAAGCCCCCAACCCTTATGCTAGGGTCTTGAACCTGCCCTGAGTACTGGAAATTTGTCCTTAGAAGAAAAATGCCCCCTGCTCTAAATGGATCTGTCCAGTGGCTTGGGTAAAAAGTATATTTTTTCACTAACCTGTCCTATGTTTAGCAGACTAGTGAATAAGCACTAAAGTGTTCAACCTTTCTGGTGATATGCATTGTGGGCCCAGGTATCGCAACTATCAGTCCCGAACCCTCAACAGATTAAATGACACCCGAGACTGGCTTGGGCTGAAACAGGCCACAACTTTATTGAATAGAGATGAAAGAGGTTGGGCTTGGGTATAGCGTGTATAGAAATGTAAAAGGACAAGAAAACAAAACAAATATTATTTCCAACTATTGTAAATCACAAGGGGAATTAGCTGGCAAAAATGTGTACAATAATTAACAATGTTTTAAATTTTTGCCAACCATCTGTGAGTCCCTTTGCCATCTGAGATGTGACAGATACCTGAAAAAGGACCTTTTCTGCCACCCCATCTTTAGAACATTGTCTCCCAGGAGGCTTGCCTGGCACTGATTCTGCTTTTTCTTTAGTGAAAGATAAAGACTTTTTTTATTCTCTAGACTAGACTTTTTAATGTGTTGCAGTCCAGCTTCAAAAAAGGTGTGAGGTTTTTTTTCTTCATTACTTTTCTTCATTGTTTTATTGCAGAATTTTTGGTATTGATACTTACTGTTTGAATATTTTTATGAAAGCTGCTTTGTGGTTTTCCCCCTGAAAAACAGCACACAATAAAATACTCTGAACAAACACAGATAAATAAATAATTTCTGTGATGTCTAGCAATAGAACAAACATCAGTACAAAAACAGCATAAAACTCAAACAGGTAACACCACTCAGCAGATGCAGTTCATCAGCTAGTATCAGGGTAAGAAAACAGCAGCATTTTAATTGTCTTCTGAAAATCATCAGAGAGGAGTCTGACAGATGGAAGAGGGAGAGGAGAGACGAGACTCCATGACTGAAAAGGTTCTGTCTCTTGTTGCCATCCAGCTCACCTCGGGAAAAATGAGGTGCATTTTGAATCTCTTAAAGATGATTTTAGTAGCTGGGCAACATACAGGATTCCGTGGTCCTCTAGGTACCTCAGTCCCAAGTTGCTCCAGAATTCATACATTACAATCAACACTTTGAGTTGTGCTCTGAAACAAACTGGAAGCTTGTATAGTTCTGTTAAGAATTGGCAAAGTGTGTTCCTTTTATTGATACCAGTTAGCAGCCCAGCTGTAATAATAGTAGATTCTGAACCATTTTCAAAGGCAACCCCATGTAAAACACATCAAGTGACTCTGCCAGTGTTCCTCCACAGCCCTGACCTCTCCACTCTTATTGCCAGCCATCCTGGTAACTGACAGCGACTCCAGTTTTGGGAGGGCAGCTCCATTCCAGATCCCCACTGTGTCAGCTGCTCCTGAATCTCACAATAGATTCTATCAGGACCTGTATTGATAATTTCCTTTCTGATCTGCCTTTCCTCCCACTTGGGTATCCAGAGCAGTATAGAGCATCGTTAAAATACAGTCAATTCCAAAACATTGCATTAAATCCAATAAAAGTTCCCTACATTCAGCAGAACCTAACTTAAGACTGAAACAACATATTTCAACTGCTGTGTCCCCAGGATATTTACTTCCAAAAGTCTGGATGAACACATATGTCTTTAGCTGATGCCTAACAGTTGCCAGAGGGATGCAGGTGGTGCTGTGGGTTAAACCACAGAGCCTAGGGCTTGCCGATCAGAAGGTCGGCGGTTCAAATCCCTGTGACGGGGTTAGCTCTGGTTGCTCGGTCCTTGCTCCTGCCAACCTAGCAGTTTGAAAGCACAAAGTGCAAGTAGATAAATAGGTACTGCTCTGGTGGGAAGGTAAACGGCGTTTCTGTGTGCTGCTCTGGTTTGCCAGAAGCGGCTTATTTATGCTGGCCCCATGACCCAGAAGCTGTCTGCGGACAAATGCCGGCTCCCTCGACCTATAGAGCTAGATGAGTGCGCAACCCCAGAGTCGTCCACAACTGGACCTAACAATCAGGGGTCCCTTTACCTAACAGTTGCCAGCAAAAGGGGCTAATGCCCTTCCTAGGGAGGGAATGCCAAACATGAGAAAGTACTGTAAGCACGGCCCTAGACCTGCCCCCATTGGCAGAACCAAAAGCAGGGCCTCCCTTGCTAATGGCAGGGCATGGGCCAGAAGATTTAGGGCTGGTGGTAATCCTGAAAGTATAATACGTGATTGTGGCCTGGTCTCATTTTTCCAAGAAAGACCAAAGCTGAAGAATCAGCCAGATATGATAAAAGGTGCTATAAACTAGAGAGGATACCTGAGCATCTATCCATAAAGTCGGATCTAATAACATGCCAAGCTACATACCATCTCTATTCATGGTCAGGCTGGTGTGGTGGGAAGTTTTCCTTCATATACCCTAGACCCAAGCAGTGTGGGACTTTAAAAGTAAGCACCAGCATTTTAAATTGAGTTTGGAAATGGATAAGAAGATGTTGCTGAATCCAAGACATATGTTCCCACAAACTGTTCCTAGTGAATAGTAAAGCAACTATATTTTACACTAGCAAAAGTTTAGCCTTCAAAGGCATGTAAGCACATTGCAGTAATCAAAGCTAGAGGTTAGTAGGGCATGGATAAGTAGCCAAGCTGTCTCTGTCCAAAAAGAGATGCAGCTGGTGAAGCAGTCTTGGCTCGTGAAAAGGTTACTGGACCATTGATAAAACCTGGACTTCCAGTGACCTTGTATGAGGAATACAACCACATCCAGAACTGCTTGAACCAATGGTTAGATGAACGACCTTCCATCAATCCTTCCATCTTCTTTGGACTGAGAGTCAGTTTATTCATTTCCATCCAGTCCATTACCAATTCCAGACACTGTTCAGCACATTGACTGCGTCATTTGGAAAACCACATATTACACATACTACTTGGAAGTCCTACTGTGCTCTGAGGGCTTATTGCCTAGTAAGTATATTTAAGACCACAGCCTCAGACATAACAGAAAATTGGGTGTCATGTCTTTGAAAAGTCAGTTATCATATAGCATATTCATTTATTTAAGCTCTACCACAATACAGGCATTCTTTTACAGATATTCTAGTGCTTATGCAAAATAGTAATATGGCATGACAATACAGAAATTTATTCTTCAGGTAACTATTTTAGTATGTGCAAAAATAGAATTATTTTACTCTCTGATTTCCTTCAAGTGTGGCTTTTGTAATAATTTATAATATATTTTCATTCAAGGTAAAAACATAATGTGAAATAGTCAGTGGAATGAAAACCAAAAAACTAATCCAGATAAATTATTATTGCATTTTTAAAAGAATTTTACTTTAAACTGAGATTACTTATGTAAAGTGTTACATTTTAAAATCTTAGCCACATAAATCCACTTAAAGCTTTCAATGGAAAAATGCCAGCTTTTAATTAAAATAGATTCAAGAAGGGATTGAGAATAATTACACTGGATTTATTTTACGGCTAGCGAACTAAATCAGAATATTGGTTAAGGTGAGACTGGATCAATTGGGATAGGAAAGGTAATTTGCATTTCTAATTCATGCTATGTCATTGTGCAAAGATTTCCTCATATGGATCCTTAAACTTCTCTAGAATGGAATCTCATGAGATGACCTGAAAAGATGAAGGGGGGAAAAATACATTGACGAACGTTCCTGTTACAATAATGTGATATTTTGGGGGAAACAAAATGGAAGTTTTATTTTAAATGCTATATATTCAGTAGGCCATGCAACTCAATGGGAGCACCTGGGAGTAAGCCTAATGGACCTCAGTGGAGCTTGCTTCTGAATTGATATGCATTGAATTGTGCTTTTAGTATTTACTCCTTCTGGGTTGCATCCAGCAAAGTCATATTGTTAGCACATGGACTTCTGCTTGGGCAACAGAGCTTCCCCCTTCTTCTCCCCACTGCCCCCTCAGATTCCACAACATTTAGGAGTAAATGAGCTCTACTGACTTCAGTGGCCAACTAAGCACAAGAATTTTCAGTACAAAACACTTTGTAAAATTACATTTCAAATTGCCTTTGCTAACGAGTCTCAGATTGTGTGTTCTCATATTATTTATATAGTGATACAGCATTTTAATACCAAATATAGTATGTATTTTATTTTGTTATGCAGCAGCAGAATGATATCTAATCACAAAACAATATTCTTATGCCTAGGGCACCATCCCTTGATTGATTTTGGATGCCTTGCTTAAGTTGCTGTAGAGTGCAACATATCAATTAGAGTAGTTGAAATCATGAAGAATTATAATATAGACTGTTAAAGGACCAAAGCATATTGAAAGATTCCTTACTTATTTAAATATTATGTTAATAGTGTAATGATTTGAATAATTTTGTTCCAGAAGTTGATTTTAGAATCATATAAAGGAAAATCTAAACTTGGAATAGACAAGATGTACGTTGGCTCTTAATCGAGTTGCTGTTTGTACATTCATAATTTAACAATTATCTTCATTGTCTGCTACAAGCAACACTGACCCTGTTTAATAAAAGAATTATAAACAGTGAATAAATGAAAACTCATCTGCAATAAGTAAGAAAATGAAGTTTGCTGAGGAGCAGTAATTGGTTCTTGGATGCCACCAAAGCATTAGCAATCCGTCATTCTCTTGGTTTTTTATTTATTTTAAATTTATAGTATTTTCAGAACACTGTGTATGGGCCACAGTTTTCTCCTCCTCTTCCTCCTCCTCCTTTTCTGTGCACCAGTACATGGGTACATTGATTAGATCACAGTGCAAGTGGAACTCCTGATTTAACTCTGCAATTGAATCAAGATATGAGCTGGTGTTTGAGGGTGACCTGAGTAAAAATTACAAATAAACCAAAAACACATATGCTAACTAGAAACACAATAATTATATTTTCTTTTAACTAAAAAGAAATCCCATGAGTCTTTCCCATGAGCCTCTGCCATCACCACTGCCTCACTGAAGGAGAAAGCGGACAGAACCACACACCACACACACTGTTTGTAAGAACATGAGCCTTGCAGAATCAGGCCAGTGCTGATTCAGTCCAGCATTCTGTTTTCACAATAGCCAACCAGGTGCCCATGGGAAGCCTTGCCTCAGCTGTCATTCCCAGTAACTGGCATTCAGAAGAATACTGCCTCCAACAGTGGAAGTAGAAGAACATAGACAACTTGGTAAATGGCCATTGATATCCGCCATGACCTTGTCTAGTTCTCTTTTGAAGCCATTCAAGTCAGTGGCCAGCACTACTTCTTGTGTGAGTTTGTTGTCTATCTCAAGAGACAATGGAAGAGTGTGCCACCAGGTCTAAAGTCAAGTCATTGGAGAATTACAAAGCCTGCAGCGACTATAGAGAGCTATATGGGAGAGACATGTTTTATTGCAGATGGGGCATGTGAAGATGCCTGGTTTCGCTGGTGCAGATGCACCCTGGTATTTCTTCTCTCTAGTCTCCTTCCAGCAGTCATTCCTCCTCTGGTCATTGCTGTGGATACACAGCCTCACTGTCTCTCTCAAGAGTTTCAGTGTTTTTTGCGCAATGTGATTGCATCAATGTCAGTTGCTGCTTTGGAAGAATTTAGGGTGGCCGGTTGGAGTTAGTTAGAAATGTGAAAATATGACAGTGTCTAAAAAGTCAGTATTTTCATCCAACTTCATTCTTTTGTGTATGTGTACTCTGGGAGCACTGTTGGCATTAAATCAAACACTTTTAGTTGTTTGTAGTAAGTTTTGAGCATTTTGTATTAGAAAGGACGAGAGCAGAAGATGTCTGCAAGGCTTAACTTTTGTGAACACGCCTAAGCCGGATTTTTGTCAGAATGTTGATATGGATTGGAATAACAAATAACTACTTAGAATGCATTGCGGAGCTTTTACAAAAGCAATGATTTCCCCCCAGATAATAAGATACCCTATTAACCTCAAAAGAATATAACCAGTCAACTAGCTGATCAGACTGAAGTGCTGCGAGAAAAGGTCGAGCAAGTGTTTTGCACTGGCTGGAAAGTATTGGCAGGTTGCAAGAGAATTTTCACTGAAAGGCATCAAGAAAATGACTGACTAAACTCAATGGGTTTATAATCAATCTACCTTGTCTTATCTAAAGAGGTTTAGAAGATATTGTGTTAGATATCTGTTAGAAGAGATTATCAAATTCCTGCAATGTAGACTCAGTAGACTGCAAAGTGTTTCAACAAGAATATGGTTTAAAAGTTCTAGTCAGTTCTAGCCCATTGTTAGGAACTGACATTTCTGAGAAACCTTCATTCTTAGTTTCTTTAAAATGCACCTTGATCTGAATAAATTTGAAGTTGTAACCCACTGTATGTAGTACAGTGGCTATTCTTTTCAGCTGTGTTACTGATACAAAATATCAAAATGGTTAAATGATTTCTACCCCAACATATAAAGTGAAGCAATTAGGCCCATCACATGGAGAATAAAACTTCAGATAAATTAACCTCATTTGTCATGTATGTAAAACCTACATCTTAAGAAACAGATTTAAACACATTTTAAGTGGAGCATTATACTATGCCTCAATCCTATCTAAAACAAAGTCTATTTTGATTTGATTTTGAAATAATTTACCAACTAAATATAGGGTCTGACTTTGAAAAGTCTATCTGCATTCATAGGTGCAAATTGAGGTATTGCTTCAGAAATTTTCAGAAGACACAATTCTGAACCCCAATAAAGTTTTTTGGGGGAGAAATGCTTGCCATGTTGGGTGAGGCTTCCTTTCCATCAATCTCCCCCCCCCCTTTAGTGGGATTTTTAAAAAGCACTTTAAATGTGTATCTGTCTTCAACCTTTACTAATTAATGAATTTACAGTATTTCCACACTATCTTGTTTTAAGCTAAACAAATTGTGATATTCAACTAAGTTTACTCTGAGTGAACCTATTGAAATTAATGGCCCCAATTTATTCATATTCATTAATTTAAATAGATTGACTCTTAGTAAAACTTAGCTGAATACAACCCATACATAGGATTTCATTGAATACCAGTTAATCTCATGAAAAGATAATCTTTCAACATCTCTTCTGCTTATCTTTCTTTGAGTGTTGTTAACATTTTGTCCATATTTTCCTGCCATTAGCTTATACTAGTCATGCCTCCTCTGTTGATAAACAAATTGACTTGCATTGGTTATGCACAGCAACGAAGAATTTCATTGTCCTTGAATCATTCAACATCTGCATCAACTGCTTTCCAGTGCAGAGAAGAATTCAGTGTGAACATGTTGCAATAAATGGATGCATTTTGTTTCTTGGTTTTAAAACTGGATTCTCATGCTTTTGTTTCAACGACTTTCGTCCTTTTTAATGACCAAGCATAGGATTTGGTGAAATGTTTACAATGGTGCCACATTGGGAATGGATGAAGGCATCTATGGAATTCCTGTCTGCACAATGTGATTATTCTCAATATTTTTTCCAAGCCCAGACAGAACGATTCTTCTTCTTCTTCTTTAATAGAATCTCTAATTCTGTTAAAGTAATTCTACCAATAAGTACACTCTTCTGCTTGCATTTTCTATGTACAAAACACTTGGTAAGGGTAAAACAACACATTATATTAAATGTGTGGCTGTTAGCACTTATGGAGAGCTGCATGTTTCTTCTCTTCCAACTATAACTCTAAGGCACCTTAGCCATTTCCTCCAGAAATTCTGTTGCTCTGCTTTCCTACGACACATAATTGGCTGCTGGTGACAGGGAATGCTGTCAAACACACTACATTGTGATGTCAGGATGTGTAAGTTGTGTCTTAGACAGACAGAGAGAGAGAGAGAGAGAGAGAGAGAAATATACTGTTCTTTCTGTTGATTGAAAAATTGTCAGATAGATGCAGATACATTCTTGTATTACTTATTTCTGAACAAGCTATTTACTCAACTCCCCTGGGGATGCATAGCATGGAGGGGAAGTTTATGATAGAGCTAGGGCAGCAGCTAATTAAATTTTAGTTATTCCATGCAACACTTTGGGAAGATGAAATGTACAGGGGCGGGAGCCCAGTATTTGCTTTGCTGACTTATTGAACCAACATTACAGGTTAATTTCCTGTGTAGGAGATTTTTCTAGCATCAGCCATATTTTCTAAATTTATCTAAGGCAGATAGTAAAACAAGTTATCAGTTTTGACTATTTTCTGAGAAAATGTGTACGCTTCTGTTATTGTGGCTATTATTTTTAAAGTTACTACAAGGATTGACATTCGCTCCAAGGTTGCCTTTCTGGATATATGAGAATTAAATTAATTTGACCTCATGTTTCTTAAGCATCATTTGGTAGCATTGTGACCCAGTAGAGAATGTTCCTGTTTGCACATAATGGTAAGCTGTGCTCTAAAACAAACCATGAGTTATCTGCCACAGATAACAAGCATGCTGGTGCACACTGCTCTGCGGCATGTGCATTCTCTCCCTATGCCTTGCCAGGACGAAGTGTTAGTTTAATATTACATGTCAACCATGGTTTGCTTTCCCCAAACATACTACAAGTGCTGGTTTCTACATAATCCGAAGACAGTGCTATAGTTTGTTTCCTTCCAGCATGGCAGTGGTGGGGAGGGAGGCAAATGCAACTGAACAGCTTATTTATTTATTTATTTATTTTTTAAAAAATCATTTTATAACACAGATAAACAACACAGAGAGGAAAACAAACAATAGAAACAGATTCTTGTCTTATCCTTATTTTTTCTAAACATTGTTAGGTGGGCTTCCCCAAGTCCCCCCTATCTGATTTTCATTTTACCTCATCTTTAGCAGTTTACATATACCATAATTTCTAACCTTTTTTTTTAATCACACTTACTTTAACCATAAAAATCTTCACATTTTATCACTTGCAAATAATACTATTTTAAAATACACTGTCTTCTACTTCTAACCCTACAGCCTAAATCCACTTCCAAAGCTAGTCTAAGATTTAAATATTAACATATTTGTTCAAATATTCCTTAAATTTCTTCCAATCTTCTTCCACCGTCTCTTCTCTCTGGTCTCGGAGTCTCCCGGTCAGTTCGGCAAGCTCCATCATCTTCATCTGCCATTCTTCTGTAGTTGGTAAATCTTGTTTCTTCCAATTCTTCGCTAGCAATATTCTCGCAGCTGTTGTGGCATACAGAAAAAAAGTAACATCCTTTTTGGGATTTCACCCCCCACTATACCAAGTAAAAAGGCTTCTGGTTTTTTAATAAATGTGTTTTTCAACACTTTTTTCAGTTAATTACAAATGCAACTGAACAGCATAAACTATGGTTTACGATAATGACAATCACACTTTACATTGTGAGTGCCTTTTTGCGGGATCGCGCGTGGTGCTACAGTTCCCAGGGAGCTTACTGACAAATGGGCTGGCTTGCCTCTCAGTGTTAATTTTTGGAGGTTCACGCCCAGCCTCAGCAGTCAAGTTTCTTGCTGGGAGGTGGGGCCAGCCCCATTTATAAATAGGGGGTGGAGCTGAAATAGCCAGGCAGTTGGCTCTGGAGATTCACCCTCCCTACCCTCCCTTTGTTTAATGTTTCTTGTTTGCAGGTTAACTTTTTCTTCCTGTTTAGCGGGCGCTGCTACGGTCTTTGACTGGTTGCTGTTGAAGGACTGGGAAGAAATTTTCCTGCATTGGCAGGTTTCGTTTTCCCTGTAGCAATTCGTCACAACTTTGACGGTTATGGCCTTGGGTGGAATCCTTTAGCCTTTTCTTCCCTATTGGGGGGGAGCGTGAAGTGGTGACTCACCCCCCTGCAGTGGCGATTCCAGGGTCCCCTCTTAAAGGGGTTATATATATGGGTGTCACTGGCCATACACTGAAAGGTTGCCAGTGAACTACCCTGCGTGCGGGGATATGGGCTGGGCTGCCTGCTACACTTACGTCTCGCAGAGCACCCCATATCCTATTTACCCTGATGAGCCCCAGTTCCCCCCGGCTGTGGGGCTGGGAGGGATACACTCCCAAGGCCTAAGCCAAGGTTTTCCTACATTCGGAAGTTTAATAAAGTTGTGGCCTAATTTTAATTCCATATAATGTTGTCAGAGTCTTTATTCCTTTCTTGTGATCCCTGGGGGCTGGGATTGGGGCTGTTGCCACCTGGTCATGCAATGTGTAAACCAGGTTAGTATGTCTCACATGAATTTGATACCGGGAAGTTCAAGTCTCTGCTTAGTCCTTAATTCATTGTCTGAACTTTTATTTTCACTGTATACCCCATACACACCATACAGCATCTGTGTAACTCAGTGAACAGAGCATGTTGAAGATAGACTGGGGGAATACATATTCAAACGCTGCTTAGCCTTGAATCTGCATCCCCCAGCCCAAGTCCTATTCATGTCACTGAGGTTTGTGCAAGCAGAACTCTCCGGGAGTTGGGCTATAAGGAATGGGATGTCATTACTAAATCACAACTCATATCATTCACAGATTTTAGCTGACCTAGAAAACCACGCACTTTTTAAAGATGACCTGGAATGTCAGAAGCTGATTCTGGAAGCCATGAAATACCATCTCTTGCCAGAAAGACGGACTCTTATGCAAAGCCCAAGAACTAAACCAAGAAAATCCACAGTTGGGACCCTGTATGCAGTTGGAGGAATGGACAACAACAAAGGTACTAATTAACAGTTATTGATTTGATAAAGACAGTTGGCAGAATAGTCCCCATCGCCCATCTCTCCCTAGGAGTGACTGGAATCCTTCATGCAGAAAGAAATCTACAATGTAAATTGTATTGTGGGCTAAACGGTAAAATCTCTTTTAATCTCAATAAATAATTGAGTAGTTTAATAGGAAGGGCAGAATACTGATTGCTCTTCCATCAGGTCTTTCCATCTGCTGCATTGTTATAGAAGAAGAAACACCAAGGGAGTTAGCTGGGTCGCAAAATAAAAATGTTTTTTTTTAAAAAAAGTAATAATGTCAGACACACTGTGATTGAAAAGGTGGGGAGGAGAGAGAAATCCTGGATTCAAAGCCCTAGGTTATCTCAGCTCTCAATGAATCATTGTCTGGAGGTGAACACAGGGAAAAGAAAACTTTAAAATAACCCAAGCAGGAAATTCAACTATAAAAAAATCAGACACTATAGTAATGGGAAGAGATAAAAGCTGATTTACTGAAACATTAATTTCAAATATCCTATTCCTTAATCTTACGATTAAATCTAAAACTATCAAACAAATGAGATTTTGATAAACACATAAACTGGATGTCCTGTGGGTATAGGACGAGTTACAAAAGAAGAAGAAGAAGAAGAGTTTGGATTTGATATCCCGCCTTTCACTCCCTTTAAGGAGTCTCAAAGCGGCTAACATTCTCCTTTCCCTTCCTCCCCCACAACAAACACTCTGTGAGGTGAGTGGGGCTGAGAGACTTCAAAGAAGTGTGACTGGCCCAAGGTCACCCAGCAGCTGCATGTGGAGGAGCGGAGACGCGAACCCGGTTCCCCAGATTAGGAGACTACCGCTCTTAACCACTACACCACACTGGCTCTCCCCCCATACTTCCCCCCTTAGTATTTGTAAAGGTGGACAAATACTCATAGGTCTATGGCTTCAATCGCAAAAGGATTCCTTCTTAATTGTCAAGACATATGTGGGCAACATCCAATGATGTCTGTCCGCTTGCTCAGTGGGACTAATGGTTTCTCTTCTCCCCACTTAGCCCTCAAATATGCTCTGGAGGGTCCTTCGCATCCCAACCTTTATCTTTAATCAGTTTTTCTTTATCCATAAGTGTGCGCAAAGTGAGTAGAATTTTGTTCCTGTTAACTTCATCAGGATGGCATTCAGGAAGAGAAAAGACAGATTGCAAAAGTTACTCACTATTAGGTACTACTGAAGGAGCCACATAAGAATGGTTGAGATGACAACAGTGTATGACGTGTCATCGTCTTAAGGTTGCCAGGAAGCAGTAGCAGAACCTCAGACGTATTAAGTGAACAGCCTGGGCATGTATGCATTGCTAGAAATTTGTCATGCCTGTGGTCTTAAGAATAAAATAAAGGTACCACGTCATACTCTGGGTCCATCTCTTTCAGTTTTGTTGGCCATAGCAGTGGTTCTCTAGGGTTTCAGGAAGGACTTCTGCCCTAGACACCAGCAGTTGAACTTGGGACCCCAAAGGTAGAGTCAAACTTCACGGAGTCCTTCTTGGCTGAGCCAACCTAAGCAGAGGGAAAGCAAGCCTTTAAAATAGTGTTTTGAGTCACACCACACCTTTACTGGCTTACCTGGCTCAGGGATGCCAGGTCACATGACTGAGTTGAATGCTTTTAAGATCCAGCCTGAGACGCTCCTCTCTGGCCCCACCCCTGCCATGCCTCCAAGACACCCACTTTTTCAAGACTTAATCTGGTTTAGGGTCCGCTCAGCTAGCAGGGTGCCAGCTTAGTTGGGACAGGGGAGATATGCTGTTGTACCTCCAGCTGGGCTGGAAACCACCTGGCTCAGCCAGAGATCTTCTGGATCCTCACTCTGCTCATCACAGCGGATCTTGCTATAGAATTGCTACTTAAGCCTGCATAGGACCGCAGCCTTAAAATAGTGTACTGGTGACAATTCATTTCTAGCACAGTATTACGTATTGTGATTTGCTGACACAGCTCTTGGTGCTCAAGCTGCTGATCAAGCTAAAAGTCAAGGAGCATGTTGAACATGGGTGTTTTAATTATGTGTGGGAGTGTTACACAAATTTTCATTTTGCCATTAATTGCGTGTCGAGGTCCCCAAGCCACTCCCCAATAACTCACACATCACACATCAATTATGGTTTGGGTTTTTGGCACGATTTTGGCCACAACTTTATTTAAATACATCCAAGTGAGTGGTTGCTTAGGCATTGGTTCTGACTATCTGTCCTTGCCCAGGGGACAGAACTGACTTCCGGATTCCAGTGAAAGCCAGTGCGGGAAACAACTTTTGGGGAGAAAATGAAGCTGGGCCTCAGTCCCTCACTTCTCACCCTCATGCTCCTGGTGGCTTGCACGTCCCAAGTCCAATGCCAGGAACAAGGACGAAAAAAATGGCAAGCCCCTGGATTCCTTTAACGGAATTCCCTTTCCGCACCACCATTGGAGGGGTAGGCACTTACCCCTCCACCAACCAATTTGAACCAATGCCTAACCGCCAACCTTACAAGTTGTGACGATTTGCTACGCAGTAGGCAAAACCAAATGGCACCAGCCAATCAGCCAAATGGACAAATTCCTACCAGGCCCCTGCCTCAAAGCAGACAACCCCATGGCAGGCATAGCAAGGTCAAGCGAACAACCCCTCCAATACAGGGAGGGTGGGTGGGTGATCCGGTGCTAGCAGCCAAGAGAACGCTCAAAGTTGGGCGACCAGTATTTAAAACCTCTGACTCCTCCTTCAAAATTGGCAACAAGCAGTTCTCCCCAGCGACCCGATTAACCAATTCACTGCCTGGGTCCCCCACCTTGTATCCCCCACCGCAACACGTGCTCTCTGCTAGGGAGAACACGTTTTATAGAAGATTTCAAGGTCTATCTTACCTTCCATCTTATTGAATATCAATCCTGTTCTCTAAAACAGATAAAACATTGAGCAAACGTTGAACAAACTACCAAACATTGAATGGTTGTCACCCAGAGAACTCAGTGGTAGTGTAACTCAGAAATATAATGAATGTAAGAACTGGGCAGCACTCTCATTGCTCTGATAGGTGTGATGTTAGAGACACTGCTTTAATAGACAGAGCAGCATGTGGATTTTAGCTCTCCAATTGCTCCCTAGAGTGAACCATTTTATACAGAACATGAAAGAGAACCTAATTAGTTCTTTATAACTTCATATAATAGCCACTTTTTTGCTATGAAAGTTTATCACAGCAAGCCATTCTTTATGCTAGTTTATAGTTCTAAAGAAAAGCTAATTAATTTAACCACTTGCACATGTGGCCACTCCACTGGTGGTCTCAGTGTGGTCCAACATCAAAAAACACTCTACACCAGGTCAAGAAGGTTATGGATTATTCACCAGATGGAGTATAGATGCTCGAGGGATGAGTAGGAAAACAACAAAAAGCAGAGAGAAAGCTAAGATGATAAGCATAAAGAATGTAAGTTGGAGAGGGACTTCCCACTGTCAGCGGGTGGTTTAAGTAGGAGAACAGAATGTCTTTCTAGAGTAAAGCAATGGAGGTTTGATCCTTCGTCATCCATTTTGACCGCATAATGCAGCCATTTGAACTCCACAAAATGTGGTTTATCCTCTTCACATGGAAGAGAGAGAGAAAGGGGAGGGGGAACTTCTTCCTTCAGCCCCCTGATGAGATAATAATCATGATGGAAGACTAACATTTTGCGAATTATTTGAAAATAATTTTGCTCTCTGAAATCAGTCTGTGTGGATACTTCCTCTGCATTTTTGCAAATGGAAATGTGAATTTCAAAATATTAATCTCTTGAATGAATCTTCATGTAGTGGCATGGGTTTCAGGTGTTGTTCTCTAGGTGATCAAGTAAGGCTAATTCTTAAATCCACTTCCTTGAGAATAACCCCACTGAACTCAGTGGGACTGTTTCTGAGTATGCAGATACGTATAAACGTACAATTTTTCCATATATTTATTTATTTAAAACATTTGCCCCCAACCTTCAGTTCACTCCCCAAGGAGGCTAGTGATAAGGCTTGTGGTGCAATCCAAAATGACAGTTTGAAAGTGAAAATGCTATGTTTATGCTCATATTTCATCCAAAATGATATATTTCTGTTAATGCATCATGGGTTTTGCTAAAAATTAATGAGTTACAAATATGAGCGGAAACCTCTGCAGCTGCAGAAGCTACCTGTCCACAGTCCATGTGTGTGTGTGCCCAGATATATTCAGATGTAGTGGCATAGCAAGTCAAAAATTCAGTGGGGAGTGAGGAACAGAAATAAGTCACCACCTGGGTATAGATACTACATTTTTTTTAGTAATTTATTCCAGTGGTTTTTATGGGACAAGAAGGGGGGCTGCAGTCAGGAGAATCACTGTGAGAGCATGCTTGCCTAACCTAGCCCAGTTTTTTTTTTGGGGGGGGGTGATGTCAGCATTGCCCTTGAGCCAGTGCCACCAACTGGACTCATCCACTTCAGCCCCGACTGGGCTAGGCGAGCTGGGTAGCACTTCCAGAGACCACCTTCTGCACAGGAACAGGTCAAAGTGCTGTGGACTCACAGCTTAGAGTTGTGAGCACCGGATTCACTTCCACAAGAAGACAGTCATTGTACAGCAGAGTACAGCAGACTCTAGCAGAGTATATAAACAACACGGAGAGCAGCTCTGTAGAATATCTTCTTTATTCTATCTACAACTATTACAAACTATATACAGAGCTTAATAGGTCTCAGTATAAATGAATGCTGCACTGCACTGAGTGTCTGCAGCTGCTCTTAGCAGCAACCTTATCTCTACACACGATCTCTAACACTCAGACTCTCTCTCTCTCTCCGACACTGACTGACTGACTGACTTGGTGCTGGAGCAGAATAAGTAGAGAGCAGAACACGCCTCCTCCTCTCTGGAGAATCAGCAGACTCCTCAGGAGATTCTTGGATATGGGAGGGGTGAAATATCCTCAGTCTGCAATGCAAGCAAGTGTATCGTCCCCATTTGCTTCTCTTGCTTTCTGAGCTTACAACAGGTCTGGAATTTCTACAGAACAAGCAACTCCTGGTTCTAATGGCGTAGAACCAGGAACAGATTTTGTTGCTGTTAAAATAATTTTCATCACATTAACTCAGGGGTCAGCAAACTTTTTCAGCAGGGGGCCGGTCCACTGTCCCTCAGACCTTGTGGGGGGCCGGACTATATTTTGAAAAATAATAATGAATGAATTCCTATGCCCCACAAATAACCCAGAGATGCATTTTAAATAAAAGGGCATATTCTAGTCATGTAAAAACACGCTGATTCCCAGACCATCCGCAGGCCGGATTTAGAAGGCGATTGGGCCGGATCCAGCCCCCAGGCCTTAGTTTGCCTACGCATGCATTAACTCATACTGAAAAAAAAGATTTTCTCACACCCTTTTTGGTACTGATCCACTCTGATGTCTCAATATAAGCTATGCACTCAGCAAGGCTGCTGCTTTACAATGTAGAATTCACTTCAATGGGCAAATGTTCTTTAAGCCAAAAAATAACAAATATACTAAAAATGGATTACTTAAAGGTTAAGATTACTGGAAATGTACGTTAGGGTTTATTAAACACCGTTTTCCATTTTAAAATGCAAATCAGCATGATACACTTTTTTAGGAGTTGGTGAACCCAAACAGGAAAAGGAAGTTCGGTTTTTCAGCTCTGCTTTTACATTCTGGGGTGCAGTGTTGAGGTACAGAGATTGGATTCTGTACATTCAGACTAGAAATGCCTCCAGGGTGAATCTCTTTACAGTTACTGTTGCATTGTACCATCTGAAACTATCAAGAAGAACAAGAAATTGAGGTCTATAGCTATAGGCTCTGTAAATCATTTTTCTTCTTGAAGCTCTTTCTGCTGATTCTGCTCCTGCTGAAGTTGCTGCTGACATATACCTTTGACCATTTTGTTCAAGATTTAGAGATGTTGCTTTGAGTAGGTGCAAACTGATGACCTTGGCCTAGTGATCTGCAACAGTCTGTGTTGAAATAAAAAGATATCTATTGAGGTGGAACGAATGTGATTGAACTGGGTTATTGACACAGATATCAAGGAGAATTTATTCAGAGGAAGGAAAGAACCTAGGCAGCAGAAAAAGGGAAGATTGCTTTCTTTTTCTGCTTGCTTGTTAAGGCAGATTTCACAGGATATGTCAAAGTTATGCAAACTATGGTTTAATTTTACTTTTTAGTTGAAAATGGACACAACCATTTCCTGATGTGTACATTTACTAGACTGAAATACTGCATGGGGTTCATTCTAGAATGGTATATATATAAATCCCGAAACTCTGGAGTAGCTTTCCTTTTGGAATCAGCAAGTGGTGACATATATATATGTAAAAGAACCCCTGACCATTAGGTCCAGTCATGACCGACTCTGGGGTTGCGGCGCTCATCTCGCTTTATTGGCCGAGGGAGCCGGCGTACAGCTTCCGGGTCATGTGGCCAGCATGACTAAGCTGCTTCTGGCGAACCAGAGCAGTGCACGGAAACGCCGTTTACCTTCCCGGCAGAGCGGTATCTATTTATCTACTTGTACTTTGACATGCTTTCGAACTGCTAGTTTGGCAGGGGCAAGGACCGAGCAACGGGAGCTCACCCCATTGCGGGGATTCGAACCGCCGACCTTCTGATCAACAATATATATAGTAATGCCTGTCAATTTTTGGGTGAACTGTATATAAATTTAGACCACCCTTGGGGAACGAGGAAGAGAAGGGCAAAATTGGGAATTGTGAAACCCCACTGACGAACTTCACTTGTCCAGGGGTGGACAGTCTGTTGTCAAGGCACAATTTGCATTTCCATGGTCCCAGACAGAAATGTGTGTTTTTCGTGGGGAGCAAGCTGAACACCTATTGTAGCAAGCACCGGAATGTCATGTTGTTTAATGCTTTGTTTTCTGTGCCAAATATATAATTCATAGTGCAAACTACTGTGGTAATCGATTCCTCAAAAACATTCTTCCTCTGGGCACTTTATAATTTTTTATAATTTCATTTGGTGCAGCTTACCTTATGGTTGTGAGGGGGCCATGTGGGTTGCATGTGTCTTTTTCTTTCCATGGAGCATTCCCTCAGTGCTCAGCACCCTCTCCAGCAGCATATATGTGTGAGAAGTTATATCACTCAACCTCTTAACCACTTTGAAAGTAAGGAATACACATTAAAAACCCTGCATCTCGCCCATGAGAATTTTGCTGGACATTTCTCTCCCCTTTCATAACTTCTTCAAATGCAATTTCATTCATTGTAAACTGAAGAAGAATTTTTGGCACATTACTCATTAAAACAAAGTAGCTGTGTAACCATATTTTCTATGCAAAACATACAAAACTACAATTAACAGTTGTTTGGTAATTTTTAAAGGCAAAAAAATAGTACCATACACTTAGCACAGACTGAGATACTTTCAACCATTTGAAAATGCATTCTGTGTTACAGTACCAAATAACAGCTCCGGAAGTGTTTGCACTCAGTTGTTTCTAATTAGTAAATTAATTCATTTATATCAGTTTCAGTTTTGAATTAAGGACTGTGGAAAAAAACCCACCTTAAGATAATTGAATGCAGAAATTAGTTCATATTTCTTGTAGCTGAGCAAATTAGAATGGAATTTAATATATCCAGTTGGGCATCCACATTATTATTGTTCTGTTACACTGGGATTCAAATTACATCTCTTTTTTATTAAAAACTTTAGCTTTGACAAAGTTTATTTTCATTTGTATCATTGCAGTTTATTTGCTAAAGAACATTTATTCATAGATATAGATATAGCTATAGATATAGATATAGAAATATTACAAAGAATAACTTTTTTATCATACTATGAGGAAATAGATTAGAAACATTTAATTGCAAACTATAATGAATGCAGCTTTGTAGGGGCAATTAGTGGTTGGAGAGAAGGCATGACTTGGATATGCAAGTGTGAAAAGAAAGCAGAAAAGGAGTTAAGTTGATACTAGTAATCTTTCCTTTAGAGTATTTTAAATTCAGCTCATTTAGACATCCTCTCCATAAAAATATGCAATGCATTATTTTATTTTCTACCTATTGAGACTGTGAATAGACTCAGAGCACTGCTTATATTACAGTTAAAGTGTGGGAAGTGAAGCAGCATAGCTTATTTTTGCACAAGTTTGGAGGAGCTATAGCAGGATAGAAAGCAGATAAAGAAGAATCATTTGATTTTGGTATCAAACAAAAGTCCAAATCAGACAAACAAATATGGTGAAACAGGGTGTTTACATTTGGTGTAAATTCTGCCATCAAATCACTATCAGTAAAATCTGGTATGAACAGACTGCCAAGTTTTTCATCTCCCTAGTGAAGGGGATTACAAAATTAGTCCATTACTATCATTTGGATTCACGAGCTCGTAATTATTGGGTTTTTGACTTCATTTTCAATAAAAGAGACATCAAATTTTAAGGGCATTTTCCCCATAGATAGTGCCTTTTCCAGTTACAAAAAGAAACAGTTGAGGAGATGTATTCTAATTTTTGTCTGTAAATCATGTAAATGCTGTTATTAAATACATTATTGATTTTTATTAGCAGGTGCTACAACCATAGAGAAGTATGATCTCAGGACAAATATATGGATCCAAGCTGGAGTGATGAACGGCCGAAGGCTGCAGTTTGGTGTAGCTGTCATTGATGACAAACTCTTTGTTATTGGAGGCCGAGATGGTTTAAAGACGTTAAACACAGTCGAATGTTACAATCCAAAGACAAAAGCATGGACTGTTTTGCCTCCAATGTCAACCCATAGGCATGGCTTAGGTAAGTATTCAGTTTCCCAAAGCTATCTGTATATAAAAAAATGTAATCAGCAAGGTCAGATGCATTGATCACAAGCAATTTCAGTACATGTGCATATCTATATTTATGCAGAAATGCACGAAGGAACTTAGGTGCAGGCTTGTGTAAACAACTGAAATAATATCTGCGTATGGTTGGCATCCTAGAGTATGATAATGACTGGACTTAGCTGGTTCTCAAATAGTTCTGTTGAAGTTGTTGTAAAGTCAGTGGTAAGCCATCGTAGCTAAATGATGTGACTAGTAAACAAGCCATGATTGTGGAGACAGCCCAGTGAATAGGACATACATATCACATCCCCATCATGTGTTTAGAAGCCTGGACAGGTAAAAGTATATGTAAGAGTGCTCATGGTACTTTGTGTAAGTGTTCATCTATGTGTGTACCATATTCTAGCCCATTCTGGGATAGTTTTATTATATATGCAACATCATATAACACGGTTATAGAGCCACCGAGAACACATGGCGATTTGCTGGAATGATACCTTTGTTAAAAAACTGAAATGACTTAAAAGTTAAATGGAACCAAATAGATATTGGTGCTTCTGTGGAGGCGATTGTAGAAATAAAAAAAGGTGTGTATAAATCATTGTTTATTATCTATATGCATTTCAATTAAGAAAAGGACTAAAAAAATAAAGCCTGTATTTTACTAACTTGCAATTTGGTGGCCTTAAAATATTTGTCAGTTATCCTACTGTGAGTAAAAATTGACTCATATCATTTTAAAAGAAATCCTGGGCTGCCTAATCTGTTCCCCTCTGGATATTGGACTACAGTTCCCATCCCCTGCGGCCATTGTCTGTGATGGCTAGATCTCATAGAGTCCAACAGCACCTGGAGGGGCCAATATAAGCTTCCACTGGTTCGAATCAGTAACTATCCTGTTACTACCCAGATATCCCTAAATTATTTAATCCTCCTTTTCAGAGTATTTCTTTTGTTATCAGACATTCTCTCTATTTCCAGTGTTCAGGTGTCAGTGCTGGATTAGTCAAAACACCACCACCCATATGCAAGAGGTAGGTATCAGCAGGCCTGGCAGAGTCCCAAGGTTTGCAGAGTAACCCCCCACCCCCCAAAAAATCTAATGGTAAAACATCTAATGGGCAGGCAGGAGGGGAATAAAATGGAATATCTTGAAGGGGGGAGTGGCTGGCTAACTAGAGGAATTTCAGTTTCAGTTTCCTATTCTAACCATTTTGGTGCTTAATTATTTTTTTTTAACGAGAAAACAGCTGTCTTTGTTCACATCTGCTAAGTTCATTGACACCAAATATAATAACACGGGTGCATAATTCGCTTTTAAAATAACTGTATACCTTGCACATGCAACAGAAGATCATAACAGATTGCACATCTTGTAGGTGAACTTCAAAATACTGCCTTAACTTTCAGCTTCTAAATGATGGATTGTTATTTCATTCAAAGAAAGGTCTTTGTAGCTATAGCTCAGTGATCAAACACATTTTTTATAGTTAGAAGGTTGCCGCTTCAGTCTCTGGCATATTCTTTTGAAGGTTCTCAAGTAGCAGACTGGGAGAGACCTTTAGCTGACACCTTGTAGAGTTGCTCCCAGTAAGAGACAATATGAGCTCAATGATCAATGTCTATAGTAAAAGGAAGCACGAGATCTTCAGAAGGAGAGAGAGAGGCTGCAGTCTAGGAAATCTTACTTTTAATAAGTGTTTCTGTTCAAGGATTAGTTTTCCAGGTGCTAAGGTTGTAGTTCTTCCTCCAATAAATGCAACTATCATGAACTATGTATGAATTATGATACTGCTACAATGCAAGTTGTGAAAAAAGCTTAGAGAAAAATATTTTGCAGCAGTGGTTACAATAATATAGACGCCATTTGGATAGCACATTGTGATGAGATAACAGCAAAAGATTATGATGGTTGTTCCCCTTCCCTTCCAACCTCTCCCACAACTGGGATACCCTAGGGGGTGCTGACTCTTTAACATAAGGACAAAGAACATGTCTCCCAGATTTGAAGGACTTTGAGCTAAAAGAAGGAAGAGGAATAAATTCTAGACTCTCATATTTATGTATAGCGTGTTCTCCTTCATAGAGAGCACATGTTGCAGTGGGGGCCGCCAGGACACTCCAAAGTTGGGGGCGGGCTAATTGATCGTTGGCCACTGATGCGATTGGGGCTTCCCTTGTTGTTGGGAAGAAGTTATGTTGCCATTTGTTGATAGACAGCCAGAAATGCTAAAACTCCTTGCACGAGGCTAGGGCTTCCTCTTTTCGACCGTGCATCGGATTGCCTGTCCCCCCCTCCCTAGAATTAGGGTTGTTCACTTTGACCTTGCTATGCCTGTCATGGGGTCATCTTCTCTTGGGGCAGGGGCCCGGTAGGAATTTTGTCCATCTGGCAGATTGGCTGGTGCCATTTGGTTTTTGCCTACTGCGTAGCAAATTGTCACAACTTGTAAGGTTGTGGTTAGGCATTGGTTTATGGTTTGGTTGGTTGAGGGGCATGGATTGGCTGTGCCTGCCCCTCTAATGCTGCTGCTTCAAGGGATTCCATTAAAGGAATTGGGCGCTAACTATTGCTTGTCCACTCTGTCAAGGGGGCTCGGGCCATAGCAATGAGCTCCTGGTTGCATTTGGGGTGAGGGCAGGTGCCCTGCTCCGTCGCTACCCCCAAGTGTATTCCCCTATTCTGACTTTCACATCGTGCGGAATGTCAGTCTGTCCCCCATGGTGGGGGCAGATAGTCGCAACCAGTGCCTACGCAACCACTCACAAATTTGTATTTTAATAAAGTTGTGGCCAAAATTATGCCAAAAATCTTAAACAAAAAAATTCTGTGTGATGTGTGAGTTATTGGGGTGGCCCTGGGGACCTCAGCACGCAATCAGGGGCTTAAATTGCTTGTTTCCCTTATAGCATGGCTCTTCTAAAGCTCTTCTTTCACTGCGATTCCTGCCTGGACAGAAATATGAAAATTCATTTCATTGTTTCTCATGAAAAGTAAATTTGGGAAACTTGTTCACAACTTGCATTGTACAAAAAGTTCAGCTTAATTCCTAGCAATGGATTTTTTTCTCGTTGTTTTACCATTCTAGGACAGCCGTGGCACAATACCCTTTCCTCTGCCATAAATTTCTTCCTTTTATAAGTCTATTTCAATTAATTGGCAGTAGATAACTTTAACAATCCTTTCAATCTCTGCAACATAATTTGTATTGCATTTTAAATCAAGGTCTAGTGATAGTTAGCAATATTCTTATTCCATTTTCTTATTCTTTTAATCACAGCCTATAGCAGTTTAACAACAGGTCTGTCAGTGTTTGCAGTGGATTAAATCACTGTGCAATGGGGACATAGTCCAATCATTTATATCCTTATCAGCAATTTCTTAGAGTTCAACAGCATTTTCCAACAGTAATGTGGATATAATCCCTTCTTATTATGCTGACTCAACAAGTACAGACAGTGATTATTAGCAAAGAAATCAGCGCCTAAAGTACATACCTTTGCAATGCTATATTATATGTGTCTGGGGAGAAATAAGTCCCACTGAGTTTAATGGGGCTTACTCCCCAGAAAGTGGATATAGGATTGCTGTTTTAGTTTTCCATAATATAGGCTCTCTTGTGCAATTGACGTTTGGTTGGAGGTGGGTGGGTTAGATATTATAATATATACTTAAATTGTTGAGTAGTTTTGTAGTACTATCAGATTTAGTCTACTAGACTAAAGCTTCCCCTAAATTAAGGGTTGGAAAACTGTTGATCAGTAGTCAGGCTGCTGCATACACTTCTGCCTGGTTTGGCTTGGCTACCTGGTATTTGTAAAAGCAGAGGATCCATAAAATTACTTCTACTACAATTAGCAAGTACTCTGCTATGCTATTGGAACCTATAATTTGTCAAATGGAATGTGTGGAAGGGAGCAATATGACAAAATGAAGTAAGAGCAAAGAAGAAGAAATAACTGAATGGCCAAAAAAACAATCTTCCCCTTCACTTTTGGGAAATAAAAAATGGCTATAACGTTTCCATCTTTTGAAAGAAGATAGAATTTCCAGGCATTGTAGCACATCCTGTGTGGATAAAGCATGTCAAATTACAGACAAAAGGGTGCATGGATTTTTAGACAGCACACATTTAAAATTTGCCTTTTTTAAAAGGGGGGAAATAAATATATATAACGTTATTACTTTGGGCCATCACTTCATCTTTTGGATGCATAGTTAACTATGCACAAGTGAATATGGACTTTCTTTTATCTGAGAATTTTTGAACCTTTGCAGATCTACAGTGTTCTGTTTGGGATTAGGTGACCAGAACTGTACACAGTATTCCAACTGTGGTCTCATCATAGATCTGTATAAAGGCATTGCAAACTTTGCAGTGCTCTGTGAAACATCTTTCCTAACTATCAATAACATGGAATTAATCTGCTTCTCAGCTGCCTCCCACTGGGTCAGCATTTTCATTATTTTCATTATGCTATATACTATAGCCCCAAGGTCCTGGGCCTGGTCAGCCACTGCTAATTTAGACCCCATGAAATTAAGATCTCTTACCCCATTGTTCCTCACTGATCACTTGCTTGCATTGCATTTTCCATTTTACTGCCAATTCATCCGTTTGAAGAGAACACCTTGACCCTCTTCACAATGCCTTGTTTTAACCATGTCAAACAATTTGGTATCATCAGCAAACTTGCCCACCACACTGCTGCTTGGTTTATTCATTCATAACAGTATTTATATATTGCTGTATTATCAATATATATCACAATGATTTATAACGATATATAAATAGAGGGACGCGGGTGGCGCTGTGGGTAAAACCTCAGCGCCTAGGACTTGACGATCATATGGTTGGCAGTTCGAATCCCTGGGCGGGGTGAGCTCCCGCCGTTCGGTCCCAGCTCCTGCCCACCTAGCAGTTCGAAAGCACTCTTAAGTGCAAGTAGATAAATAGGGACCGTTTTATAGTGGGAAGGTAAACGGCGTTTCCGTGTGCTGCGCTGGTGCTGGCTCGCCAGAGCAGCTTTGTCACGCTGGCCACGTGACCCAGAAGTGTCTCCGGACAGCGCTGGCCCCCGGCCTCTTAAGCGAGATGGGCGCGCAACCCCAGAGTCGGTCACGACTGGCCCGTACGGGCAGGGGTACCTTTCCCTTTCCCTTTCCCTTATAAATATAAAACCAAGCAATAAAACCAGCAAGTTAAAAGCAAAAAAGAAATTAAAAACATTGTTGTTGATACTGTATCTATTTTTAAATCAATGTGTATAGGAAAAACAAGAACACACCATCATGGACATGGTAGATAAACAAAAGGGAAAAAAGAGCATACATAAAAAGAGCATTAGCATCTCATCATAAGGAAAAGAGTTAGAGGGTAAAATAGACAAATGAGAGGAAAACAAATGGAGGAAACACTAGTTAAAGCTACTTCCAAATGTATTTATACTTTATGGGGACTATATTGAGATCAGGGTTTCATATGCTGGTGCAACTCCAGCTGAACGGAGGATGTGAGAGTTAAGCCAACATAACCCAACTGCGGAGGCAGTGAGAGATTTTACTTTCTTGGGCCCCATGATCACTGCAGATGGTGACAGCAGCCACGAAATTAAAAGATGCCTGCTTCTTGGGAGAAAAGCAATGACAAACCTAGACAGCATCTTAAAAGCAGAGACATCACCTTGCCAACAAAGGTCCGTATAGTTAAAGCTATGGTTTTCCCAGTAGTGATGTATGGAAATGAGAGCTGGACCATAAAGAAGGCTGATCGCCAAAGAATTGATGCTTTTGAATTATGGTGCTGGAGGAGACTCTTGATAGTCCCATGGACTGCAAGAAGATCAAACCTCTCCATTCTTAAGGAAATCAGCCCTGAGTGCTCACTGGAAGGTCAGATCGTGAAGCTGAGGCTCCAGTACTTTGGCCACCTCATGAGAAGAGAAGACTCCCTGGAAAAGACCCTGATGATGGGAAAGATGGAGGGCACAAGGAGAAGGGGACGACAGAGGACGAGATGGCTGGACAGTGTTCTCGAAGCTGCTAACATGAGTTTGACCAAACTGCGGGAGGCAGTGGAAGACAGGAGTGCCTGGTGTGCTACGGTCCATGGGGTCACGAAGAGTCGGACACGACTAAACAACTGAACAACAACAACCAAACTGCACCAAGAACTTCCTAATCCTGCTCATTGCAGCAGATCTTGCTATAGGATTGTTCCCCTAAAAAGCCAAGTGCCCCATCCCCGGTTTGAGCTCTTATTCTCATTTCCCAAGTTTATACAGCCTCATTCATGGCAGGCACATCCAACAGGTAGATCGTGATTTACCGGTAGAACGACTGTGGTAGATCACTGGTAGATCACTGGCTCCCCCCAAAGAAGCTCAACAACTGTGGCTCTCCTAAAAAAACCTCAGCATTTTTGCCCTGCACCCCAAAAAGCGGGCCTTTCCTTCTCCCTAAAAATAGCTCAACACTGACCTGAACCCCCAAAAAGGGGGTAGATCACTGCCAGTTTTTAACTCTGTGAGTAGATCACAGTCTCTTGGGAGTTGGCCACCCCTGATGTAGAGGAATGCCAATGTTTTCTGTGAAATGTGAACACGAGCTGTAGAAAACATCACTGATTTGAACTAGAACAAGGAAGTCATGTTTTCCATTTGTCTGTACAGGTTTCCCTTTTGTTTTGCTTTTAACTTTAAGTTTGTGTCTCTTTGATCTGCATTTTTATTATGTACATCTACAACACTGTGTTTAAACATGGAACATAAAATGTGCTAAATCTCCAGATAAAATTATTGAGTCCCTGGGACGTTCAGCATGAACTTTCAGTATGCCTGAGCAATGTGACTTCTTTTACTTTTTTTTTTTTTTTTTTTTTTACAACCACTGCAGGTTTATTACTTTCGGAATAATGAAGATGCTTCTTTAATTTATTTTTAAAGCCCTGGGAGCCCACATATTTAATAAAAGCTCTCAGCAACATTAAACTACCCTTAATTAAGATTTCCTGTTAAATAAAGAAAACCTGTATAAGGAGCATCTTCTATAGATGTAGCTATTTATTTACCCAGATAAACATATCATGATGTAACTTATTTTCCTTTCTTTTTTAAAAAAATATTTTTATTAGCAGTTTCGACATAAGAAATTGTCAAACCATATAATCGCTTACATTAATTTCCCCCCTTTCCCCCTCCCTTCCCTCCTTCCCTCCCCGCCCCAAGGACTTCCCTCAGCTCCTCTCTCTGATTTCTCAGCCCATATTATTCTCTGCATGTTATAAAATTGTACATATCCCTACATTATCTATCTAACATGTTATCAACCAATAATTTTTGTATGTTTATTAAAAACCTGCCAAGGATTCCAGTTCATTTTGTTGTCTTTTTAGATAATTTGTAAAAAGCTCCCACTCTTCCTTAAAGTCCCCAGTTGTCCTTGTCCCGCAATTTATATGTCATTTTAGCCAACTCTGTGTAGCTCGTCAGTTTTTCTTGCCACTGTTCTTTCATCGGGATTTCCTCATTCTTCCATCCTTGTGCTATCAAGACCCTTGCTGCTGTTGTGGCATGCATAAATACATTGTTTGTTTTTCTTGGCAAGTCTTGTCCTACAATCCCTAACAAAAATGCTTCTGGTTTTTTTACAAATGTCATTATAAACATTTTTTTCAATTCATTGTATAGATTTCCCAATTTTTTAAAATTTCTCTATATACCCACCACATATGATAAAAAGTCCCTTCTTTTTCTTTACATTTCCAACATATATTTGACCTGGTTTTATACATTTTTGCAATCTGTACTCGTGTAGTATACCATCTATACATCATTTTCATATAATTTTTTTTCAAGAGAGAACAGTCTGTAAATTTCAAATTTACTTTCCACAGTTTTTCCCAATCCTTGAATTGTATATTATGTCCTATGTCCTGTGCCCATTGGTCTCTTCCAACTCTATGATTCTATGATTCTATGATCTCCTCATCTTTTGTTTCCCATTCTAGCAATATACTATATGCTTTCTTCAGCAGCTTCCCTTCTTCTTCTATAACTTATTTTTGAAATCTAGAAGTTGTGTAATTAAACCCTGATGTAACTTATTTTCCTATTGGTAGTACAGAATTCTGTTTTTAAATAAAAGACTTGTTATACGGAGAAAGAGAGTGGAGGGGATATGCTACAAATAAAAAATAGCTGAAGAGTGAGGGCTTTGGAATATGTATGCGTGCCACTATAGTGGCGGACAGAGAGAAACTCTAGATTCAGGTAGGTAGCCGTGTTGGTCTGACGCAGTCAAAATATATATAAAAAATAAAAAATTGTACCTGAAGAAGTGTGCATGCACATGAAAGCTTATACCAAGAACAAACTTAGTTGGTCTCTAAGGTGCTACTGGACAATTTGTTTCACTTTTATATATATTTAGAGAGAAACTCTGTTAATGGAACAACACCTGTACCCCTCAAAGAGCCCCCATTAAGCCTCATTGAAGTTCTGTGGGCACAGATGCACATAAATGTAAATCAGGTACATAAAATCTACACAGATCCATCTTCAGGGCTGGTCCTACCATGAGGCAAAGTGAGGCAGCTGGAAAGTTGCTAGAAGGAGTGCCATGTGGTTTGCCCTGCAGCCCCTAAGCTAGCTTACTGCCCTAGCATGGCAATAACACCAATGAGGTGAGCTGAGGCAAGCTCCCACCCCACCGGGGATGGGCCCAGATCTGTGGGCAGGGGGAAATGTCGGTGCTCTATCTTGTTTCAGGTGCCTAAAGTTCTTGGGCCGGCCCCGTCCATCAGTATTCTCAGTGAACACAAGCTAGGACTGCATTTCATTCATTTTAGTAATAATTTTTATATTGTGGTTTTTATTCTGTGCAAGCTACCTTGTATGGACCTTGCCTGGGAAATGGTATATACATATTTTAGAATAATATGAACTAAAAAGTGCATCCTTCCCTAACAAGTCAAATAAGATCCAATAAGTGCACGAGCTCTGGAGTTGGCATAGTTAATTTCAACCAAGACTTTTTTTTTTCAGCTGGAATGTGCCAGGATGGCATTCTGGCACCTCTCAGGTGGGCACCAGAAGTGCAGGGAGAGATCTAACCACCTTTATCAAAGCCCCACTGTGCCTTTGGCTCATGAGGAGACCCTCTCTGGACCCCGCTAGGGGATATCCTCTACAGCCTCCAGAGAGGGTCTCCTCCTGAGCCAGAGGCGCAGCGGAGCTTTGGTGAGGCTCTTTAGCCTTCCAGCTAAAAGCTGATGCACAGGAAAGTTGCACCTTAGCTGAGCAAGCCCCCGTACTGCCCCTCTTTGGGCTCTGGGGTCAGTCTTCTGAGGGAAGTGGTGTTCCAGCAGCTTTTTCTCTGGAGAAAGAAAAAGCACTGGTTTCAAGAATAAGAACAGTAATAGTTCTCAATAGTTTGCGTCGATGAAAAGGAGAGCTGGAGAAAAAAAGTATTTGCAAAAAGGCCCCTGCCACCCTAGCCACATCAAGCCAACAAGGTGTAAGAAGTGGCAATAACTCCTTTATAGATTCTCCTCCTCCTACCCCAAATCTCCACAAAATTGCTCTGTTAGAATATAAAGTAATGAATGACTTCCTGACAAGAACAATGCAATAATATGCCTGGGGAGATTTCATGGAAAAAGATGTACCATGGATAGTTTAGATATGAGTTGGGGGTTGAGTCCATTCTCTATCTGTGTACTATGTTGACCACTGCCTCCAGAGAGCTGTGAGAAGAATATTAAGAGAACAACCAGCATTTTGCCATCGAGGAGAACAAAATTCAGATTAACATTGCATTGTCAAGAGAATTTTCATGTCTGCTCCAGAAAAATGTGAAACCCTACAATTGTAATTAAAATAGTTCAGATATATTGTTTCAGCAATGACATCTGCTCTCTGAGTCAGTGGAATACTTTAAAGCCCATTTGATGAAGTAAAAAAAAAGGCATAGAAATAGGAGTTCAATACACAAATTGGACAATAACCTTATGACTTTAAAAATTGATATGCAAAACCATGACAATAAAAGCTTGAATCTCGGATACAGCCATTTCTTATTTTACATTTGATGAAAGGCTAGAGCAAGTACTAAACCTCAGTGAATTACACAGGAAAATATCTATACAGCATGAATGTCTCCATGCAGAGTGCATGCTATGCCATGAATTATTATGCAGCTTTCCTTCACAGAGCAAAGCTCTGCAACAGAACTCGGGTGATCTCAGTTTCTCAGCTACTAGTCCATCTGCTTTGATCATGAACAATTTTATGATCTTTGCAGGGAGAAGTATATTGCTACATTAATATGGTGTCCAACTCAGTGTGCAGCTGTATACCGTGTAGAATATTCAGCAAACAACTTCTAATAATTTTAATAAACCTCTAATAAAAAACATCTTCCAACAGGTCCCAGGTATAAATTAGCTGCCAAAAGGTATGGGTATGACTAAGTGCGGAATCATCACATCAGGTAGAAGTTGTCAAGGCAGCTAGCAGTGTTTAATCCCAAGGGACTGTCCCACATTCAGGTGCACCTGCTAGAAAAAAATACAGTTTATATAGAATTTTGCACTTTTGGCCTTAGAACAGAGGTGCTACCATGTGCTAATAGGAACAACAGTCTGACATTTCACTACAGACTACTTAAAAATAAATTGAGTTCTAGCTATTAAAAGAAATGAACCGAAAAGTTCATTCGAAAAGAGGACTTTTAGCCTTAGCTATCTTTGAAACAGTTTGTCTTTCTCAAGCTACTGTTCTGCCTCAGAAAACCCATCTTCCGCTATCTCAAGGAGAGAGGTTTGAGAAACACTTAAAATCACCAATGCTATTAACATTACAAAACCTGGAATTGTTTAAGATGGGTCAAGAGTTCTGAAGTCTGAAAATGAGCAATATATCTCGGGTATACTGTTTTTCTGCAAACCCAAGAACCAGTGCCCATGGCAGCCCTCTTATGAGCTGTGTGGAAGCATGAGAAGCTGTCACTGGGGTTGCAGATCGACTTTCACTGTGGCAAAAAGACAAACTGTGAGAATGTGGTTGCTATGCATGCAGCTGCTGCAATTTGAATAATTATGTTGGGCTTGGGGGGGGGGGACACATCAAAGGTTCCTAGCCATGAAAGCTGAAGGAAACACCATTCTACGAGAGTAAGAAATCTCTGATGCTGTGGAAAGAGAACAGGGGAAGACCCTCTCCTTCATGCCTTGATTGGGTGTGCCCAGAAGTCCACTGTTGGAAACGGAATGCATGCCTGGATAGACTTGGGTCTGATCCAGTAAGACAAATCATAGGTTCTTACTAGAAATGGCATGAGAATTTGCGGAGGCTTGGCATTTAAACTCTCCCCTGCTTGAGAAGTCTGGCTCCATTTCAAGGTGGGCTAGACCCCTTTTGAATCAGGTGTCTTGCCTACCCTTGCTCCTGCTGTGGTGTGTGCATCCTCACCTTGCTGCCACACAGCCCTTCCTGCAACTTCCCTGCCCCTTTCTTTCTCAGTTGAAAGGAAAAAGGGGGAAAAAGCAGTCCTGTGAGGGCAGGAGGAAGAGAGAGGTTAAGTCTTAACTCTCGAGCCTATTAGGGTTCTTTGAAAGTGTCAACAAGGCAGGGAGAAAGTGGATAGAGAAAAGTTTTTCTCCCTCTCTCTAACACTAGTCCTCATGAACATCCAAGGAATCTGAATGTTGGAAGACTCAGGACAGATAAAAGAAGGTACTTTTTCATACTTGGGGGGCGGGGAGTGGTCGCCACCAACATGGATGCCTTTAAAAGAGAATTATACAAATGAGTGGAGGATAAGGTTAGCAGCAGCTGCTAGTCATGATGGCTATGTTCTGCCTCCACTGTTGGAGGCAGTACACCTCTGAATACCAGTGTCTGGGGGATCTGAAACCAGGTAGGCTGTTGTGGGTTTTTTTGTCCTGCTTGCCAGTTTCCCACCTAGTTCTTACATCAAATGGACCCCGTGCAACTTCTGCAGGGCTGCTGCCACTGCCATGCAAATATTGGTGGCTACCTGTGCACCATTCCAGTGGAACTGCCAGTTCACACAGTCCCTTCAGGCAAGGATTGTCCAGCCGGCATTCCTCTGGGAGCCCCACATGCTGTCACGTAGGGGTTTACTGCCATATGAGAAGCAGATTGACCTATCTGATTGGTCCGTGCATGTTGGCCTTTGCAGAGCTGGCCTTTCATTTGCTGGATATATTGTTATCTTCTTCCTCTGACTATCTTTCTAGGAGTTACTGTTCTCGAAGGGCCAATTTATGCAGTTGGAGGCCATGATGGTTGGAGCTATCTGAACACAGTCGAGAGGTGGGACCCCCAAAGTCAGCAGTGGACTTTTGTAGCCAGCATGTCTATTGCCAGAAGCACAGTCGGTGTGGCAGCATTAAATGGCAAGTGAGTAGTGGGGGATAATGGTTTAAAGTGGTACAGTTATCAGTAACTGACACATACTTGGGCAGAAACGTTCCAATGCCTCTCACATTGACTAGATGTCACAATTACCTCTTCACTTCTCTACAACTCCAAACTCAAGGTGTTCTTCTGCTACTTACAAGCACGACTAAAATGGCTTATGCCAAGAACAGAGATTTCAGAAATGGAGCCTGTGCATAATTAGAATAGTGTTTACAGACCTGAAAGTGCAAGGGGAAATCTCACAATTAAGTTTGCAGTTTGAAGAAATTGCATATTTCCTAAATGGTGTCTGAAATACAATCTTGCATTTTATAATGTGATCTTTATTCATTCTTCCCATCTCTCAAGCCCAAGTAGCAGTTATGGGAGTAGATGGCAACACTGTGTCAATGTCTATGCCTTTTGCTCCCAGTAGTTTTGCAGTCTTACATTTCCCTTCTCCTTTTATTTATAATCTTTTTCTTTCATTTATGTTATTGTCACGTTATCTTAATAAATTGCTGATACCTAGAACAAAACAGGTAGGTAGCCGTGTTGGTCTGCCGTAGTCGAAACAAAATAAAAAAATTCCTTCCAGTAGCACCTTAGAGACCAACTAAGTTTGTTATTGGCGTGAGCTTTCATGTGGATGCACACTTCTTCAGATACACTGAAACAGAAGTCACCAGACAGAAGTCACTATATATAAGGGTCTGGTGAATTCTGTTTCAATGTATCTGAAGAAGTGTGCATGCACACGAAAGCTCATACCAATAATAAATTTAGTTGGTCTCTAAGGTGCTACTGGAAGGAATTTTTTTATCTAGAACAAAACACTCCGTCATCAAAGAAGGCAGATGTGACACATCGTCATTTGCATAAACTAGTTCTGGAATTGGTCTGGCAGTGGTAGCTCCCAGTGGTGCACATAAACAGAAGATGCAAACACAAGACCACCTGCATGATTTGGGTTGTGGGAGGGTGACTGCATCAGAAAACTGAGGAACTAATGGAGCTATCGGCTTAACACCCAGTATTACCATTTTTCAACATTCACTGCTTTCAGATCTTCCAGGTAAATATGCTTTGGACTACAGTCATGCAATCCAATTCTATGTGTGTTTCCTCAGAAATAAAACTTGGTTTGTCCATTAGGGCTTTCTCCCAAGTAAGTATGATAGGAGTGCATCCTTTGGCTGTGTTCGCACGAGCCTTTTTGTACACACTTTAACACAACACATCTAAAGCACCAGCTACGATCCATGTTTTGTGAACAGGCAGGTGGGTGTCCTTTCAAATTAGTGCACAGAAGTGCTAACTCATCTCTTCAATTACTTTTTCCACAGACCTCTTTTTTAAATAAGACAGTCTTTTAAAAGAGAGGGGCTGGAAACGGGTATATACTGATAGACTAAGGATGTAAATCTGTTTGTAGAGGTAGCTAAGTGTCTGTATTGCTTCCTATTTTACCTTTCACATTCATAGAAAAGTTAAATTGTGAGGGGAAGTGGCACATCTCTGCAGCATCAGTAGGTCTGCCCCAAGAGGAGGTAACCTGAAAAAGCACTCCCTTGTGTACACATGTGTGTAGCAAGTGCATGAGAATTGCATCCTTGCACAAAACGGATTATAGCCCTACCAAGAGAATGTCTTTCATAGCAGCAAAGAGTGTGAGACAGGTGCAACACGGAGCTGACATCATGTGTGCAGCACTCCCCTAAGGTACTTGCATCCAGCACCGAATGTACATTATCACGCAGTGTGAACATGCCCTTAGTCAGAATGTTCCTTTAATCAGACCATTCCCAAAAGTACCGTATATTGGTTCCATTTCTCTTCAGAACATTTATTTCAGGTTCAGTCTAATTGAGTCTGGTCTTAGTGAATTGTGGCTCTAGTATGATACAACACCTGTCATTGGGCTTTAATTGATAACTGTAAGCAATACAGACACTTGCATACAGGAAATTTTACTGTATTTTTTGTGTAAAATTAATGTTATAGGAAAGCAGGGAGTTATAGCTTCTCATAGTTAGTGGACTGCTCTTTAACTTGGGAAATCACAGGACCTATTTCTGTTTGATCTTCAGAAAGTCAGTTGGCTAACATTTGTAAAAATTGATCACCTGAGACACGCTACAACACCATGCAAGCGCTTAAACTGCTCCACACGCCAACTGCTGCATGGACTTTAATATCACAAACCAGACCATTATATTAGAGGTGTGGGAATATTATTCCAGCATTGGAAACTAATATTCTACTGCAGATACTTTAGGACTTCAGTACTAAACTCTTCGACACTTTGATAAGGTCTCTTTATGGTGTTTCAAAAAATAGCTTGATAGAAAAAAAGATAAAATAATCTTATGAGTGTGTGTTCATGGATGAGGTATGTGGGTGTTAGGTTTGCACCTACTGACTCAGCACTGGATAGCTCAGTTGGTTAGAGCGTAGTGCTGATAACGCCAAGGTTGCAGGTTCATTCCCTGTATGCATATTCCTGCATTGCAGGGGGTTGGACTGGATGAACCTCGGGGTCCTTTACAACTCGATGATTCTATGGCCACCCCTCAACCTCCATGTGTTGATGATAATTTGTTTTTAGAAGCCTATAGACATAAGCTTTGGGACGCAGGTGGTGCTGTGGGTTAAACCACAGAGCCTAGGACTTGCCGATCAGAAGGTCAGTGGTTTGAATCCCTGTGACGGGATGAGCTCCCATTGCTCAGTCCCTGCTCCTGCCAACCTAGCAGTTCAAAAGCATGTCAAGCGCAAGTAGATAAATAGGTACCGCTCTGGCGGGAAGGTAAACGGCGTTTCCGTGCGCTGCTCTGGTTTCGGTGTTCTGTTGCACCAGAAGCGGCTTAGTCATATTGGCCGCATGACCCAGAAGCTGTCTGCGGACAAACGCCAGCTCTTTCGGCCTATAGAGCGAGATGAGCACCCCAACCACAGAGTCGTCCGCAACTGGACCTAATGGTCAGGGGTACCTTTACCTTTACCTTTTAGTCACATTTAAACTATGTCCACTTAAAGTGAGATGATGGAACTATTACAAAAACAATTATATCTGTGTGCTCGGCTTGAAAGTAACAAGAAAAATAGTCAATGGCTCGTGAAATCAGTCTTTATAGTGTTCTGAACAAGTGAAATTAAAGAAAGTGCTAGGGTCCACCAGGATAAGTAAATAACTGTGTGCAGTGTCACCCTGGCTCTGAGTGGGTCCTCATTCACTTCTTCATTCAGCTTAGGGACAGAGGCAGGAGGACAAATGTGATTCATGAAAGGGGTTTAAGTATTTGGCAGAGCTGTAAAAAACAACAGACGTTGCAGCCTTGCTCCGCCTGCAAGGAAGTATGTACAACTGAACCAAGTACTTATTACACAGCATCAGATTGCCTGAGATTTTTAGTGTAGTTGATTCTCTGAATGATACCTCAAGGAGCTAGCAGTAGATGCGATATCTCGGGACTAAAATATTAACATATACTAACATGGCTCTCTCAAATACCCATTCTTTTATACTGAAAACCCGACTTTTCCTTTTCACATTCAAGGCTTCTCCCTCCAACATATTAAACGTGTTCTTCAACAGTTCTGTACTCAAACAAAACAACTAAACAAATGCACTTTTCCCAAAATGCTCTTAATAAATAAAATAAAATCCTGCTTTATTGTACCTTAAAGGCAACAGATGTCACCCAGTGTTGTCTGAGAGCTCTTTAACTTGCACAAGAAGACTTCATGTTCCTTTCCATTCCCTGGCAGCCATCTCCCACCCCAACTTCTCCAAATCTGCTCTGGAGATTTGGCGCATCCTCTGGTGCAGACTAAGGGGTCCTTCCATTCTGACAACATTTGATTCAAGCAAGCACATTTATTGCGCCATACGCTACATTCTGTTAGTTTAAAGATGCCACAGGTCCCCTGTTGTTTGTATGTTTATATATGTCACAATAAACTAAGATTGATACTCCACAGAAACATAAACTCATTGAGTTGGCTTCAAACTATACTCTGCAAATCTTGATTTATCACTGTTAATATTTCACTGGATGTGAGAGTCTTTACCCCTATTACCAGTCTAAGCTGATAAAACAGTTTGTGTTGTCTTATCAGAAAGACAAAAAAATATCATTAGATTATCTCTATAGCTAATTTTTGATGTTTTCCCCCGTTGCTTTTTCCCTTTTGAAGTGCTATATATATATATATATATATATATATATATATATATATATATTCCATCTAATGGGAAATGTCACTAAATATCTGCAGACTGCATATTTTTTGTTCCCCCTCCCCCCTCTAGCCACACAGATAATGGAAAAAGCACGCAAGATGCCAAGGGAGTTTTTGGAGGCAGTTCTACTCTTTTGGAGTTTTGGGGACAGGGCGGATAGTGCCATCCCCTGTGTGATAACTGGTCTGCCAAACAAAGGAATAAATATGCAGTAAAATAAAGCTATTTTACTAAGCTTATGCTTGCTCCTGAGTAACAGCTTCTGGCAGATTCTGTCTGACATGTTGACTGCATTATGGAGATGCTTCTTTACAGTGATATCTCTGTCTGGAGATTGCACCCTTCAAAGCCTGCTACTCTAATAGTCTAACATCATGGAAAGTCTCTACAGCTGCAGTGGCATAGAGACTTTCCATGTGGTTGTCACAAGTTACAGTTTCCATGTGAGCCTGCTTGGTCTGGGATGTATAGTAGCAAGAGTCAGTGATATTTTTCTAGAAAAAGAGGTGCCAGAGCTCACCAGGAACACTTTCCGTGTTCTCTTACAGTGGCAATGGTGCCCACTTGAGAGGTGCCAGAACGGAATTCTGGTGAGTTCTGGCTGAAAAAAAAAGCCCTGGCAGTAGTGATGCATGTTGCTATATTGTTAGGAAGTTTTTAATGTTTGATTCTATTTTTACTATTCTGTTGGGAGCTGCCCAGAGTGGCTGGAGAAACCCAGCCAGATGGGCAGGGTATAAATTATTATTATTATTATTATTATTATTAAACAATGCCAGGCAAAAAAAATTGAGGTTTTTAGGATTAGGAGACTAAATTAGAGTTGCAGTGCATCATATTTATTTCCTGCTTGGCAGGGGGTTGGACTCGATGGCCCTTGTGGTCTCTTCCAACTCTATGATTCTATGATTCTATGATAGTACTTATCCAATACTTGTTAATGATAAATTTATTGCACACCTAAAAACAAAAGTAGCATTAGGCATATATAACTTTTGATTGCTAGTCCATATATTTTGAGTATATCTAAAAATAATACTTCAGATAGGACATTGTGTCCAATCTCACATTGCCCATTCATCCATAAACTATAGTTGACTTTCTAATTGGGATTGCTCCACTGCATCAAGTGCTGCTGAAATGTTTGAGAATAGCTCAAATGGACAGTTCTGCTTTGACTGCACAACTTTGTTCTCCCTCCAAAAGAATATTTTTTAATATAAATTTATTGTCACATTTAACCAGTCAGCTAAAATGTAAATTTACTAAATGATCTTGTAAGTGCAGCTCTGAAACCTCTGAGGAAATCTTCATTTGTTATTTTTCTTTCTGCTTTGTGCATAGCTAAGCACAGTGAAAATCTACGGCTGTTATAGATACTGTCTTTAGAAGATATGGATATAAGCCCATAATTTTAGCAATATAAACAAATATCAGTTGTGGTTTAAGTTCAGATATTTTTCTGTAAATTCCATATGGTGAAAGTTTGCTAAGTACAATGTTAAGGCATAAAAGTAGCAAAATCTAAGTCCTGAAAGTAATAGAAAGAGAAAATTAAGCAGTTCTTGGTCTGATGACCAGCTTAATAGCCTCAACCCTTACATGATTTTGTAAAAAGATCAGAGGTCTCAACAGTCCCTTTAACTATGTCATTTGTCGGACACCCCAGTTAAGTTTTTTGAATTGTTGCTAAATGTCATGATTTGAACTTTCTCCTCCTTCATAAAATATGAACGGCATGGTTTTCAGTACAGTCATACCTCATGTTACGTCCGCTTCATGTTATGTTCTTTCAGGTTACGTCCCACAGCAACCCAGAAGTACTGGAAAGGGTTACTTCTGGGTTTCGCCTCTCACGCTTGCACAGAAGCACAAAATGACGTAATGCACAGAAGCGGCGAATCACAACCTGCGCGTGCGCAGACGCGCCGCTGTGGGTTACATTCCTTTCATGTTGTGAACGGGCCTCCGGAACGGATCCCGTTCGCAACCAGAGGTATCACTGTATAGAAATGATTATTCATCAGCCTCTCTCTCTCTCTCTCTCTCTCTCTCTCTCTCTCTCACACACACACACACACACACACACATTTTATTTAAAGTCATTGAAATTAGTTCCTTTCGATATAGATCAGTTGGTAGAGCATGTAATATCAGGGTTGTGGGTTCAAGTCCCACGTTGGGCAAGTGGACTAGATGATTCTTGGGGTACCTTCCAACTCTACAAGTCTATTTCTATTATTCTATTTAAAATAGTCAAATCTGTTTACAAAGGTAATAACAGCAGCAGCCATCTTATTTTCATGATTCCACGTTTTTCATGATTCAGTAGGTGCCTTTTCTTCATTTTGCAAACAGTGTTCGTTTTGCCTCAACTCTGGATATAATGCAATTTACCCACAGCTACCACTAGGGAGCAGGTTGTGAATGCTTCTCATCAAAGTTCTGCAACTATCTCTCCTGCTGGGCTCACTGTGGTGCTCCTAGACCATTTACTTCAATCTATGTTTGTTTGTTTTGGGGAAGTATCCTGTCCTTCAGTTGCCTTGAGTAGAAGGCATGGGAAGCCCACAACCTGACATGAATGGCTCTGTCCAGGTCCCTGGTGGAAGCCTGGCAAGTGGGAATATATTATAATTCCAGAATATGCTAGTTTTTAAATAATAATAATAATAATAATAATAATAATCTGATGTTATATAAAACATCAACATTGAGGAGTTAGGAGTTCTGAAAGCACTGCACTTCCACAAAGTATTTACTCACCTAATTTTTGCAGCAGAGAAATACTGCTTTGAGAGGGACCATAAAATCTGAAATGAAATTAAGGAGATACATTTTATTCTGATAGATTTAATTATTAGAAGCTCTGCTTATATCAAAGAGTTGCACATTATTCCTTTACTAACTCTTCCTATTACGATGCTTTAAAAGTGATCTATGGCTTCTGAGCCTCTTGTAAGAACAGATCTTCCCCCATTCTATTTTTAAATAATTCTGTATGTGTGCACTTGGTAGAAAAATACCTTTAACTTCCTTTATTGGAAGATCATATCTGAACTTCTAAACATAAACAGCCTGCTTGTGAGTGACTCTCAAACAGAACAGCCACCCACTGAGTGAAGTGTCAAAAGTCACAATTGTGGTATACCACAGGAGCCCTTCACACATATACAATAGCTGTCTTTCACAACCCACACAGAAAAACTTCTGCCTTTTATTGATTCTCCTCCTCCCAAAAGCAGGCTTTTAAGTACTTTATAGTTCCACAGGCTGATAGTGCTTATATCAAGTATAATGAGTTGCTCATTATTGATTACAGAGAAATAAAGCAAGTAGACATTTCAGGGTTTTTTTGTTTTTTACAAAAATCTTTGAGACTCCAAACATACAATTGACACCCTTGGGTTCATATCAGGAGATGAAACTCTCCACACAGTGAGGGGGGGGGGATGGACAAGATCTGGAGCAGAATTTCCTTCTCCCCCCCCCCCCAAAAAAAAGTAATACAAATTTGCAGAATTCTACCCAGGCAAATTTTCCAAATTAAACAGGGAAGGGGAAAGAGTTGTGATAAGACTAATTAAACTTCTTGGTGGGATTCTGCACATACCTTCCTTGATACTGCTACTTAGAAGCAAAACTGCCCTTCCGTATCCTGCCTCTTGATTTAATGGACCCCAATAGTCAGGGACATGGATCTCCCCTCTGTTAAATGTTGGGAGAAACTGCACTAACAAAGAATATACCGTATTTTTTGCTCTATAAGACGCATCAGACCACAAGACGCACCTAGTTTTTGGAGGAGGAAAACAGGAAAAAAAATATTCTGACTCTCAGAAGCCAGAACAGCAAGAGGGATCACTGTGCAGTGAAAGCAGCAATCCCTCTTGCTGTTCTAGCTTCTGGGATAGCTGCGCAGCCTGCATTTGCTCCATAAGACACACACGCATTTCCCCTTACTTTTTAGGAGGAAAAAAGTGAGTCTTATAGAGCAAAAAATACGGTATATATATATATGAAGATCCAGTGTGGAATAGTGACTAGAGTGTTGGAATAGCACCTGGGACACCAGGGTTCAAATCCCTAGACAGCTTTGAAGGAGTACTGAAAAAGGAGCATTTCTTTTAACCATTGTTGTAATGTAAATAGCTGTAAACTATACAAAAGTAGCAAGCAATTGTTATGATGACAGGATAATGGTAAAACACTGTGGCTCATCCTACAGGAATTTAAACTACAGGAAGCTTTGCTTTGAAAGTCAGTTACAGAATCGATTCCTCCAGTTTGTAACCCATGGCAGATGAATTAACCTCTGGTGAGGTTCAGCACACGATTCTATTTGAGTGGCTGCTTTATGAAAGGGCGTTTGCTGCTGCTGCTGCTGCTGTTGCTTGGAAGAAAGAGCAGAAAATGCTTTTAAATCTGCAGGAACTGGAAAGGGGAGATGTTCCTGCCCTGAACTGACTAGGTTGTCTTTTCTTCCCTATGAGCACTTTATCATTCTTTATCATTCTGAATAATACACCTTTAGGAAGTCACCTTCCTGATCTGGCCTTCTTCCTTCCCCTCTGTTTTGCAGGTTAATTGCCGCACTAGTAATATATCTATTTATAGTGATATGTCATTTTCTTTTCCTGGCATTTCTTTACTTTGTTTCCTTCACTACCTTTCAATTTTCCTTACATTTGTACTTCTCCTTCTGCTGCCTACCACACTTCTTTAAAAGTTTGAAAGGCGTTTTCTTCCTCTTCTTTTCCCACACTCTTTGCCTACAACTGCTTTATTTTCAGGTGAAGGGTGAATTCCCAAAATGAAACAACTCTCTTCCAAACACTTTCTAATAACTTAGTGATCATCCACTTCAAGAAAGATGTAGGTTTTTAAAAATTCAAATATACATAGTTGCTGTTCATTCTGATCCCACTTTCTGTGTCTCCCTGTCTCTCCCTTCCCTTTGTAAAGAGCCTGTGTTTCATCTGCATAGCCATTCCATTTCTTGACCACAATAGTATGATGGACAAAGCCATCCTAATAGTGGGTCCTGTGTTGCAGCCAAGGCCCTGCTGGTCACTGTAGAAAGTGGTTCAGATCCCCTTTTTCATCTGGGGGTCCATCGCTGGATCTGCTCCACCTACATCCCTGCAAAGCCCTCTTTTGGTTACCACTGGCAAAACACTGCTGGCAGTAATTTTCCACCCACCTGGAGGGCGCAGTGGGGTTACAGCAAAAGCCCTCCCTAACTAGCAAAGCTCAGCTGAGGGATGCCTTCACCTAATCCTGTCCCCCCCCCCCCCCCCGTTTATCAGAGAGTTAGGGTTGGAGCTAAAGAGGCTATAAATGGCTAAAACATACAGACTCCAACACGCAAATACTAGTAGTCCCTTTCACAGAGGTAGCGAAATCAACCTATACACACATCCCACAAGAAGCAAATGAATGAAAAGCACATTTTAGGACTGTTAACCATTCTTAAAGGTAAAGGGATCCCTGACAATTAAGTCCAGTTGCGAACGATTCTGGGGTTGCGGCGCTCATCTCGCTTTACAGGCCGAGGGAGCCAGCGTTTGTCCGCGCCGCAGACAGTTTTTCCGGGTCATGTGGCCAGCATGGCTAAGCCGCTTCTGGCGCAATGGAACACCAACACCAGAGCAGCACATGGAAACGTTGTTTACCTTCCCGCCGGAGTAGTACCTATTAATCTACTTGCACTTTGGGGTGTGCTTTCAAACTTCTAGGTTGGCAGGAGCTGGAACCGAGCAACAGGAGCTCATTCCGTCACGGGGATTCAAATTGCCGACCTTTTGATCAGCAAGCCCAAGGCTCAGTGGTTTAGACCACAGTGCCACCCGCGTTCATTCTTATTTACTTGTAATCTAGACATTATATAATGCAAGAAGTGCAAGCGCGACAAATTTACACAACTTTATAGCACGTCATACAAGCCCATCTCTCACACAAAGCAAAGTGTAAGGCCTGAACTATACCTGAAGTTGAAGTGCTAGGATTCTGACGGGTAGAGGAGACTGTCTGAACCATTAAAAACTGCAGGTGGTACTTTTAAATATATATCTTAAGAACAAAAACAACATTGCAAGCAAACAATTAGTGCACCAGAGGGGAAAGCCCAGTCCAGGCTGCTCTGTAGAATACAAGATTATTATTTTCCTTGCAGAATATTTTCAAGAAGGAGGATCATTTTAAATGTAGCATTCCCACCAACTTTACTTGCAGTTTAAAGTGGTTTAGAGAGTAATCCTATGCATGAGGAGCCGGCATAAAGCAAGTTGCTATAAATTAAGCCAGCATAAAGTTACAACATTTCCAAACCCTGTCAGGTGCGGCTGCTCTGCTTAAGCCTAGAAGAGGGAAAGTGAGCCTTTAAAATAGTGCTTTATGAGGGGTTGCCGGGTCACATGTCTGAGTTGACCAGACTTAGGATCTAGGCCCCAGCCCCAGCCCTTTCTGGTCTCATCCACATCACAACCTCATAACACCCCTTTTAGGGGACTTCAACCTGCCTTGGCTCAGCCAGCAGAGCCCTGGCTGAGCTGGGATGGGCAAATTACACTACTGGACATCAGCTGCATCCTCAGTTGCTCATCCTGGTGGATCTTGCCATAGGATTCCCCACCACATTTACATTTGCCTATAAATATGCAATGCCCGGTTCAGTGCAAATTAATGCAATGCGTCAATGAACAGCAGTCAGGTGCCACCACTTTTGCTTTTCTGTCAGACATGAAATTCAGATAGGTTTGAGCTACATCACTGGCCTCATTAACGAAAGCGATTGTAGGCTATTAATAATTGGCCCAAGGAAATAAGCTATTAGCTGAATTTAAAAATATACACTATTCGATAGTTGCTTCGTGGTGATTGTGGGTTTTCAAAGAGTTATACTTCTCTGCCTTTCGTACACCACATGATAAAACGTATGGTGACATTTTCTTTTAACTGAATCGAGACTCATTCATAATTCAGTGTGTGAGCCTGATCTTTAACACCTTTTCTCATCAATGCACTTTCCTGGAGTGCAGCCCCTGAAAAGCCCTGCATACAATCACTATGTTCTGCACGTTATCTCTGCTTTCTGAATGAGTATATTCTGAGCAGAATTAAATCTTATTAGGTATTGTACATAAAGCTCCCAGGAGACTCAATCTGCTGGAAACATGAATGACTCCCCCCCCCCCCAATGCTATTCTGTTTTGGTGAACAAAAGTGAAAATTCCTCCTATCAGTGTGTGAGAGTCTTTGCATGTATTAACATGTAAACCATATTAGGTTTCATGCTGTACCCACTTTCAGTGGACTTCTAAGTAAGATCATGTGTAAGATCATGCTGTGACACTTCCTTCATACTCTCATGGGGTTTTAGTTACATGGAGATCTATTAAAACTGAATCAACCCAGTGAATCAGCTTGATTGCAATTGAGTAATCAGCTATAGGAGCAACCCAATGCACAAGAAGCTGGCATAAAGCAAGTCAGTGTAAATTAGGTTGACATAAAATTATACCAGACTTGCTCAGTAGAGCATGAGACTCTTAGGGTCATGGGTTCGAGCCCCACATTGGACAAAAACATTCCTCCGTTGCAGGGGGTTGGTTTAGATGACCCTTGTCCCTTCCAACTGTACAATTTTATGATTCTGTGAAACCTCGTTCAGCAGCAGGGCTGCTGCTGTTGCTGCTCTTCCTAAGAGCCTTTGTGGTGTAGTTAAGAGCAGTAGTCTTGTTATCTGGGGAACCGGGTTCGCGTCTCCGCTCCTCCACATGCAGCTGCTGGGTGACCTTGGGCCAGTCACACTTCTTTGAAGTCTCAGCCCCATTCACCTCACAGAGTGTTTGTTGTGGGGGAGGAAGGGAAAGGAGAATGTTAGTCGCTTTGAGACTCCTTCGGGTAGTGATAAAGCGGGATATCAAATCCAAACTTTTCTTCTTCTTCTTCCTAAGCCTTGCAAAGGGAAAACAATAGGTTAAAACAGTACCCTATGCAGGTCATAGGATTTGACCTAGCTGAGCTGGCTAAGGATGCAGCCTAAGTACCCCCCCCCATTCAAATCCTTGCAGCGGGGTGAGCTCCCATTGCTTAGTCCCTGCTCCTACCAACCTAGCAGTTCGAAAGCACGTCAAAGTGCAAGTAGATAAATAGGTACCGCTCTGGCGGGAAGGTAAACGGCATTTCTGTGCGCTGCTCTGGTTCACCAGAAGCAGCTTAGTCATGCTGGCCACATGACCTGGAAGCTGTACGCCGGCTCCCTCGGCCAGTAAAGCGAGATGAGCACCACAACCCCAGAGTCATCCACGACTGGACCTAATGGTCAGGGGTCCCTTTACCTTTTACACCAGTGTTTGCTCCGCCAACTTTGGCTGAGCTGGAGTTGGGGTTTTAATGCTGACTGAGCCTAACTGACCTGGGAATCCGCTGGCTGATTGTGAGATCCACTGCATCCTAAGCTGCTCATCCTAATGGAACTTGCCATAAGATTGTCCTCAAAGCATTCTTTTCAACACACAAGTCCTAAAGTGCACTATTGATCTGACTCTTATCTCAGAAAGTATGGAAGGAAAAAATGAGAATCATTAGTTGGAAATTATTTCATAAGGCCATGGAGTATTCGGAACACTCTGTTTTCAGAGATTCCAGATAGAAAACAGCATGATCAATGTCTCCTGAATGAACAAAGTGGATGAGTGTTGTATCTAACATGATTGATCTGTCAAAGAATAATATCACTGAAATGCCACTATCTGGTGCAAAACAATTGCATGAGTTAGTTAATGATCTCGAGATGGGAAGAAATATATTTGTTTACAAAAACAAGCACAAATAAATACACCATGATGTTAAGGAAATGAAACAATCTGTTGTGACAGGCAGCTTGACAAGTAAGTCTTGCGTTCTGCATGGAATTATTCCCCATCCTCAGTTTTTGAAGTATAATTCAATAGTTTGCCTTGTTGCTGTGCTTACTGTACAGAGATTAAAACAATCCATTGTAAAATAAGAATACATTTCTACTAAATCATCCCCCGAAGGAAAAGGGCCAGCTCAACTGCATACAATTTTATGTATTGTATTTATATTGCACCCTTCCTCTGATCCTAAATGAATCCCAGGAATACACTTACTTGGAAGTAAGCTCCATTGAACATTGTAGGACCTACTTTCAAGTAAACATGCATAGAATTGCACTGTTAATTAGGTGAGTCCATTCAGCTTTCTTAAGCATCCTTTTCAATGCTTTCTGTCTTGAGCACTACAAGTTACTGTCAGCTGTTTTCCTAGTAAGGTAGTAATATTTCTGTGACACGACTAACACCTAAGGTAGATCGGCTGCATGCTTGTTTTCTCACTGTAGAGGTCTTGGGCTCTTTCGCATGCTTACCGATTCAGAAATCCAATGTGTATGGTGGAACAGTGCCTAGGAATCTGCCACTAGACCTACAATGTAATGAAGAGTTGCACAACTTGTTTACCAGCCGGATGAATTCAACTTGCTGGTCATGCATGAAAAAGCAGAATCAACCCTGCCTATATTTACTTTATCTGCTTGCCTAGGAGTCCAGGTGGGTGGCCGTTGCTGCATGGTGCTGCCATGGTAGGTTCAGGGAGGTTGCCACCTTCCATTCGCGGCCTGGGGAGGGGATGGCTGGCACTGCCCACCTCCAGCCACGTCGGACATTCAGGTCAGGATGGGCAGTGCCCGTTCACTCAATCAGAGGCTGGGGCTTGGGGCTGCAGCCCAGCCCCAGCCTATTTAAGGGGGTGGCCAGGTGTAGGCCACCACCTTGGCTGATTGTTGTGGTATTTTTCCACCCTGTCTTTAGGGACCCACTGAGGGGGAGGAGAGGAGTGGGCACGTTGCCTATGGACCTTGCTATAGTCAATTTGGTTGCCGTATTAGGAGCAAGGGAGGAATTTTCTCCTAGCAAATTTGCTGGCTTATAGGTTTTCACCTACCTCGTAGCAGCCATCACTGTAGCAGCGGATGAGCTATTCGGCTGGATCCTTAGTCACAGGGGTACCCCGTTAGAGGGGTTCAGGAGGTTGACGCTGTTCAGGAGTCCCCTAGGGGACCAGTGGGCCAAAACACCTCTCCCAATGGTGGTCTGTGGAGGGTCATGGCATCCAGTCCATGTTGGGGGTAACTCCCCAGTACAGGTTTGACCCTACCAGGTTCCTATCAGGTAGCAGGCAGGCTGTCTGATGCAGGATACATGTCCAATGCCTTAGCCAAATCTACTCTTTCCTGTAATCAATAAGGTTGTGGCCTAATCCAACCCAATACCAATTGTTCTTGTGGCCCTCCCTTCACCTGCCACGGTCATTATGCACCTGTGCCTGCAAGGGAATAGGTTCCATGCAACTCAGCGAGATTTACTACTGAATACGTATGCAGAGTGTTGCACTGTGAAGCATGCTACTTAATTCGAAGGCATAAACATTTTGATGTGGCTGTTCTTTCTACTTGCATTCAGTCTTAAATATGCTTGTGGGTTTACAGTAACGTATACTAAGCTGCATTGGTTATGCCAACCACTACAATAATGATTTGATTCTTATAAATTGCAGATTAATTTATAGAACAATAAATCAAAATCAGCCCAGTCGCTTGACATCATTTCCCTTGGAATCAAAATGTGAACATAGGTAAACTATTCTGAGAGAGCATTCCTATTGTGAGACACACACCATACAAGAATTTCCAGATTCCCTAGGTATTTATGGTCTGAAGCTGATGAGAGGACCTCAAAATGCCATGCATTCATAAGATACAGTAGGAGAAGGAGAATACAGCTTCATTAAGAATGAAACTTTAAATATACATTTAACTAGCTGAGAATTTATGAAGTACTTAGGACTATAAAAGCTTCCAAGTAAATAATTCTTTCACTGATCGGAGGTTTTGCATCCCAAATTGCTCAGTGCTTGGACTTTAAAATGCTCCACATTTCTATAAATTTTATTATTCTCTAGGCAGTGTACAACAGGCAACAAACTGTGAAAGAATTCTTATAAGAAATGCATTCAGTGTGTCAACATTGTTAGACTGCAATCAGAATAATTTTCTCATGTGCACTTATATGGGGTGGAACCAATTATGTTTTATTTGCCCTGGAGCAAGCTTCCAAATGGATTTGGAATTTTAGTTACTGAACACTTTACCATCGCAATACTAAGTAGTCTTAAAGAATTCCCACCCCGATTTCTATGTATAAACCAATCCTAAATGGCAGTCTGTAAGAAATTATGTCTCACAGTTGACATAAAAGAGTATTAATGCTCGGCGACAAACAACTTAAATTCAGAGTTGGTGTAGTGTGTGTCTACACCACAAGTAAGCACCATTAGTACATGCCTACTCATAAGTAAGCCCCATTAATTTCAATAATATGCTGGTGTTATCTTTGGCTGAGCTGGGCTTGGGGACTTAATGCCAGTTGAGCTTACCATAGGATTGCCCTCTCCCCCAGTGATGAATCAGGAAATTCCTGGTTTGTATCACCTCCAGGGCTATAGCTAGGGGGTGGTGAAGTGGGCCCCCACCAGGCACACAGGCGATGAGGGGGGGCAAAACCAGCTAAAAAATATGTCCATAAATATTGATTATTGCTTCATAAGAAATGGCTTTAAACAGAGCGTGAATTGAATGGATGGGGGGTTGGGGTTGGAGGAGAGGTGGAAAGAGCTAATTTGTCCGTGGGTAGGGGGCGCAATCTGGATGGTTCTGCCAGGGGCGCAAGATCACCTAGCTACGGCTAGCTCTAAGGGCCAGAAATGAGAAATGGGTGAATTTTGTATGCAGAAATGTAAGGGTTTGTTTGTTTGTTTTTAAAATCTCTTTTCATAGCTATTCAGCATATGGTTTCGACACATTTTTACCGTATGAACTGTATGAGTGCAGTGGCTGAGCTCCATTTTGGACCTCCCAAAGCTTGCACTGCCATGGGGCCCACTTCTCAACCAGCAATGAGGCTTTCAAGCTTCAGAACTGTGGAAATATATACAAGGAAAAAAATGAATCAATATGAGTCGTGCAACTCAGTTTGGGTCTAGTAGCCCCAAAACCTTTCAGCAATGTTTTATGTCGCTTCTGGGGCCCCTCTGGGATTAGGGGCCCTGAAGCTTAAGCTCCATTAGTTTCACAGTAGATCCACCCCTGTATGTACGGTAGATTGTAGATGTGGGGGGAAAGGAACATGTTTCCCAGTTTTGTTTCTATTACTGTTGTAGCCTTTCAGACCTTTCCCATTGGTTGGGTCTACGTTGCTCCCGAGAGGGAGGAAGGAGCCAAACCAGACACCAAGGTTGGTTCAGAGAAATAGTTTTTTTATTTCTGCTTTCCGGAGCAGCAGAAAGGCACTGCGTGATTGATCACAGCAAGCACACTAAAGAGCAGAAACATACAACCTATATTCCCTTCAAATCCCCCCGTCCCCCTCCCCAGGAATCCAGCCTCATGAGTTTGTGCACGTAAGTTTGCATCCTTGAGCATGCATGAGTAGAAACTGTTTCTGTACTCTTACCTGGCAATCCTAGCGTCATTCCCGGGGTCTGTGCGTCAGCTCGGTCAGGATAGTTACAACTGGTAAGATAAGTTGGATGCACCATCCCATCTCTACTCGGGACTGACAAGGCCATCTATTACGCCTTCATGGACTGATAAAGGAGAAGGCTTTGTTTATTCAGCTGGTTTGTGTTATACAACTCAAGCTAATGCATTTTAGCTAATGAATCCTCAAAGAAATAATTTGGAAAGTTTGGGGCCTAATAGTTGGGGTGACTACACAGTCAGGTTTGGGTAACCTGTCCCTTCACTGTACATTATGCTTAGTAATTTCTATGTGGTTTATTTTAGGTTATATTCAGTTGGCGGTCGAGATGGAAGTTCTTGTTTGAGTTCTATGGAGTATTATGACCCCCACACAAACAAATGGAACATGTGTGCTCCAATGTGTAAAAGGAGAGGAGGCGTTGGGGTGGCTACTTGTGACGGTTTCCTCTATGCAGTCGGAGGCCATGATGCTCCTGCCTCTAACCACTGCTCCAGACTGCTGGACTATGTTGAAAGGTACCCATTCTGTATGTGTTTTTAAGTAGTGATTCTGAATGCAAACTTGACTGTTCCCCTCCTCCCTTAAACATCCTTAGATCTATAAATATGTATTCCGTTGTCTTATTGCTTGAATTTATTAAAATAAACTCTTAAAAGAACAGCTACAGGTTAACTGCAATAAGAAAAACAATATATAAAGCTGAACATTGTTCTGAAATTAGTTATTCCCAAGTACAATAAAAACAACCCATTTTTAAGCAAAGCTATCAATATTCTTTCCTCCTTAGCTCTCCCCTGTTAATTTCATCATTGGAAATATTTCTAAAATGTGTTTATGCCGATCAATAAATGACAGAGATGTAACACTTTCGCAGAATAATTTGTGCTATATACTTCCAGTTAAAAATGGCTTGTCAGCTCTTTGTTCTTCTCTTTCAGAATTGATTTGAAACTTCCTTGTAATTAGACCATTGCTCTACCTGTTACGCTAACCCCATTCTCTGACATCTGGGGCATAATAATAATAATATTAGTAAACATAAACTTTTATTTGTATCCCGCCCTCCCAGGCCAAGACTGGGCTCAGGGCGGCTGACATCAAATATATAACGTTGGTATAAAATCAAACAATAATTAAATTACCTCCTAAAAACAAGTCAGGATCAAATTAAAATCTAATTAGATGGCTTTCCGCAGGATTAGGGTTGGGAACTGTAAATGTTCATCAGGCCCAACTGTTTACGCTGTCCTTATATGGGTCTGTGAGAATGCTGGGAGGCCTCTTTCATACTAGTTCTTATACAAAAATATAAGGGGAGTCAGGCTGACCAAAGGTGTGGCGGAACATCTCCGTCTTGCAGGCCCTGCGGAAAGATGTCAAATCCCGCAGGGCCCTGATCTCTTGTGGCAGAGCGTTCCACCAGGCCAGTCAAGGCCAGCCTAATCTCCCTGGGGCCTGGGATCTCCAAGCTGTTATTATTTGCAGACCGTAAGGTCCTCCGTGGGGCATACCAGGAGAGGTGGTCCCGTAGGTACAAGGGTCCTAAGCCGTATAGGGCTTTAAAGGTTAAAACCAGCACCTTAAACCTGATCCTGTACTCCACCGGGAGCCAGTGCAGCTGGTATAGCACTGGATGTGATCCCGCGGCAAAGACCCCGTAAGGAGTCTCACCGCGGCATTCTGCACCCGCTGGAGGGTCTGGGTCAGCTTCAAGGGCAGCCCCACGTGGAGTGAGTTACAATAATCAAGCCTGGAGGTGACTGTCACATGGATCGCAGTGGCGAGATCAGGACCAGAGAGGCATAGCTGTGGTCTGCAGAGTGGAGGAGCACTTTTAGCTCTGCCCCAATACTTGAGTCCTTCCAGCAATAAATTGTGTGTTGCGGAATAATTCCAATATGCAAGAACCTGATTTACCTTATGTTAAAGGAAAGACTGTTTCGGCAAGGTGATCCAGACATGTAGAGGTTACATGTATTTAAGGCAGCAGAAAGGATGCCGTAATTCAAACACTATTATAAAGGCTTGTTTCCCCTCTGCTAGGCTTAGGCCAACTCAGTGAGAGTGAGGTTTGTTCTGGCATAGCTTTACACCAGCTTAAATTACATTTGTTTTCCTTTATTCCAGCTTCTTTCGTATAAATTGTTCCCCAGACTTGTTATCAGATGACTTGTTTATTTATCTTATCTTACCTTACCCCTTCAAAAAGCAAGCACAGTTTTTGTTTTAAAAAGCAGTGTGTTACAAATAGTTAAATATTCCATTAAATTAAGACTAAAGGGGGCATCGACCTCAAGACCATTGCAGTGCTGCGGCTGATGGACATATTACAATCAGTATCAGCAAGTGTGTGTTTTTATTTTCACACGCCTGAGGGAAATAAACCTTAATAGGGTGCTTTTTGCAGGGCTGTCATTTTCAACCACAAAGAAATCAAGGTGAAAACCTACAAAAAGAAAATACAGTCCAAACAAGAATGCCACCTCCTTTTTTTACCATCCTTTTGTTTTTTCTAATATGCAAGTAGCAAGGGACTAATAAAATACTTGGAATTCCCCAAAACAGAACGTGAAAGATACTAGGGTAGTAGTTCAAATGTTGCCTTCTTTTTTGCAATGCTGTTTCTTCTGCTAAAGAAATGGCTGCATGCTTCATCTCTGTAATAACTTGATGTGCCCCAGGGTGAAGCAGGAGATATCATAAAGTTCCTGAATACAAAAAGAAATCAATTTGAACGACCAAGCTGAAGGCAAGGAGAAAGGTTTTTGAGCTTTCCACTTGTTAAAAGCCCTTACAATCCCCAGCATCATCTATAGTGAAATAATTGTTATGAAAGTCTAATAAAGTAACTTCTCATTAATATTAATTGGAAATTGGAAAATATTGAGAGCTTTTATTACAGTGCTAATCGTAAAAATGCCTAACGTTCCACATACAGAATGTTTTAACAAATGAAGTAACAAAAGAAATGCTTTTAAGTGCTTTCACAGGAAACAATGGCACCCAATTAAATCCTAATGGAGAATTAAAAGTAGAAGCTATTTTTACAATCAGTATTTAATATAAGCTGACAATAGTTGAATATCTTTTAGGAGATAAATCTTACTAAATAATTATTTAACCCACTGGAGATGCTCACATTCTGTGCTACTTGATGTTTGCATACTTCATACATTTTTTTAATGTCCTAAAATGTATCTATGAACCAGTTCATATTGATGGGAAGCATACAGCAAATTCAATATGATTGATAGCCAATTGTGAAGTGAAGTGGGCATTTAATCACTCTATTCCTTACCCAAAATGGTTTGGAACTCAAGATTCAGTGATTGTAAATGTTACCTCACCAGCAGAATCAACTTGCAGAATTCAGCCATACAAGATGTGCACAAGCTTAGATGGCTTATTAAAAGAATTAGATAAATTCATAATGGATATTCTCATAAATGGTAAGCCACAATAGTGAAATGGAACTCTGCACAGACCCATATACCTCTGAATGCCATATTTTAGGGACAACAACAGAGGATTGTTTTTGCATGCCATGCTTGCAAGAATTTAGAAGTTTCTGATTTTCTTCAATTGAAAGCAGAACCATGGGCTATCAGACCCAAATTGTCTGATCCAACAAGGAAATTGCTATATTCATAGCTAAAATCTCAGAGATGCATGATGCAATTCGGTTTCTTAACATAACTGTAACCAGATTGGGCCAATACCTGATTATCTAGGCTGAACTGAGCTTCCCTGGGGAAATGTGGAATGCATTTACAAATTTGTATATATCAGCCATCCTGATATTTATAACCTACAATACTTTGAACCCATTGCTTGAAACCAATTTCTGATTACATTAAGATTCTAATTATGCATGGCATTTGAATATGCGATAGGATTAGGTCCAATTGTTACCAGTCAGGCACAGATAGACACTGTCTACTGAAACTCCTGTAGACCTTTCACCATATGAGTTGCAAGAGTAAACTGAAGTGGGGATTCTGAGTTCTAAAAGCCTTTACCTAGAATTTGGAGCTACGTACTAAGCTCTCACACCTCGCTGAGATATCCCTGCTTGGTGAGCCAGCATTGCATGTTGGATAATCTGGTTCTGATGGAGCCTTTCTGTAATGGATAGTAGGGGAGGAGGGACTTGATTAAACAGCGAACTAATAGGGCTGGTTGGGACTTAAGGTGTAGTACATAATAACCAGTCTTAAAAGCACTTGAATGGCCGAAAGGAACCTAGTGAAGATACCTTTGTGAATTCAGTATTTCTGGCATGACAGTGTTAGGATTGTCCTACTCTCCTGTAGGACTGCAAACACGGAGCAGGAATCTCAACAGACAGACCCCTCCCCCCCCTTGCTAAAGAGGTTATTTTGGGAAGTTCATGACATATGAATGAATGAATAATTCTGCTGATGTTGAATATGGGCTGGATTGCTATACATGTTCTTTCATGAGATATACCTTCCCTTTTGTTGTGCAGGTATGACCCCAAAACTGATACTTGGACAATGGTAGCTCCACTGAGCATGCCCCGTGATGCTGTTGGAGTGTGTATCCTCGGTGATAAATTGTATGCAGTAGGTGGATATGACGGGCAGACATACCTGAACACCATGGAGTCATACGACCCCCAAACTAATGAATGGACACAGGTAGTTGTGTGGTTTTATGTTTTGCACAGTTTTCACAGAAGGCTTGTTGGAACTAGTGGGCAGCGAGGATCCCCGCAGCTATGCAATTATAACTGCTGTTTAGCTTTCTCTGCTGTAAGAGTTCTCCGAAGAGAGAGAAACCAATAAAAAGTTATATAAAATGGCAGTATCTTGTTATCCATATAACCTTATTTGTCAGATCTCTCATTGGAATCCTTATTGCCTTTTTTGGCTTTTGTATTTTACAATACTTCAGCTTGAAAATACATCAGGGTTTGTTACAAGTCTCTGGTGTTGGTATTTGTGACAAGGGTGTTCCCCCCTCCCCCAGTTTTATGTTTTGTGTACATAAGATAACGTTTGTTTAAAAAGTGCTTTCTATTAACTACAATTTATAGTTTGTGGTTACTATTTTCCAAAGTTGTTGTTGCACTGAACCGGTATTTCAGTTTTATACCATGAACCAATCCATGTTTACTTTGAAGGAAGCCCCGTTGATTAGAGTGGGACACCTTCCAAGTAAGTATGTTTGGCAGTTCTTGCCCTCCAAACATCCCAGCGAGGGAGGGCATAATTTCTTCCAGGAAATTCAGTCTCGCAGACAGCAGACTGTCTGAAGCACCCCACTGAGCTTATGCTTGGCTTAATTGGCATTTGAAGCTCTCCCAAGGTAGTTGTGGCATACATTTTGAAGCCAAGAGCCAGTGGCCTCCAAGCAAAGTACAATAGGAATTGGAAACAAGGGGGTGCCCTTGTTGTTGTTTCTGTTGTGTGCATTGCTGCATCAGGCAACAAAGCCCATGAGTAAGGATGCAGACTTTCAACAAAAAGTCAGAATAATATCCATCAAGTCTGTATCATCCTTAGAGACTTACTATTTGGCTTGAATTCACAGGAAGAGAAATATGTTCCTATGGGAAGTGTTAGGACATTTTTCTATATGGCAACTATGAATTCTAACAGATTAAAAATTGCTAGACATTTGTGGCAAATTCAAAAGTGCAAGCTTTTCTCTTCCTACATGTCCCAAACCTTTATTAGAAACTTTATGAGTGTAGGATTATTTGGTAATTACTATTTTCATTTCAATACTATTTTATGTATGCTTGCAGGATGGTATTTAATGCCAGTTCTGCTCTGAGTAGACCCATTGAATTTAATAGACATGATTAAGGGAGCAATCCCATACACAAGAAACTGGCATAAATTAAACCAGCATAAAATTGCACTAGATCCAAACCATGTTCAGCAGCATGGCTGCTGCTCTCTGCCTAGGCCTGGCAGATGGAACACAAGACTTTAAAATAGTGTTTTGTGCTGGGTCACCAAGTCATGTGACTAAGCTGAATGGCCTTTGGATCCAGGCCGTTGGATCCAGGAAAATCTGCCCCTCTCTAGTCCCACTCCCACCATGCCTCTTTTCCAGGGATTATGCCAGTTTAAGATCCACTGGGCTTGGCTCAGCTGGCTGGATCCTGGCTGAGCCAGGATGGAGGAGACGCCTCTGTCTGTGCTGTGGGTAAGGGAGTTAAAGGTAGCTCACTTAAAAGGCTTGAATTAGAAGACTGGAGTTTATTAATTATATTTCTAACTCACGATCTGTCCCATCAACTTGGCTGTCCGTTTGTCCATGCCACAAGCTTTTAATGTGAGAAGGGGAATCTGCTAAAACAGGGGTTGGGAACCCTGGGCCCTCCAGATATTGCTGAACTGAAACTCGCATCATCCTTTGCCATTGACCATATTTGCTGGGGCTGATGGCAGCTGTAGTTCAGCAGCATCTGGAAGGGCAAAGTCTCCCCACCACTGTGCTAAAAAGTCTGTCTCTCTTCCATATGTAAATGCTACAAATCTGGAGCTTACATATTGTGATTTAGGATCTTAACATGTGGATGACAGTTTTTACTGAATATAAGAAGGGTGTGCCTCCGAGCTATTCTGCCTTAGAAGAAAGGCAAGAGCACGTGGCCCATTTGTAAAAGTGCTCTTTTGCATTTCTTGAAATCAAACCTCTTGCAGATAAATTATACAGCAGGAAGGAAAGTAATTCTGACCTGGAAAGTCAATGATTTAGCTTTTGGCTTTATATTTCATCATTCACTCTATTCCCAAAATCATAGGAACAATTTCAGTAAGTATAAATGTCACAAGAATAGAAATGTGATACATGATATGCAATGAATGTAAACCAATATCTTTCACTATGCTCTAGAGAAAAAAGTGGCAGTTCCAGAGTTCCACATACAGTGGTACCTCTGGTTACAGACGCTTCAGGTTACAGACTCCACTAACCCAGAAATAGTACCTCAGGTTAAGAACTTTGCTTCAGGATGAGAACAGAAATTGCGTGGCGGCAGCAGGAGGCCCCATTAGCTAAAGTGGTACCTCAGGTTAAGATCAGTTTCAGGTTAAGAATGGACCTCCAGAATGAATTAAGTTCTTAACCCGAGGTACCACTGTAGTTGAAATTACTACTGCTTGCTGTAGTTTTTAGACACCACATTGCAAAGTACATTTTTTACTTGTGTCTTCATTTTATTTGTCAATTTGTTTTTAACGTGCCTAACTGTAGAGAACATTAAAACATTGCTTATAAATTTAATGAAAACACATACAAATAAAACTTATTTCTTTTTATATATTTTTCAAGAAGCCAGCAAAAGAATTCTCTTGATCTGAATTGAAGTCAATTCCCCCCCTCTTGCAATTCTCTTAGTAAGAGCCATCCCTTAAGCAAAACAGTTCCAAATTTTCAGGAGATCTTCCCAGAAGACTTTTCAATAGAGGGAGAATCAACCTTTTCCTATACCCTTACAATACAGAGAAACATGATCAGCAGAGTCTATATTGCTTGAGCTACTCACAAACACATGTTCATTAACCAGGATCTTTTTAAATCATCTACTTACCAGTGCAGAAGGCAGCACATTAAAACAAGCAAGCATGAATGCTGTGGAATACTTGGAGACAGTTAATGTATACATGTATGAAGCTGTAACAGTTCCATAATTTAAAAGGTTATTAATGAGTAACGGAGAACAGGATTTGTTAGCTGCAGTTTGCAGATACTGTAGATCTTTATGTCCCTCATAGCAGTTGTGGAGGCGAGGCACTAGGCCAGGGTCTTCAACTCCAGCTCATAACTCCACCACTAATGCAATCCTTCCATGCATAACAAGCAGGATGCAGCAATATTAGGTTTCCTGTATAATGTGTTGCTGAATTACCAGTTGCTTCTTTCGACACCTCAGAAGTACATGCCATAAAACTGCAGCCTTTCACTCCCAAATGTAAACTCTGAAGCTGATATTTGTTTCTCCTCTGCAGATGGCATCTCTGAACATCGGAAGAGCTGGGGCCTGCGTTGTAGTCATAAAGCAGCCATGATTTTTATCAGCGGTGGAGTTTATTGACTTCTAGGTGGATTTTTCTGTCAGAGGAACAAGAAACAAAACTTTGTTGAGCATAAGGATCAATAGATACACTCGGCAGTCTGTTGACCACAACTTGAAGAAGTTTAAAATGGGGAGGAAAAATAATGAGGATTTGATGCCTTTTCCAGTCATTGCACACTGCTCAGTGGCTGAACAAGGAAAAACCGACCAGCTGTTGTAGGAGCCCCTCTATGAACACAAAAGGGGCAAATTCAGATACTCCTCTACAGGCTGTGTAATGCAGACGTGGCAAACTAGCCATGCCCAAGACCAACTCTTCAAAAGGACTGGAGCAGCTTAATGAATGGTTTTCATAGCACTAGACATTTTAACTCTGAAACCGTCATAGCACACTGTCACTTTTTAAACCATAGTTTTATTAAAAGAAAATGTAGGTAACTGATTTATTTTTCTGTCTCTCGTTCTCTCTCAAGGCCTTATCTTGAAATGGTTTACGCTCTCTGCCATGTACTCAGACAATAGACAGGAGAGAATAATGTTTCCTCCTAAAGTAATGAATGAAGGTTGGAAAGGCTTAGCTTCTTTCTTCATCAGAAATGATTCAACACTAACAACACATTGATTGTTTCTCTGTTAACGGACTGTCCCTCGCTAGAATTATGCATCATCTCTGAGATTGCACTGATGCTATGTTCTGTGTTTGGGAAACATCTCGACACTGAGGGAAGACTGAACCTTTTGACCCAATGGGACTTTGCTACAAAAAAAAAGGAGATCCAAAGGAACACTTTCACAAATCTACCTTAACTTCTTATGAAAGCATGTGAATTCTTGTCTCTTTCAATGCTTTTACACATTTCCTGCATGTGAGAAGCTTGTGGAAGACAGGCAAACGGCAGCTCATCACATCATGTAAAGATAACATGCAGCAATTCTAAGGCAATTCCATTGGGGCCTAGAAGTGCAGTAAGAGAGACAAAAACGTTATAATGCTTATATGTGTTTCTTGATCCCATCATTGTTCTACTCAAACTCGGCTTAATTTTAATTACCATAAGGATCATCCATTTATTGTTGTAAGTTACTGAAACTAAGGGATGAACTGGTCATTACGTGGCAGAAGACTAACAATCTTTTGACATGTTTTAAAAAATTGAAATCGTCCAAAGGAAGCTGCCAGTTTGAGTGGAAATATAGCAGGGAAGGAACTGCTTAACCTTTTTCAGCTAGACATTTTTCCTGTTAAAATTCCTACTGCCAGGTTGCCTTTCCAACCAGAGTAAATATATATATTTTATTCCATAAGCAAAAGAGCAGCAGGGAGGAGATTTTGAGTAGCAAAATAGCCAGGAGAGAAAGGTTTATGTAGCCCATTCCTCACTTCAAACTGGGAGAGATTTCCTCAATTCTTTTCCTTTTCTTAAAAAGAACAAAAACCCACAGACACAACCACATTGGAAGACTGCTACATAAGTCTGCTATGTAATACCTAGTTTGTCCCTAAGGGATAATGCATCAGTGTGTACAAAGACAAAAACATTGCAGATCAGGTTGTTTTGGCATAATGTGTCTCAATAGCAGAGCACCTGCTTTGCATGTATGAAACCCCCGCAAAAGATGTCCAAACTACATGGATCACCTTGCCTTTGCAAAGTTCTGCCTTGTCTACGAATGAGCTGCATAAGTCATATTGTTGTGGTTACTAAATGCCCTCAGACTTTACATGAACGTCACTGTTGGCTGTATTATGTCATAAGCATGATTGAACTCGTATCAAGGCACCAAAATGAGTCTGGTTTCAATAGTAGGTGTAGGAGAGTCTAATTACATGAATGACCTCAACTGTAGCAGGGATAAAGCTTTGTGTGGAGCTCTGATGGGTGCTGCTCCTTGAGCACGTTTGGGAATGGGGGTGGGGGAAATGTGAGGTTTTCCCATTCAGACCCATTTGCTAGCTAAATAAAATATCTGTGTCCCAATGACTGGCTGTTCAAGCTTTTTCATTTTCCAAACATCTGCCAGTAGTAGACTGAATGTGGGATAGCATGGTGTGTAATTCTGTAGTTTTTTTCATAATCTGAATTCTATATAATAAGAGGAAATAAGTGTGTAGGGATCCCTTGAAAATAGAAGGCTAGAGGGTGAGATGTGCATTAGCCCTACTTGTGTGAAAAAGAGGTGACTCCCTCCCAGCAGAAAATGTCACATAACCACATCTGTTAACTATATTTTCCAATCAGAGTTGGATTCCGTGCACGTAAATCAATGAATGTGTTACCATGTCTACTTAGCCCATGTTTGAAAGATGAAAATTCCAGATAGATAACTAAGAGACGGGATCAGGAAACTATTTTCCCCAGGGCTTACCCATAGTGTATATGATACTTTCCATGCTACTTTGCTCATAAACATCAGAACTCGGTGAGACTTTTTCTGCCCCCCCCCAAAAAAAAGTACTTTTGCTTGAGCAAAGCAACATGGAGCTTGGGGAAATAAAACCTCCTGTAATTGTGAAGTTTGCAGAATCTCTGCCTCCATCACTTGAGAAATCTCCTTCAGTTATAAGCTGGATTCTAATCACCACCCTTTGCGATAGCCCTCTATGTTTGTGTTGCCATGGTTACCAATACACTTGCTTCTGATTCCAGAACTTTGTATATACTCACATTCTCATCTGACTTCATTCTTGCAACCGTCTTTTCTGGGCTTGGAAGCAATTATTGACGCTGACAACATGTAGCGAGGAAGTACTGGGACCCTCCCTCCTGGTTGTTGTAGGTGTTCCTAACCCACACCCCTCAAAAGATAGCAGTGTATCCCAAAAACTCTGAGCTTCTATTAGATTATCAGTGGTAGAAAACACAATAAACAGCAAAATCAATCAATCTGTGAATTGCTGAACATTTCCTGTGAAAAGAAGGAACAGAATATTGAGTCCCAACATCACAATAATACCTTTATTATTCTAACAGAATCTCTCAGATAAAACACAAAGCCTAACTCGTAGACAAAAGCTAAAAGAATGTGATACAACAGAGAATCATGGCCAGCACCTACGGTGGATTTAATCAGAGCTACAGAAGAAAAAAGACAGAGGAAAAAATCCTGAGGTTTTGAATAATCTATCTGATCTCTCTGTGTAATGCAGTGATAGAAACGGGTCAGAAGCATGAAGCAAGTTGCTAGAGACCTACAATCTGAACTTTCAAATCTGAACCTGGTGTTTTATGGGATTCTTCTGTCAGTGGAAGAAGATCCTATGCTGCGTTTCTTAATACCATGGCTCTTAGTTGTATTTCCGCCTTATTTCTGAAGTCAACTTCGCATGGACGCAGAGAGCATTTGCACCAAAAGTTTTCAGCAAGAGCCAAATCAAAACACATGATAGACCATTACTTTCTTGGCACAAAAGGAAGCAAATTATGCATGATTACATAGGATGAAACAAATTACCTTCAAAAACCAGTCCAGTCAGTATTTTTCAAGACTTGTCTGCAGAAACTTTAAGATGCTATGAAAATCTAAACACAAATACAGAAATCCTTTGTAAAATTAATATTGCCTGTAGAGGTGGGCTCCCATTTAGTCTGATGGTAACTTATAAAGGTCAACAGTGGATTGCCGCATAGTTTAGCTGCTGTCATGCATCCATGCCAACTGTCCACGTCTGCACTTTGCATTAGCGTTACTGTAGTGAAACGTAAGCAATTTCAGTTGGTTATTGAAGAAGAGATTAGAAAATTATCTCAAATCACAGCTGTGCTAGCTCATTAAATAACAACCACATCTGCATGCCCAGCACATTAAAACATGGGACTCACAGGGGTGGTCAAGAGAGCGCATTAAATGAACTAGAGATGATAGTGAAATAATGGTACAGAGCACATTAACTTACAGAACAATCCTAACTATGGGAAGCTGGTGTAACTTACACAAGCATAAGTTACCTCTAGTCCAAATTCTGTTCAGGACCCTCTGGGAGAGGGCTTCTGATGGCTGACAAGTGAATACAGGCCTGCGTTTTGAGGTTTTTGTTCTCTGCCACATGACTGGAAAGTATTCAGAATAGGTGTAAGTCTTGCCTTGGTCCAACGTCCCTAAGAGTACTTCTTTTTGGCGATTTATGCCAGGTGGCCAGAAAAATCCAAGATCATGTTAAATCTAAACTCTCTCGTTGCAACTGATTTTGAGTTTGGACTGTGGTGTTAAGGAACATGGCCACTGAAGCTATGGCTGGTATCTCTTTCATAGTAATATTTCTAAAAGTAGCTTAGCAGCCACCTGCGGCAGAATACAGACTCCCTCCAAACACACACCTCTATTTGGCTTAGCTTTTGGAAAGCCGCTCTGTTTGAAAACTTTTGGAACACAAAATACCAATGAAGTACAAACTAATAACACCCCCTCCCACAACCACATTTAAAAGGCCATAGAATGTCACTCAGCCCAAGGCCGGGTTATAAAGAGATGTTTCCTCCTGGCGTCTCAAGAGATGTAATGAAGGTGCCTGGCAAGCTTCCCTGGGGACAGAATTCCACAAACGGGGAGTCACTTTACGGATGTTGCAAATGTGAGTGGCCGTATTGTGTTCTTCAAGAGTAGGATTGGGGCAAGCAACATCCTGCCCCAACACTCAAAGCACCCCTTGACACCTCTGTTGGTGGAAATTGACACAAAATTGATTTTTTCCCCCGTCAGAGATGCTGAGACATGGAGTGCCAATCCCCTTTCCTGCCTGTGAAAAGGATGGTTCAAGATTCTACTGCTGCTTCCTCTTTCTGTCCTGCAAAAGGTTTGTGAGGTTTGGGTGGGAAATAGAAGGGGGGGGGCAGAGGAGGAAGTGGAAACTTATGGATAGAACATCTTTGAACACCTGAACCAGGTACTGGACGTTGACTCTTTTGAGGCGAGCACCACTGCAGGAGGGTGAAAAACCTATTTAGTTGTTATGGTAAAAGGTAAAGGTAAAGGGACCCCTGACCATTAGGTCCAGTCGTGGACGACTCTGGGGTTGCGGCGCTCATCTCGCTTTATTGGCCGAGGGAGCCGGCGTACAGCTTCCGGGTCATGTGGCCAGCATGACTAAGCCGCTTCTGGCGAACCAGAGCAGCGCACGGAAACGCCGTTTACCTTCCTGCTGGAGTGGTACCTATTTATCTACTTGCACTTTGACGTGCTTTCGAACTGCTAGGTTGGCAAGAGCAGGGACCGAGCAACTGGAGCTCACCCTGCCGCGGGGATTCGAACCGCCAACCTTCTGATCGGCAAGTCCTAGGCTCTTTTGTTTAACCCACAGCGCCACCCGCGTCCCCATTTTATGGAGTAGCCTCCAAATCTGGACCTGGAGGATGCACATATGGACCCCCCCCCCCAGCTTCAGCACTTAAGACGGATGGGACTGTGACTGATTTGGCAATAAAAGTACATTGAAGGCAGAGTGGAACGAGTATTGGGGTCAACAAAGTAACTTTGCTAAGCCTAGCACTTTCTTCTCGTGACGCTAGGAATCATTTGTTAAAATTGGGTTTCTCTAAAGTTGCATCTGAAATCAATGTTGTGATGTACATTAGCATCGTCAGCATGCTTTGCCCCACCAGACAAGTGTAGTCTCTCAATAGAAGTTAGCACAGGGATCTACTGCCTAATGATATCTGGTGCAGCCTAAATTTGGTACCACTTTGAAGCAAAGAGACTCGACTTTCATTTGAAATGCCAGGTGACAGGTCATGTTTGCAGGGCCTTCTGAATTTTGTATGATTTCTACATTTAAGGAACCAAAAATGTGGCGAAGTAGAAACACAATTGGAAATTCAACAGAAAACGTGTTGGTAATGCAGACCACAGCTTTGTGAAAAATATGCCCCAGGCATCCTTACAAATTTGTTTAAGAGATGTGGCAAGAAGAACAGCGAGTGCTTCGTCTATTTTAAGCACTCGACAAATAATAATAATTATGATAATCATTGTCATTATGGCTTCTACTAGAGGCCTTGGTGTTAAAATAGAACCATGTTCTTTTGGTGGCAGTACTACATTCTTCCATCTAGTGACAATAAGCTCTTGTCCACCGCTAGATGCTGGAACTTTTCTCACGCCCAAACAAAATGTTTATTACTGCAGCTTCATTTTCTAGAATGCTATTCTGTTCCTCAGCTGTGGAGAATTACAACAAATAATTGTCAGCAAGGGTTTTGATAGAATAGCTGGGAGGGGAAAAAAACAAATAAAGAAAAAACATTTTATTAATATCCCTGTTTCATTTTATTAATATCCCTGATTCATCTCCTTTCAGATCAGGCTGAGTACATCACTTATAAAACTGTACTTTATGTATTATGTGCGCAGTAGTTCCGAGGAAAATATATATGTACAATTAATGTCTATCCTCTGCTGTGATGAGCATCTGTTTCCAGGGTCTGGAAGTTCAAAGTAGTTCTGTATATAGAATCAGATCTTGTTAAATCATTTATGGTACTGCATGTTTTCAATTGAAAAATATATATGTTGGATGAATGAAAATGTGTTATTTAGGTTTCTTGATCACATTTCTATTTGAAAACCTGTGGCAGTAAATGTTTAAAGTCTTGGTGATAAGTCTTGAACAGATACGCTGAATGGACAGACAATGATCTGGGATAAAGCCACGACTTTGATTTCGGATGTAGGAAGAGTTTGCGTATAATTGTATAATTGAGTATATTATCCATTTTAGCCTCCTGCTGGAGGGCTGAATCTTTGTACAGGGTCGTGCCAAGAATTGTGGCCTCCCCAAGATGCCAGTCTACTGGAGGTGGTGATCCCCAGGCCTCTGGTATAAGCTCTATTGCCTGTCTGCTCTCCTCTTTCATCTACATGGGGCACCCTGAGTACACATGTTATTCGGTCTGGGAAATGCTCCCATTCACCCAAGATCTTGATGACTAGGATGATAAAAAAAAAATAATTATACCCCCAGCCAAGACTGGGCTCAGGGCGGCTAACACTAAATATAAATACAGTAAAATCATTACACAAAAACCCAAAAAACAGTTGATTAAAATATAAGTTAGAATACAGTTTAAAATGCAGCTTAAAATGCAGCCTCGTTTTAGTGGTAGCCTATAGATCAAAGCCACAAGGAGAGAGAAAATGTCAAATATTCACCAGGGCAAAACTATCCACGCTGGTCCTACATGGGCCAGCAAAAAGAGCCGAGGGAAAATTTATATACAAATCCCGTATAAGTGGTTCCATCAAAAAAATAAATGAAAGGGGAGATTAGACTGAGACCAGCCCAAAGGCCAGGTGGAACAGCTCTGTCTTGCGGGCCCTGTGGAAAGATGTGAAATCCCGCAGGGCCCCAATCTCCTGTGGTAGGGTGTTTCACCAGGCCAGGGCCAGAACTGAAAAGGCCCTGGCCCTGGCTGAGGCCAATCTAACCTCCTTGGGGCTCGGGACTTCCAAAGTGTTGTTATTTATGGACCTTGAAGTCCTCCATGGGGCATAACAGGAGAGGTGGGCCCATAGGTACGAGGGTCCTAGGCTGCATAGGGCTTTAAAGATCAAAACCAGCACCTTAAACCTGACCATGAACTCCACCGGGAGCCAGTGCAGCTGGTAAAGCACTGGTTGAATGTGATCCTGTGGCAAGGACCCCGTAAGGAGTCTCGCCACGGCATTCTGCACCCGCTGGAGTTTCTGATTCAGCTTCAAGGCAGCATAGAGCGAGTTGCAATAATCAAGCCTGGAGGCGAACATCGCATGACCGGGGCGAGAAAGGTAAGGGACCAACTGCTTAATACGGCGAAGATGGAAAAATGCCACCTTTGCTGTAGCTGCAACCTGCGCCTCCATAGAGAGGGAGGCATCAAAGCTTACACCCAAGCTCTTGACAGAGGGCACTGGCACTAATTGAGCCCCCATAAGTGATGGGAGTTGGACCCCCAACCCCATGTCATCCCGACCCAGCCAGAGGACCTCTGTCTTCAAAGGTTTTAACTTCAACCGGCTCCCACACAGCCATCCAGCCACAGCTTCCAAGCATTTGGTCAGTGTGTCTGGGGCCAAGTCAGGATGGCCATCCATCAACAGATAAAGCTGGGTGTCATCTGCATATTGATGACAGCCCAGCCCAAAGTTCCGGATAATCTGGGCAAGGGGGTGCATAAAGATATTGAAAAGCATCGGGGAAAGGATTGCGCCCTGTGGCACTCCACACACCAAGGAATGCCACGACGATAACTCCTTCCCTAGCACCACCCTCTGTCCCTGACCTGAGATAAAGGAGTGCAGCCATTGTCGGGCTGTGCCCTGAATCTCCACATTGGCAATATTCCACCCAATGCCTCACCTGCCCAAAAAAACTGTACCATATTGCTATGGGAAAGGCAAAACCTCCAAATGGCCCCAATCTGTTTGAAGGCAAATTTATTTCCATCCCCGAATTCCACTGGGAATCGTAGCAAGGTCAGGTAGAGTGCAAGGAGGCCCTGGTTAGACAAGTCAAAATACTGTGCAGCATGAAAGGAAGTGGTTGCTCTTCTGCCA